AGCGGTCTTAGCTATTTTTTGTAATTAAATATTATCAAAATGCTTGCTTTAATTTCAATTAACAGTTTTTTTTTCATACAAAACTTATGAATACATATGAGTCCAAACCGTACGTTCCCTCTGGAACCTAAATAACACTTAGTGTTGTATCAATAACATGTAAAAAATCACTCCCGTTGTACAATGCACTTAAACGGACGAAAACAGGAAGCAATGAGTGTCTAGTCTAAATTATATATCAGCAAAATAGATAAATAAAATTTTCTACTTTTTTAATTTTCCAGAGTTTCTATAATAAAATAAAATCAATAACCAATCTTTGATTCGTTATTCTCCATGTATTAAAGAGCCAGTATTTCACAATGAAAAATCATCAAAGGATATGATTCTGAATGTTATGAAAAAAAGAGCATTGGAAACCTTTGTTGAAAAAAAAAAAAATAAACAAAGTATATATTTCTAGGAGAAATAAGATAGAATATATGAATGTAGGTGTAACAAGTCGAGCGGACCCTTGTCACAAAATAAAAATTCATTTGCCAGGCATAAAGTTTTTACTGAAGATGGCACCACTCAAGAATAATAACAATGAATGAGATGCTGACCACACAGACAATAGGTGACCAAAGGGAAAAAAGGGGAGGGGGTGAACTTGTCTTGCGACTACATTACACAGTTAATTTATCTTAATTAGTATCTGCAAACGACCCTTGTTCTCGAACTCGAAGTAAGACAGCTTTGCATAAATAATTGTTACTTAGACTTATTACGTCAGTTATTGCCGAAAATAATTTAACATGCGTCCATCCAGACAGTCCTAACTTAAAGGTTATCTAAATCGTAAATAAGCCATCTCTGACACTAAACTCCGTAAACGACCTCAATATTCAACACTGGTATCAATAACGTGTAAGCAAGTTCTGATTTAACTATATTAAGATGTATATGCCTAAATTAATTCATTTTCAGCTCAAGCTAATCCGAACAAATACTGCCAAATTCCGGACAATCCATTCCGGACAAGAATGACCTATGATAACTTAACTGTGTGAACTGCTCTGGAAATCCAAACAATCAATCCGGACAACTATTAAAATATGAAAACGTCATTTAAACCAACAATTAAATATCCGGACTTGGAAATAACTTACTCCTAATACTGTTCCAGTCATAAGCCATAATTAATAACTCGCACTATAAATAAATAAACTAGGCCTACTGGTCTACATGACTACAATAATTTCCATATTCTCATAGATTAACTGTCCTGTCCGGACGCTCAAAGTCCTTAATATTAAACTTAGCATCATCCTCCACAAGATTTATCATGTTGAATACCATAGACATTCTCTGGAGATTTTGTTCTGTTTTAAACAACACAAAGGGATGAAGAGACAAGTGTGTCGAGATGCCGAAGCTGGATTCCTTCTATGAACAATCAGTGTTTTCCTTTTTGTCCGAAAAATTTATACCCAATCCAAACGCTGTACGGATCGATCTATGGAAATCCGAACAATTCCCGATTTCCGGACAAGCTGAAGTATAAAAAAAACCCTCATAAATGTTTTGTGAACAGTACAAGTCCTTGTCCGGATTATTTAAATTAAATTGACACTAAATTATGTTATTAATTTTAAAAATGAAAATATCCAGGAATATGTAGTTTTGTTATAAAAATCAAGACTTAAATTAAGGCGCCTTCTAATGTGAAAGTAAAAAATATACAAAAACAGTAGTCAGCTTATCAGTCAGCAAATACAATCTATCATTAAGTCATATGCAGACTGACGTTTTTCTTACTAATTGTTAGGCCATTATTTAAACACTGAATTGTCGACGGATTTTTCTATGATTTACCGATTATGACAAGGAGCACACGGCGGATGTAACAGGTCGGCAGGGAATGCTCACTCCTTCATAGCACCCGATCCCACCTCTGATGTTTTTGGAGGTCCGTGTTTACTCTGCTCCCGATTTGTATTGTTTTAATGGCTTTGAGCTTGAATACTGTTCGTCATCTCCCAAATTTACGCTAAGCATCACTGCGATACGTGAATGTTACACTTCATTTTTCACAGCAAGAACTCTGGTACAATGCTACACTGCACATGTACATGTATTCTATAATTATTCTCATCGTTCCTCAAGAAAATGCTTCTATTAGATCCATCTCAATGAGGGCAAATCTAGCCCAGTATATTATACCACTGTCTGGATCAAGTGCTATTCCGCTTGGCCAACCAATAGAAATTGGAGGGCTGCAAATTTACACCTATACTCGGCACTAAGGGCCATTGGGCAGTGATGGATCTTTTTCGTGCCAGCACCTACTGGGACACAGGACCTCGGTTTATACGGTCTCATCCTAAGGACCGGTTTCAACGTCCCGCAGTAGGTGAAAGGAGAATATCAACAGTCCCGTTTAAAGTCAACACTTCGCAAATTCTATAGCCGATACAATGACCTTGTCAGTTAATACAGTCTATCATCAAGGCGATTGTTGAATGACGTTTTTCATACAAATTGATAGTCCATTATTTTCACTGAATTTTCTACGGATTCTTCCGTTTGCCCGATCACACGGCGGGCGTGACGGGTCGACAGGGGGTGCTTACTTTTCCATTACACCTCTGATGTTTTTAGAGATCCGTGTTTGCTCCGCTCCAATCTTGTATTGTTTTAATGGATTTATTTTAGCTTGATTACTGTTCGTTATCTTCTCATTTCAGCCCTGAACAATACAGGTGACCAAAATTTATATAGAAAACTTTTAGAAAAAATGTTAACATCAACATACATGTAGAATAAAAATTAAATTAAATTAGCGTGTTTTTCCCTTGAAATCCCTTTAAACTTCGTCAGCTTTTCTAAATTTTATTACGCATTAAATCAATTCTCAACCTTTTGTTTACATTTAATACGTAAAGATAAAAAAGATAAGAAAAGAAAACAAACGCCGAATAAGAAAAAAAACACACCATTGCTTTAAATCTTTGAAAAAATATAATGGATACATACAAAAATATTACTATTATTAAGAAAACGTTTTGAATAAATGTACAATGAAGTTGCACTTTGGTTTTTTTTAACTCAAATCTCAGTTAACTGTCTTTGTCATATATGCATTGTTTTAAAAACTTTTTTTCATGCATCGTCTCTTTGCATGCTTGAAATCGTCTTCTGTTACAATGAGTTGTTTCACTCAGCTCTGGGTAGAACTGAATGCGCAATCATGGTCATTAATAAAAATGGTTATCAAATTCAGTGAAGGATGTTACGACGAACCATCATCTGAGACGAAAGAAAATCCACGCCTGAAGTTATATTAGGAAGCCAAATATTTTTCCAACGGGGGATCCGTAGACACCATTGAGATATGAAGAATGGCAGTTCCCTATCCACCATCCTCCTTCAGTGAAATTTTGAAAAAAAGATTCAGACTCCTCATCGATATGATCCGGTGTTTTAAATGTTCTCTGACTGTGGCAAGGTGTCAGATGATCTCCTTTAATAAAGAGCTAGGTTCACTTTATTCATAAAATGGCCCTGTCCTTATATCAATTAATTCTATCACCCTCTGTCCCATTTCATATATCAAAATAAAGTAGAGACTTAGTGCTTTCATTTCCTATAACAAAATTTCTTTTTGAGAATCTATGTATTGGAAAACAGGCTTTGAGAAAACGCAATGCTCTTGAATTTTGCAGAAAACATGTGTATTTGCCTACATTCAGCAAAGAGTTAAACTATGAGCACAGCCCATGATCCAAAAATTAAAACATGTTTTGTAATCTTCAGAAACAGATCTTTCATTATGTAATTTCATATTTTGGATCAGAGGTTGTGCTCTATATGAAATATTGAAAAAAATGCTTCAGCTTTTAATCATTTTTAAGGGAATTTACAGGATATGGGGAAAATGACGCATTTTATGACATCATAATGCATTGATAAGAGAGAAAATTACGTCATGTTCAATAGATACACGGTCACTAAAGGTCCAAGTTATAAATACTGCATTTTCAACCAAAACGGAGGAGTTTCGATTTTTCAGAAATTCTCAGGGCCAAAAAAGGCCCTAAGTGGCTCTTGCTCTTTAAATGAAATGGTAAAGTGAATATTGAAATACATACAAAGTTAATTGTACCTATTTCAAAATTCTAACGATAAGTCAACATCACCTAAATTTGATAACTAGAAAATGCAGTTTGTAACAAGGATGATAACATATTGTTTGAAGTTTTTTTGATTTCATCAATTTAATAAATGTTTTAATTACATAGCAAATGTTTGGCTTTGTTTTCGATGGAGCTAGACATAACGTAACAACTGACCCATTAGACGCAATGCTACTAGACTTCCCAGAGTTTAAAATCTCTTTTTTGTAATCAAGGTGTTAAAAGATAATATTCTTTAGAAATGGATTAGGAAAAACCTGAGATTTACTGCAACATTGAAAAATAACCATAGAAACAACATACATGCACCAGGGGTTTACAATAGTACGTTTTTAATACTTTCGGAATTTTACTTACATTTTCGTGAAGAAACATATTTAGGTCAACATGAGTTGTACTTATCTGATAGATTTTGAGTTGAATATCATATATTGATAAAGTTTTATGAAGAAAATAATACTCTTGATTACAGTTGGAGGTTGGTTAGAAGTCAAAATTAAGGTCAGAAAAGTTGTCGATAAATATCAATCATAAAAGGTTTGGAAAACTACACACAAGCCTTAGGGTACGTATCTAAGGAAACAATTTTTTTTAACTTTTAAAACATATTGTTCCAAAAATTTCCATAGCTGGTTTACCAAATACGTTTATTATGGATTTATAACATGAAATCTTTAACTCTTGGAAACAGTCCTTGTCAAATTTATGCATTGTTTTAAACGTTAATAATGGGATTTCAGACAAGTTTAAAAATGCTATTTTTCAATCTTAATGCCATGTTGTCATGGTTGCCACGACACATTGCAACCAATTACTGCCTGATATAAGTTTTTGGTATCACAGATTTTTATCATAGAAAAGTTGGAGAAATTCTTGGACAGATGGACTATGCGTGCCTCGTCTCCTATATAAGTTCAACTCATTACAGAGAATGGATCTTTATTTGAACGAGCTGTACTCTTAAATGAAACCTAACAGTTCATTGATATATTATTGTGTCTGATGTATTTTAGGAAAAAAAATATTTAATGCTATTTATCTATATAAAGAACACACACTTTTAATAAAAACATACATATTATGAGATGCTACATCTCCTCATTAAAATCTTTGACTAGATGAGTCTTCTAGTCATCATTCGGGATGAACGAAAGTCTGTGCCATATTCTATAACTCCATCCCATGGATTGACCCATTTTCCTGACCCATACACTCCATTTAAATAGGCCCAGTGACAGTTACGGAACCACCATCCTCCCTCTGTGTACAAACGGAAACATCCTGTTCTTAGAGAGTGATCCGGAGTCTTAAACGTTTGGTTGTTGTTATACGTCAGTCTCTCTCCTGCAATCAGATAAAATAGAATGAGATTAAAAATAGAAGGTAACAATTACTGCTACATTTTCTTACCAAAATCTTTTGGCAGATGAAAGAGGCAGAAATCCTTGTAATTCACCTTAAGTTTAGAATTTCGAAAGATAACATTTAAGTAAAATATTATTATAAAATAAATTTAAACTTGACTTGCAATTTCTTAATGTAAGGACATACGCAACGTAGTTTGAACTTTTTTGTCTTTTTCCCTGGAGTTGAAGAGTTCCAATACTTAAAGAATCTATGTGCTACATTTTAATGTCTATATATGCTGTTGAACACTTCTTCCAAAACAATATTGGATAAACAAAACATCTAGAATATAGGGTTAGAAATATTTGTAGATTTTTTCTTTGAATTATACAAGAATTTTCATCAATTGATATCTTTTCAGAACCCCTGCTAACACATGCTGATTTTTTTGTCTACGAACGTCTGACGGCACTATAATCTTAAATTAAGAATATCTTGAAAAATTATCAGTAGGTAAGGTTCTTTGCCTATGTCCTTAATGATAAATTTTATACCCAAATAGCACAAAAAAATAAATTGACAATTATACAATGTAAATAAATATTTTGTAGTAATTGTGTTTTATTCATATAAATTAAACTTTTATATTAAAGCGTTCTTTAGAAATGAAGAATATTTATTACCTAGTTGTTGTTTTGCTATATTGCTCTTGAGCACTTTTACAAACAATCCTTATGTTTTTTAGGGTTTTTTTTAAATTACTGTATCATACATAATACGTAACTGTGAATCATTTCATTTGGAATCCTTGAACTCTCAATGCTGATCATGAATGAATCTAGCAGCAGAAAAATACAACGTCAAAAGAATTGTTGACATTTACAAAGAAAATCTATTTTCCTGTGCCTGATCACTCATAAAGATGAATTATTTCCTGGTGTTTTCCGGAGCTAGTTTAATTGAATAACACATATGTGTATTATATATTCATTGATCGAAAACGTTGAATAGTCTCCTCTTCTATTCCATTGTCAACCGAGACGCAGCCGGAGGTGACAATGGTATTCAAGAGGGATAGTTTCAAGGAGTAAAATTGTTCAATTGTTACCCTTAACTACTTGCCAATTTTGTAACAATAATTGGTCTACGCAATTGTGATTCAAATGTACGTTGAATCGTATGCGATTACTTTTTAGGCATATATTGTTTTTAGTACTACCCTTCGTCGTTATTAAGTAATACTAAGTTTTTCTCGGTGCTTAAAACATTTTGTTCTCAGAGTGTAAAATTTTGTTTATTCAAATGACCCTCTCACAATTAGCTTTGACTTACTTATATGACAATATGATGATAAATCAAATTTTTACATGTTTATCATCAGGAATGTTAGAATTTTTCTAAATTTATTTTTCTAAATTTATTTTACAATAGATAATGAAAATGAACTTCATTTAGAAACGATGATACTAGCAAAATCATACATTATTAATTTTGAGTATAAAACGAGGGAAGTAAAAAAATCCGCAGATCCCATTTATGAACACTTATGAACACTTGGACTCGACAGAGGACCTTGTGATTATGTTAAGCAGTGGGATAAAAAAATAAAAATTGCTCGAAAATTTCTTTCTTACTAGTGATTCGATTATTTATTAGCAAAGTTGGGTGATGGGGTATTTTGACGATGAAACTCAGACATAATAATTTTTTATGAACTTGACATTCTTCTCACAAATTTACAAAAAAGAAAATTTAATTTACATTAAAAGAATGAAAGAAATCCTTAAAGAAAGTACATGATAAACTAAGGAGCTTGATTTTAAAAAATGCCGATTTTCTGGTAGGAACACGATAACAGCAATTGTTTTCGACGTTGAAATAAAACAAAGCACTGAAAACCTGACCAATAATCAAATAATATCAATATAACACGTCACCTGCCGTTCCGTTAGAGGAAGATCCCAGATATAATCTGTAGTCATCATCAGCGCCACTGATCCGGAAGTCCGAGTAATACTGGAAGTAATGGTTTCCATTTGCATGTTGTAATTTAACGTACAGGGAAGATGAGTTCAGCGTTAATGCATTTAATGCATCATTTCCTAAAATAAAATAGAAGTAAGAAGATATACCAGACAGAGAGAGAGAGAGAGGGGGGTAGAGAGAGATGACATAAGGGTTTGTTACAGTTCTTCACACTAACCTGTTTATCAGAACATACATTCATTTGATAAATTAGGCTTCTTTATAAGGGATATGTAACTTTTCTTGTACTCTGTCTGAATATGTTGATTAGACAATAACAATTTTACTTTAACTCTTCCTGATTTTGTTTATAATTAGGGGTCGATTTAAATATCATAGGTTCTATGTTTAAACGACTAAATGCGACTGGGTAACTCGTCATCTATTAAAACAGAGAATCAGGCGCCTCATTCTAATAATATCTACTATCTCCTGACTCCCATAATAATTTCTCGAATACCACTACCGCTGGCGAGCTAATAAAACTTCCCTACCCTAGCCTTTAGCTACTTAATTCTTAATCTTCTTCAATTATTACCTTTCTTACTTCCGACAGCGCTCAGCAGGATTCGCAGCTATTCTGCCTCAGCTGCCATCTGCACTGAGTTTATATCCTAGGAACAATTCATTTCCAAGGAATGTCAGGTTTTTCCATTTTCCTGAGTGTGTTTGAGAATCAGGTGTAGAAAAAAATGTGTGCAAAATGGGAATTTTTCCAGGTAAGATAATTACTTAATTGCTATAGTCTATAGCGTAATAGTTGTTGAAGGGGGAAAATTGAAAAAAAAAATTATTACAATTTACACCATATTAAACTATTTTAAACAAAAAAGCAGGATGATCATCAACTTGAACCTGTATTTATCAGATTTCCTCAGCTTCCATTTTAAATGGCTTGGGACGGACGAGTTATTTTTCCATTCATTCATGTATATATTAAATGAAGAAAACATGAAGTTATTTATTATTATAAGTTATTTAATTATTTATTATTTTATTTCGCTATTTATTTTATCTTCGATTTCTTTGCTTACTTAAAAAAAAAGACTGAGTTGAAGTATAAAATAAATTCTCAGCTTTCACTTGTCTTAGCGTATGCTGAACAAGTACATTTTTCAAGGCTGAGTCATTATTATTGTCCCCCGCTTTCGTGAAAGCGAGGGGACATTAAATCTCATTCGTCTGTCAGTTTGTCCGTCTGTCACAAAAATTTTAACCTTGATCATAACTTTTGAATGAGAAAAGATAAGGCTTTCATATGTCGTATGTACATAACCTGTAAAAATACCTTTCTAAATGCATTGTAATTTTTGATCCTGTGACCTCGACCTTGATGTTTGACCTACATTTCAAAAATGTTAACATTACTTTTAATTTGTTCATAACTTTTGATTGAGAGGAGATAGGGCTTTTATACTTCACTTGTACTATATGTGTGACAAGACCTTTCCAAATGTAGTCTGATATTTGACCTCTGACATTGACCTCGAAGTTGGCCTACTTTTCAATTTCTTTTTACATTATTGATAACTTTTGAATGAGGGGCGATAGAGCATTTATATTTGACAAGTGAGCATTACATGTACCTGACGAAGTTTTCGAATGTGCTATGTGTAAGGTTCAAATGGTAATTATGATAATTGATAATTATGGCCATGAAGTATTGATTTTGCACACAGACATACCTTTTAAAAGTACTTGAAGCTTAAGGTTACATGAACACGAGTGCTACGTATATTTTATGAAATAAAAATGTACAGGAGGGTAGCACTCGTTATTACCTCAAACACCAAATGTATTATTTAATAGGAGAAAAAAATACTACTATACCTAACCAATATTCAGCAGACACATTCCCAAATCCATGCTGATATTCTGTCCAATTCCTGGAAAACGACACAGATCCATCAATCCGCTTTTGAAAAACCTGCACAAGAATGAATTTTCAAAAATCACAAGAGTTCTTGCTCTTTGAAAATTTACAGTGTCTATCTTGAGAAAATTCTTAAAAATAATTTTTATTTCCTGATATCATTAATTACATGCGTGTTGGTAATCATTTGAAAGTTATGAAACTACCAAAAGTGACGTCTGGCGAAGAGTAAATAAAGAAGTAGGTACGGTTTTGGCTTTATTTTGTCCTAAAAATGTTTTCAGAAAGAATTGACATTTTTAGATAAGAGTTGAGTATACAGGTGTGATAATTCATGAAAGAATATGGCATGAAAGAGGACCATTCTTGAAATAAGACGTCAAAAAAAGGATATCTCTAAGTTTTAAGTAGATAAAGCCTCAAAATTACTCTTTTCGGGGGTTATTTTCCTTAAGAAAATAGTGTTCACATCCGTCGCCCACTTCAATATTCGGATATGTTGTGTGAAATTCTCTGAAAAATCATACTTCTCAAACTTTTTGTGGGCGATGCATGTGATCTATATTATCTGAAGGAAAATTTCACTGAAAATTGATATCTTCTGCAATTTTTTTTTAGGAAAATACGGGAAAATGCACAAGTTCATGAGTCACAATTAGTATTTAGAAAGTCACATAGAAAAACAATTTGTTTGATCAAAGTGCATGGAATTTCTACGAATCAGAAAGTATGAGTTTTGATTTCTTTCATCACTTTCACTTTTAAGAAAAAAAAACAGGGCCAGGTTTTTTTTATTGAAACTGTACCATGTTCTTTTAATATTCTTAATAATATTTTACTTGAGTCGCATCAAACACGTCTTGAATTCTATTAATAACCAAATTCATTCCTTTAATTTGATATTCTACATGGTGCTTAAGGATCATATATATCAATATTTTTTGCGTAATTGCACTTAACCTTATGAAGTACAAAAATAGCAGCTTAGTCATATGATGTATATAAAACACATCAATATATAGATATCTAAACATTTAGATATGTAGCATTTAGTGATTTGTAGAAACGTAAATGTAGGATAAAATAATTACTACAGAGAAAAAATAATTCTTGGAAAATTGCTAAAGTTTTACATACTGTCCATCCGCCTCCCATAGTATCCATATCACACAGGACATCTTTATATGTGGAGTTGTTCCATGGATAGATCCTAAAGATACCCGATATCCTTTGTCCCTGGTCCATAATCTCCAGACAGTCCATAGGATATACTATAGCATTAATTTAATCAAATGTCAAATATTTACTAAGACATCGTAATTAAAGAACAAATCGGTCATTTGAAATCTTTATATTTACTTTTGTTGAACATAACATTTAACAAAATATTATAAACATTTTATTTATGTAGTCATATCTTCATATTTCATATATATTTGAATAGCAGAGAGAGAGAGAGAGAGAGAGAGAGAGAGAGAGAGAGAGAGAGAGAGGAGTTCATGTTGATTAAGGTTCCTTGAATACTCAGTTTTTTGAAAGATATTATGCCTGTTTTTTAATACCCTGCATGTTCTATTAAATATCTCCAACCAAAGATCCAACCATCACCACATCCCATGATGTGGCAAAATACACTGCTGGACAGTGAAATTGACATGTTATACATTTCTTGAGGATACTTTAAAGATTATACACTTATTATTTTGGAAATTTATGTAATTCAAAAGAAAAACATGTTTTAGCATATGAAAACATCTCTAGTTCTTTCTGGTTTTTTTTTTACTTTAATATATTTGACATTATTTAGAGTTTTATACATCAAAAAAATATTGGCTGCATAAAAGAGAGAGATATTATTGAAAGCGATTAAATTGATAAAAAAAATTCTTCAAAAAAAAAAAAAAAAAATATATATATATATATATACAACTAAATCCACAAGCTGATGAAGAACTGCATCTGTTTTCATCGGCTTAGGTTATACTCTGAAATGTATGTAAGCATGATTCTTACATGTAATTACTGAATACTTCCAGCCTGAATAAAGAAAATTTTATCTTGATGTTATCTATGTTTATCAAATAATCAGGATTCTGGATGTTCTTTGTTCTCTAGTCCCTCTTTCCTGAGATGTACGTAAACGAAAGGAAGGTCCGTGAGGTTTATGTGTGTTTTCCCTCTTGATCAGCCATACATTTGCTTATTTTTTTTATCAGCCAATCAAATTGTGCGTTTTTAAGCATGTATCGTTGTAAATGTAAATATTGCGGACGCCAGTATCGAACAGAATAAACACTTTTTCCTAGTAAAAGGATTTCTAGTGCTGTTTCCACAGTTGCCTTAAACAATTGTTTACCTATTGAAGTTTATTATGTATAATATGTTCTTACACACTATTTTGTATTATGACTGCTTATATTTTTCAGATACAAGAACTATAGTGTCAAAAAGTTGTAAAATAGCTGCTTATTTTAAAAGAATTCGGCCTCAGTCAACAAGTACCTGACCAGGTCGGTATAGTCACGAGTAGACCTCATAAAAAGTCGCTAAATGTGTACCAACTCTCACTGTAACACAACATATATATATACATATAAAAAGGACTTTATGATTTATTGTCATCTCCCAAATTAATAAAATATCCGCAACATTTTTAACGTATGTATACATTGTATGTTTTGTGTTAATGAGGAATGTTCTGAACAGACAATAGAGCATGGAATAGTTAATTTGCATATGCGGCTTGTTGCAGCATTGGTTATCACTCTAATAGTAAGCAAAAATAGACACTGGTTAACACACACAATACTACTTGCTATCAAATTTCCCTGCTCGCTAGTTTGATTTCTTCTATGTGAGACCAAAAAAAAAAAAACCCCGATTCTTTTGAATTAACAATTTAGGGGGTGCGAGGGGGTGGAGAAAGATTAAAATTGACACGAGTTTACTGTAACAAGCATATGAAAGTATACATTATATGAAATCAATATTGAGAGTTCGCTAAATCATTAAATGAAATAAGGTTAGAATTTACCTGTCGGAAGTTGTGAAGAGATTTTTAATAATTGTATGTTGTTAGCTTTCTGATTCTTACCAATATCCCTCAGTGTTTCGTTGACCGTAACAGTGAAACTCCGAGAATGGTTTTCTAGCCTTTGTAAACGTACATCAACGTCATCTAATTTCGACTTCAGTTCCGCGATAAGCACATTTATATTTTTTGACTCTTCTTTTGACATATTCTTGTATATTTTCACAGCCTCATTTAAAGCACTTAACTTCTTACTGAGATTAGAGTTTTGAATCACCAAGTCTTGCTCCCTGTTTTCCAAAGTCTTTAAATCCTCTATCGCCCCTTGAAGTCTTTTTTTCACATTTTGAGTACTGTCCCTGTTGTCTATGACATCCATAACCAGCTTTTGAATTTTTTGCACCATTGAAAACCGTACAAGACTTTCTTGATTTAATATTTCCCGTAAAACACTGGATGATTTTCCTGGGGTTGTACTAGAGATAAGAAATGTCTTCTTCAATTCGCTTTTATCTGATTCAGATGAATTACCGAACGTTCCATAAGCTAACAATAGTAAATATATGATTTCTCTGAGCCCCATGGCTTCTGGAAAGTCGATCTCCAGCTCAAGTAAACTCTTTCTCCCATTGACAAAATCGGTTGCCTATATAATAAAAAAAAAACGGTTTTCCCCTGCGTCATATATAATCTTAGATGTCTGGGAAAACCTGCCACCAACTCCCATCATTAAAATTTACACATCAAAGTACCGAAGAAAAGAAACCCAAGAGAGGGGTGGAGTTATCAACAACAATATGTCGATTGGCTTGGTTTATAAGCATTATTTCAGTAATATAATGTTATTAGAGTAAACAATTTTCTTGCATTCAACACATATGAAAGGATTTATTATTTCTGAAAGAAGACACATGTTTACAAATTTAGGTCCAACTTTTGACTTTCATCGGAGTTTGTGTACATTTATGAGTCTTGGCCTCTTTAATGTAACAATAATCAATAAGGGATCGGAATGATCTTAAACAATTTTTTTTTGTCAAATGTTTAGGACTAATTTAATCATCACAGACTGCTCCTAACATCATGCAATGAAGAATGGCCTTTAACTTTTTTTCATATGCATTGTATTGTTTGTTTTAAGAGAACAATATAATTATCCAACTGCAAAACATTATTATCAGGGGTCGGTAATTCATTGTAAGCACGGATGGGGGTTACAATATTGATTCGACATATATAGGGTTTCTTCGGAGATTTAAGATACTTTTTATTGGAAAGAATTGTAATCTTTTCACACAAGGAAAAAAAATATATGAACTATCCACTAATAAATTATCTGTATTTTATTTTTCATTATAAATGCAAAATCTGATGTTCTAGCATGTCAATATGAAATGTTTCTGGCATTTCTTATCATTTTTAAAACAACTAAAATCGATCGCTGTGTTGATTTATATTTCTGTGTTGATTCATTGTGTGTAACGTAGATTTCAAAAATTTGAAGAAATGTGTGCATACAATTGCCTACCAATGTTTTCAGTAAAACGTGAGATTATAGCTGGCCTTAAAAATAATTTCGTTCGCTACATTTCTGCTTTTATATGAGAAACGAAGGGATTTCGTTTTCTGTAATCAAACTGTACCTTTCTATAATATACTTATTCTGTTTTGCAAATATCATATATTATATTTTTAATTTTATTTCAATAAATCTCTTGCAAAGTACTTATTAAGTATTTGCTTGATAGATAACGTGTTTTGTGAAACAAGAACAATACAGATATTTTTGGGATACATCAAACTCATCTCCGAAGCATTAGTGTGCTTAAAGAACGATATAATCCGCACGGGTATTGGATGAAGCTTATTTCTTATAATGTACTACAGGAAAAAAAACTCCTTCCCTGTTTAAGATAAAGGCACAAAATCATTAAATAATTCTCAATTGAAAACATTTACTTCGTTCAAGAATTGAGTTATGTTTCCAACATTGTAAGTGAGAAATCATTCGTCAGTTTACACTCCCTAGTTTAACTTTACTATTCAGTTTATATTTCAAAATTATATTGAAATTTGAGATAATTACAGAAATCCTTTGCAAGCGTGTGTATTGATTAAAGAAAGTGGATCCTTTTTAGACAGTTGGAAGAGAATATATTGTGTTTTTTTTAAATAATGATATATGACTTTGCCTTCAGTCAAAAAAAGATATTCGTTACATTTTAGAAATAATCATGTCATGCCACACAGGCAGAAATATAAAGGCATCCGTACACAGTTATATTTTTATATTCGCATTCCACTTTGTCGATAACAAAGTTCTGAAAGCTATCAGCTTTTTTTTATTCTTCTGAAATAATTCTGAGCCGATGTTATCGTTTATAATTGTTATTTCAAAATCGTTTTAATCGTCATTTTAAAATGTCTGACGAAGTGGGTTTATATTTAACCATGAAAAGTTTATCATCCCTATCAATCAAGAAATAAATTATTACCCGCTGCTCCCTAATAAACAGAGTAATCGTTTATGTAACTGAATTCCCTTGTTTCCATAGAAAATTGCAGTCTATATTTAATTGATTATCAATTTCGTGACAAGTAATATTTTACTGATAAATCAACTTGAACTGTGAAATCCTACATACAATGTATACGTAATTTTTAAAAAAAAAAAAAAAGTTTCTCTTTCTCTCTCATCCTCGCAAGCCAGGGGTCCTGAGTCAACACGTTGCCGTTGGACCCCTGGCATATTTCATTCAATATTTATGGGCTGACTATAGCGACGTCTTTCGGAAAATTTACAAATCTTGATTGTTTTTCTTATCTCTCAACCAATCACATTAAGTCATTCTTTAATAAACAACTTGTAACACGTGAATTTGACACCTGTTTGAGGTGTCAACTGAATCCTTATCTCACTACTTATTAAAGCTTTAATTTGATTGGTGTTTCTCCATGAGATAAGCAAACCCACGAATATTGAATGAAATATGCCAGGGGTCCAACGGCAACGTGTTGACTCAGGACCCCTGGCTTGCGAGGATCTCTCTCTCTCTCTGTCTCTCTCTCTCTCCATGTGTAAGATAAATTTTACTTTTCCAAGAGGTACCACTAATCTTTGTTTTAAAATTTATATATATATTTTTTCTTTCCGCAAAATTGCCTTTAATTTTCCAACTGTAATGGCGAATACTTTGAAATAGCTGTTACTTTCCTATACCTTGACTTCATTTTACGACATGTAGTCGAAAAAGGATTTTAACATGTCACAACACTGTTCACAGTCTAAAGTTCTGTTTCGTATAAAATTTAAATAGTGTTAAGTATTTCTGTAAATAATATAGTATTAAATATAAACTGTATATCTCTCCTGTGGGAACACAACACGCTCATCTGAAAACAAAACAGATACATATATGTGAGCTAGCGATGTAGCCATTACAAAACATAGAATGTAGTAGGTTTATTAACCATAATTTTATTTTGCCGAATTCTTTACTTCTTACTAGTTAAAAAGAGAGCTGGAGACAAGACAGGATAGTGAGTGTGGTTCATGTCGGCAATGGCATCACATAACGTGCTATTTCATTTACAATATAGAAAGTGGAAAGTACCTCAAGCATTGTTTCGTTCACTATTAATATAAAATTTCAATGTTGGATTAGAAATTACTGCCTTCATACTCTAGTTAATACTTTCCGATGATGAGACTCAGTATTGCATATTCAATGCTATCAAATGCTCGTTACTATTTAAATGAATAACTTTCTCCATACAAAACTTATAAATACATGTTGAATGAGTCCAGTATGTAATCCCGATCAAGTTTAGTATTGTATCGATAATGTGTTAAAAGTTTACCCAATTGCACAACCCAAGAAAACGGACGAAAATAGATAGCAATACATGTTTGACCTAAAATATTTTTTAAAAAGGAAAAAAATGTCCAAAAATAATACAATTTAAAACTTTTCCAGCGTTCTACAGTTTAATATGCATAAAATCAAGTGTCAACTGTTGACTCTTAGTTCTATATTTATCAAAAACCAATTTTTAGCATGAAAAATCCTCAAAAGTTATGATTCTGAAATTGCAAAGGCTATTAAAGACCCATTTCTTATGGGGAAAAAGTTATAAAACTTAGTTGAAAAAAGAAAAGAAATTTAAAATAACCAATGCTTACATTGTATGTTTAAAGGAAAAAAATAAGATAGAAAATATGAATATAAGGATATGAGCACAAAATATCTTCAAATGACTCAAAGAAAATATAAGTATTCTTTCATCATTCTTTATTATATATATTGCCTTTAAATTTTATCACAGTACCATCTCTTTACACAATGGCACATACTTCAAATCGTCTTGTGTTACATGTAATGAGACGTTCAGTCGGCTTTGTTCAAATTGAATTACCAACTGAATTTAACAATAAAAGGACAAAAAAGTAGAAAGTGATATAACATTTATTGAAAGATATTACGACGAACCAACATTTGAGAGGAAAGAAAATCTTCTCCTGAAGTTATGTCAGGAAACCAGATGTTCCTCCATTTTGGGGACCCGTAGACACCGTTCAGATATGAAGAGGGACGATTTCCAACCCACCATCCTCCTTCAGTGAAATTATTAAAAAAGGATTCTGACTCTTCATCGATGTGATCCAGTGTTTTAAATGTCAGATGATTCCCTTAAAATAACATAAAAGGTGACATACAGTACCTGGCAATAAGTGAGTCATAATTTTTTTCCCACTATATATTTCATTGAAAACGCATTTTTCTAAAATATTATTGCAGTGTTATTTGTTGATCATTTTTTATGACTAACACCATAAAATGTAGAGTTCTTTGCAGCTTCTTGATATAATCTCAAACTAATTTTATCTGTAGGCACTGCGGTGATATCACACGTGATATCACACGTCAAATGCGAATTAAACATTTTACGACTCTAATTTGTTAAGAAATCATAGTAATTTGAGGTTAGAAATTTTTGTCTTGACGATTTAATAAATCATTCTCAATGATTAGTGTATCATTTTGTTTAGTATTATAAGACAAGAAATTTTGAACAATTCTGCATGATTTAATGAAAAAATCATGGCAATTGGGCTAAAATTGACCTCACAATAAGTCTTTATAAAAATTGGTTTTTCAATGAAATATATAGTGGAAAAATAAAATTATGACTCACTTATAGCCATATATTGTAGTACATGAATATTGGAAACTGTGCACTTTTTATAATTCAATCATGTCAATATCTCTAAAATCTGATATTAAGACGTAGTTTATAGTTAAGCATGAAAAGTTTAATTTTCCACCATTTTTCTTGTTCATCTTCAATTTATCTGATTTCATGGCACAGCAAGGTACGTCATTATCTTACAAAGGATCATTCTTTGCAATAAGATACATTGACTCCGAGGCAAAAAGTATAAAAAGGCATGTTAGGGGTAACGCTAACACGTGGCGCCCTTTTAGATATATATATTTTTTAAAAATAGTATAGATAGATGGAATACCTGTTGCATACCTCCCTCATATGCTTTAGCAGAAATAAATACAAGTGACATGAAATCATTGTATGACATACATTTCTTATTTTTGATGACGAATGCTTTGAGGTCCATTGGAAGTTTGGGAAATTCACTGGTAAGTAGAACTTCACGGTCGCCTTTCAAATCTAGGTTTTTTCTCGCAATGGAAAATCCTTTCCAATCACTCCAATATAAATACTTCCCTACAATATTGATGTTAAAGTAAAAATGTCAAAAAATAATTAAAGTTGAAATAACTGAGTTACTTTGGTAACTTCAAACCGCGTAATGTTTCTCTAACAATTCCGTTTTTTAACACCCCTTAATTAAATAATATTAAGATTATTATCAAAAAGTATGAAATATATGAATTGAATTTAACAAGAGTGTGTGCTTTTTCAGATAGCAATTACTTGGACATTAATAAATCTAACACACAGGAAGACAGTTTTATGTTCAGCTCATCTGAAGACTCGAATGATCCAATTTATTTTGATTTATTGTTCCTCTCCAGAACTGCAAGGCCATGTTGGTCACATTGATATTTAAACACTCCTTAGTTTTCAAAGATTAAATTCCCTTTGGCAAGGGTGAGCAATAACATAAGGGTCACAACTATTCGCGGGAATGAAGATGGGAAAACCTTTCAAAATCTTAAAGAAAAAAACCCCAGAAAGAATGAGATCAGGTGTTTGAAGAGCCCAGTGGGCCTCTTACATAAAACGCCATTTCTCCTTTAAACCATCTACATGTGTTCCAATGGGTACGGTTTTGGCTTTTTAATGCCCTAAAATTTTATGTTTAAAAATAAGGTTTGAAATTTCTTAAAAAATGGGTTGAATATATTGAATAAATGAATGTGATATATCATGAAAGAATACGACATAATTAAGGAGGATCATTCTTAAAAAAATGTAACTTGTTTTGAACAGAAAGGTTACAAAATGACTCGTTTCTGGAGTTGTTTCCTTTAGAAAGACGCAGAAAATACAGTACAGTCAATAACCTAAGAAACGAATAAACTAAGGTAAGATTTAGATTTACTCGAAACACCAATGAACGAATAAACTTTACTCTTAAGGGACTGTGAAGAGTCATTCGGTAGTGAATGAAATCCTTGCGCACACGGAAAAAATGTAGGTTTGTTCACCAAGTAAATGTATAACGTTTGCATGTCAAAGTAAATCGTACTAAATGCATTAGAAAATGCTCCTTAATAATACTTTACTGGTTACAAAAGATTTACACGAATCTTTCAGTGTATAGTAAACAACAGATTAAATATAGCAAAAAAAAAAACAAAAAAAAAAAAAAAAAAAAAAAAAAAACTTGAAAATCTAACAAGAAAGACACATTACCAAAAAGACAAAGTCCATAAACGTGTTTTACATCGTTGCTCAAGACAATGCTTCGATTAGATCCATCCGTATTGGCCATCTCAATATGCTTCAGCTTTGCATCTCCCCAGTATATTATACCATTATCTGGATCAAGTGCTATTCCGTTCGGCCAACCAATAGAAGTGTTCACAATAACAACTCTTTCTGAGCCATCCACGTTTGCTCTCTCTATCCTGGCAGTTCCCCAGTCAGACCAATAAAGTTTTCTGTAAAATTAACTCATTTATATTCAATTTATATGTTTTATTTATAATTAACTGATTATAAAAATTGTCGTTTTAAAGAGCAAAAATACAGAGTATAATTACGCAATTAAGAAACGTCTCAGAAACCTTGAACGAGAGTCGCAACAATCACAAAATATATGTTAAAAAATAACTTAATCTCGAAAATGTATACTACTAGTTTAATTGATGTCTTTTCTTAATTCTCTGGTTTCTTTCCTTATAAAAGAAGTCATCTTTCCGTTCTAAAAAACTGCTTATAAAGTATTAAGTAATTGTATTTGAAGGATAGACACAATACCCACAGAAAGGTCGAAATCAGGAAAGCTCTTGTTAAATATTGCAAGTTCATAGGAAAGGTTTTTCCTAGTATTTTGGAAATTTGTTCATCAGATAAGTCCTAGAAGTGATTGCAAAATGCCATTGTTTATACTTCAGCCCTTTGCCACCTATAGGCTTATTCGGTTTTGTAAAGAAAAAATATATGATATTCCTCACTCGCTAAGGAGTGTTTTTGATAATAATTAATAAACTGATAAATGAAAAATACCACATTAGAATGTGCGTTATTTTTTTTTTATTTTCAAAAAGACACTTGATAGTTCTTTTCCGTAAAGAAGAGTCTACATTTTTCTAGTCTATGTTGTCAAGAAGGTATTTTTAACATCACGGATAACATTTTAATTAACACATTAGAATATTTTAAACGACATTTCTATCAAATCTTAATTTTAAGGCGAAGTTTGTTTGTTTGTTTAACGTTCCTTTTGAGATTTGTTCACTCATATTGAGACGCCACCAGTTGCCGGTGGAGGGCTGCAAATTGAGCAGTGAGGAATCTTTTTCGTCCTGCGACACCGGACCTCGGTTCATACGGTCTCATCCAAAGGACCAGTTTCCACTTCCCAGAGTGGGATTCGAACCCACGACGTAAGAATTAACTCCTTACTCCGCCACACTAGAGCAAACGCTCTGACCACTGCGCCACGAGGGCGACTTAAGGTGAAGTCCCTTATAGCTTAGCATTTAAAATTTAAATGAATAATATGAAGAAATTCTACTTGTTCTTTGAGTCTACTGCTATGTCCCTCGGCTCCTTTAAACCATCTGTGACAATCGCCTTCCTTTGTCCGCCATCTAAATCTGACATTTCAATTGTGTCATTTTCAGCATCTGTCCAATACAGTTTACGATTCATCGTATCCAGCGCTATTCCACTTGCTTGTGGGATCCCATCAAGCACGGTTTGTTGGCCTGTAAGTCATATTTACTAAATGTTAGTGTACAATCATAACAAAGGCGACCAGAAACCAAGAAAATGTAAAATGGAATCAATACTAAATAAAATCTTTTCAAAAAAAAGCTTCTGGGGCTTAATGTTGTTCTGACCTAGCCAATTTGCTCTTCCAAAATCTCGCACATGTACTATGATGTAATGACTTATACAATACTATATTCAATAATTACCTGAACCATCCAAGAAAGCTCTGTTGATTGTATTTAGTGTAACATCTGACCAGTATATCTGTTTCTCTACAGGATCAAAGTCCACAGCAATGGCGTTTTTAACGCCTTGTAAGGGGATAACATGCGTAGTAAGGTTGGATAGTGACATCATATTTAGAGACCGTCTGTAGGCAAAGACGAGGACATCATCTTCATCTGTGTATGAAACAAGAGGCCCGTAAAATTACAAAAATCTTCATACGCTAAATAAATAAATAAAGGCGATGTATCATATTTCAGATTCTCATAACCATCGTCCGAGTGTGAAATGTTTACTATGTTCAAATAAACTTGAGTCAGTTACATGTATGTGAATAACCCTAGATCATACACAAACGATCAATTTTGCATGAATTTCGCACGTCCGGGAGAAGAGTTCATTGTAAATTACAACCATGCAGTCAGTTTATATTTTTAAAGTAAAATATTGTAAATAAAGATTGATTCCAAATTTTCCTTAATTAATCGCACAATACTTTACACCTTCCATGCCATATTGTACCAGTACTTTCAGTACTTAGATTAGTTTACCCACCACACTCTTCCTCGTCAGAACCGTCTCCACAATCGTCTACACTATCACACTCTTTGTTATTACTGATACATCTGTCATTTTTACAGAGAAATGAAGTCAAGCCGTTGCACTCAGTGACATCAAAAGCTGGAGAAAAAAATAAAGACATAGTTTCACACCATTCTTAAGTCCACAATTACGAACTCCTTAACTCAGCAGTCTTGTTTTAAAGTTTAAACTTTAAGTTTGAATGCATCAAAATGGACTTTAAAATATCGCAAGTCGATGATTAATTAGTTACTGATATTTGTACCTGCAGAAATATTAGAGTAAGATCCAATTTGCAATCGATAATCATCACTCTTATCCGCAATAGAAAAATCTTTATAATACTGGTCAAACTGTTCACCATTTTGCTTCTTGAGTTTTACATACAGAGAAGATGCATTGTGGGTAAGTGCATATATCGCCTCATTTCCTGTTACAGAAACAAAACATCGTGTTATACACAGAACACTGTATCCATTGACATAGGCAATTGAAAGTAAATTGTTATGGTATAATATTCATACAATTTTTACATACTGTTCTCTTAGTATTGTTCTTTTATTTGCGATTCTTTTGACTGAAATCTATCCGCGACTATGAACTTTTGCGAGTAAGAAAACATTCTACGTAAATACACAAAAAAACAATTATTTTGCGAAGAGAAATATTCCTAAGTAAAAGTCGGTTGATAGTTTACAAGAAACATACTAAAGCCGTGAAGAATTACCTAGCCAATACTCAGTTTCGGTATTACCGAATCCATTCTGATATTCTGTCCAATTTCTAGCGAAAGAAACAGAACCGTCAATTCGTTTTTGGAAGACCTAGATTTTTGAGTTAAAAAATCAACAATTGAATAAAGGAGTTAGTATGGTGTATGATTTTTGCAAAGACTATATGTTAAACGAATATTTGTAATTCAAAAACAAATCATTACTGTGAAAAACTGTCAAAACAATTACATGTATAAAAATACGAGGGGTGATCAAAAAGTTCGCGAACTATCTCTATATTTAGAAAACCACAATTCAGATCGGAATGAAATTTAGCAGACATATAGTCATACACATGTTCAATAAATAGCAGATGTTATGTATTGTTTTGCTCCATGTTTGTGACGTCACAATGTGAAAATGACGTCAATATGTAGGTGACTTGTGACAAAAAAAGATGACTCAGTCGTACTCGAGCAACGAACGCTGTAAAGTTTAATGTGTATCTTGGAAATTCCTTTGCAGTAGCATATAATAATTTGTACAAGGTTTATAAAGACAAAAGACTTGCCAGAAGTTCAATCATTAATTGGATTGATTGTTTTAATGAAGGAAGGGAGATGGTTAAAAAATATGCTTATTCTGTTGCCCCGTGAAAGCAAGCTGGGGAAGAGATGTGAGCAATTCGTTACGAAAGCTCGTTAAGTTACACTTAGAAAAATAACTAAATATCTTAACAATAATATAATTATTAAATCCTTAAAATATCGTTTACTTTAGACTTTAAACATATGAGATATGATAGAAAGAAGGCGCCCGTACTTTATTTACATTGGAAAAACGACGCTCCCAAGACAGAGGACTCGGATTGTGATGGTCACCATGCTCATTCTTGGAAAGAATTAATTTTCCTTATCCATCAATCCTATTGCCGAGGTTTGGCCACTTCTGACAAATGGACTGTTATTGTTGTAAAAAATAACTTGTATGGTAAGAAATATAAGATTCGGAAAAATCTTTTAGCTTCTGTGAACAGAACGCTTCGGAGCATGTCATGTGACCGCCTGTATCACGTGATTCACGCATGGGCAAAACGGTGGCAGAGGCACATTTAAATCGGAAAGGACTAATTTAAAAATTAATGAACACTAAAATCTAATTTCACTTCTTTTATGGAAGTTATTCAATTAGTTGGCGAACTTTTTGATCACCCCTCGTAACCCATTAACATACCGTCAAAAAGATATACATACTGCAAAAAACATAAATTATACATACCGTCAAAAACATAAACATGCTGGAAATAATAAACATACTGTCAAACACGTATAAACTTTCAAAAACATATCAGAATATTATACATGTACATACTATTATAAATATATATGCGTACTGTCAAAAACATATGCAATAAAAACATATGCATACTGTCAAAAACAAATTATACTGACAGAAACAAATAAATACTGATAAAAGATGTCCATGCTATCAAAAGCAAATGCATACCTTTCAAAAACATTAACATGCCGTCAAAAACGTTAACATACTGTCAAAAACATATACATATTGAAAAAAAAAATTAGACATTTTGAAAAAACATACACATACTGACAAAAATATAATCGTTTACTGAAAAAAAAAAATACACACCGTTTAAAAAAAAGGCAGGCTGACACAAGCATATACATATACTGATAAAAACATATAGATACTGACAAAAACAAATATAATTTATACAGATAGAAACATTTATTACATTACTGACAAAAACATACATATACTGATAAAAACAAATTCCGACAAATATATATATATATACATATATTGTTAAAAAACATATACATACTTATAAAACAAGAGGCCCATGGGCCACATCGCTCACCTGAGTAACTTTGGCCATGCTGTTCTTTACCAGATTCCCCCCCCCCCTTGTAATATCTATTGTGGCCCCGCCTTACCCCCGGGGGTCATGATTTGAACAATTTAGAATCTGCACTACCCCAGGATGCTTCCACATAAGTTTCAGCTTTTCTGGCCAAGTGGTTCTTGAGAAGAACATTTTAAAAGATTTTTCCCATATATTTCAATGTAAAACTTGGATTCCCTAACGTGGCCCCGCCCTTCCACCGGGGATCATGATTTGAAAAATTTAGAATCTACACTACCCCAGGATGCTTCCATTGATATAAGTTTCAGCTTTTCTGGCCTTCTTGAGAAGAAGATTTTTAAAGATTTTCCTATGTAAAATTTAAATTCCCTACTGTGGCCCCGCCCTACCCCCGGGGATCATGATTTAGAATCTACACTAAGTTGAAAATGTGAAAAATTTACAAACGGATGGACAGCTAGACAGACGGACGGATGACAGACAACGGGTGATCAGAAAAGCTACTTGAGCTTTCAGCTCAGGTGAGCTAAAAACAAAATACATACTGACAGAAGATATACATACTGACAAAATCATATACACACTAAAACATATACATATTGACAAAAACAAACATACGCATACTGACAAAAGCGTACATATCAGGCCCGTAGGAAGCAATTTCAGTTGGGGGGGGGGGGGCACAGTCATATATTTTCAGTTGAGGGGGCACTGTTAACCAAAAATTCCTTGACAAGCAAAAAAAAAAAAAAAAAAAAAAAAAACAAGGTCATCAGACGTTTTCATTGAGGGGGCACAAGCATATAGTAGCAATGTTTTCTACAGTAATCTATATATCAGCAAAATTATTGGGGGGGGGGGGGGCGCGGCCCCCCGTGCCCCCCCCCGGTTCCTACGGCCATGCATATACTGACAAAAACATAAATATACTGACAAAAACATATACATGTACATACAGCTAAAACCATACATACCGTCCATCCCCCACCAGCAGTTTCCATATCACAGAGGACTCTTAGGGACCGTTTACTGGCCCCCCAGGGATAAATGGAATACACACCGGTAAAACATCCCTTGTTGTATAATTCCAAGCAATCAAATGCCATCCCTGTTGCTATGCATCAGAAATATTGTAGTTTTGAGAAAATATTTTAGATCAGTGTCATTTTTTTAGTTTCCTTAGTAGCTTAAAAACATTTCTATTTGAATGGAAAAAATAACCTTTTCTTAATATTTGAAAAGAAAAATCAAAATTTTATTGATAATAATGATAAAGATTGAGAAAAGATCAATAAAGATTATTAAAGATTATTAAAGATCATTAAAGATCAATATTCTCTGCTGTCATACCAGTATTGGATATGTGTTACACGATTTATGCAATTTTGGATCTTACGTACAAAGTTTTGGCATGGAGTTTCCCAGATGCTAAATCAATTTATGCACATTTCCCCATTTTCAATCAACAAAAGCAAATGCCGATTCTAAAGGATATAGGAGCAGTCTTAACAACATAATAAAATCAGGCAAGATATATAAATATTTTTAGATAATATTTGCAGGATTTAGATAATTGAATTTAAATTAATTGTTCTGGTATTCTTAAGATGGAACCAGGGGCTGCTTTCTACAGATGTTCACCAATATATTTTTATTTAACATTAATACACATATAAATAAAGCTAAGTTACCCGTAAAAATGTCGCATGTAATTTTCAGTAGTCGTTTTTCAATGGTGATTTGATCCTTTTTAATATTATCCATGGTTTCATCGAATGAAATAGTAAAACTGTTTAAATTGTCTTCGACCATCTGTAAGCGTTTGTTAAAGTCATCAAGCTTCATCTTGGTAGGATAAGTCTTCAATTTTACTTTCAATTTAGCTTTTTCTTTTTCCCGATTACTTATTTCTCCCACGGACAGATTTTTGTGAATTTCCATACTCTTATAACATCCCTTTAATTTATCATTTAGCATTTTATTTTCGTCCTCCAAGATCATGTTCCTTGTTTTCAAAATCTTGAATTCCTCTGTTATATCGCCAAGCTTCTTCAAAATATTGTCAGTTGCGTTTTCACTATTTATAGCTTCGCTTTCAAAGTTACAAGATATTCTCAAAAAACAGAGTAATGAATATATCAACCGTGTACTCCACATGGCAGTTGTATTGTCTTATCCAAAAACTAGAATATTTTTGGCTGGTTAAAATGAACGTTTATATTATAAAGGATTGACTATGCAAATTGTATGCAAATTTACACGTAAATAGTATATTTAAAAATAATTGAGATATTTGCTATGTAGGTCATTTTTTGATATTTGTAAAAGTACATTAACTTGAATGAAACTTAACAAAAAGAGAATATACGCTATCACTATTATTCGTTGGATGGAAATGTCAGAAGTTGATGCGAGGTTAATGACATGGGAAAATTAATAAGTTCCATCTCTCTCTCTCTCTCTCTCTGTGTGTATGTGTGTGTGTGTGTGTGTGTTTAAATTATTTGTTACAACAAACAAGGAGTTGATAGGTGAAGGTGACAAAAGAATGCTCAATAGACACCAGAGAGAAATTTTCTATTTTAGTTCAATCAAGAATATAAAAAATTCCAACTAAAATATAAAACATCACTCATTTATTTTAGTTCAATTCATTTGGAATATTTTGCATTCAATGTATATAATTCTTTTTTCACAAAAGTATTTAGAGTTTATATTTCTAGTGTCATATCACAGATAAAATCTTTCTTAAGCCTTAAGCTACTATTCTCTCAGGAAAAAGAACAATAATATAAAATTATACGTTAATCTACGACACAATGTTAATTAGTCATACTAAATTTATATTTTAGAAAATTATTTTTTGCTAAATATTTATGCAATTGCAATTTTATTGCAAATCATATAATGCTTAGAACTTTTATTGTACTTGTTAAAACCAATAAAATTATGCAATTGTACACGTATATCCCCGGATTCTTTACTTTTACTATTAGAATTTTTCCTTAACTAATTACTGTATTTTTTTTATATAAACAATATCAAACAACAAATCGGACAAAGGAAAGCAAGGTCGTGTGAATTTCGTGAAAGGCAATTTAGATTCTGGATTTGAATTTCGCAATAACGATAAAAATGGATAATGGCGAGCGTTCGTGTGCGATACGAAGGATATGTGGGCGTTTCAGCATGAATTTTTCCAAACTTCAGCTATTTTGCAATGACAAGCATCTAATTATAATTGAGATCTAACTTTACCTATGATGTAACTGAGTTCTTTATATTTTTTGTCAGAACAGCACGTATTTTTTCAAATGATTTTGAAAAAAAATTATATTGCTCGATGCAAAAAATACATGTACTTTTTACGATTTTCTCTGGCTTTTACGAGAGGCTTGTTTTCATTTTACGATAATAATACAAGTCACTGTTGCAAAAATGATTTCAAATTCCATAATGTCGCAAAATTGACTGATCGTAGTAAAAAAAAATTGCTTATTATTGGGAATAGCATCATTTTTCTTTAGCAGGGTTTAAATGTGATATAATCGTACGTCGTGTGTTCTCCATATTGTACAGTATACGTATGTTAAGGCCTAACGTTTCAAACACCAATATCAATCGACGCTGACCACGACTTTTTGCAATCTCTACACAGTTATCGTTCCCGCTACGCTCCACTTATACATGTACCTCTGTTAACGTCTAAAAAGTAGTACGAAAAACGGAGACACGTGACCTTTAAGGACATACGCAACGTAGTTTGAACTTTATTGTCTTTTTCCCTGGAGTTGAAGAGTTCCAATACTTAAAGGAACTGTGTGCTGCATTTTAATGTCTATATATTCTGTTGTACACTTCTTCTTAAACAAGTTTGGATAAACAAAACATCTAGAATATATGTTTAGTAATTTTCATATATTTTTCTTTGAATTATGCAAGAATTTTCATCAATTGATATCTTTTTAAAACCCCTGGTAATGCGTGCTGATTTTTTGTCTATGAACATCTGATGGCACTATAATCTTAAATTAAGAATATCTGGAAAAATTATCAGTAGGTAAGGTTCGTTGCGTATGTCCTTAAATGTATCACAGGAAGATTGACAAGCTTTTTACCTTTACGTTTCTTAATCTTTGTTAATGCTGCCTGTTGTTTGTCTTTTTAAAAGAAATGTTGATATTTGTCGGCAATGTATTTTAAATTTTCCACGTTCTCCATATCCGTCGACATTAGTGATGTAATATCCAGCCGATAAATAATCCCTAGTAAGATGCGGTGATACAGATATATCTTTTTTTTTTCTAATTTTTATAAATAAAATTTATTTTAAAATCTAAAGCTTAGATATATTACTTTTAAATTTATAACTAATGATGCAATAGGTCAAAGTAAGTTTTGCCAAGAATTTTGACATTTAGACGTTGACAGAGATGTTGTAGGTAGGGTTGCGTAATACGCCCTCTGGTGAGAGATAGGACTTTCTGTACAAAAAGAAACATTCGCCTTTACATTGTAATAATCAAGATATGTTAAATAATAAATAAATGATATTTAAAACTTTACAGTTGTAATCATAGTGTTTGTTCAAAAATAAATTACCTACAAATTGTCATTTATTGTGAAAATGAGTTTATTTCGAAGTCAAAATTGGCCACACACAAAATGTTTGTGCTATGTTTACCTTTTCTTATTCATTCACATAACTATACACGTACTTGAATTCATTAAATTAAATGTTAAACTATGAAGTCCTAAACAGTACTGTGGTCTTATATTTCTATTTACATTCTTTGACCGGATTTTTTTTTTGGCCTATTATTATTATTTTTTGAGACTTTTGAACTGTTTCTGATTGCTGGACCGAAACGGATAGTACTCTTCAATTATACACAATCAAGTAGGAGGTGGTTGTTTCTTCTAAGGTCAGTACATTACGTTCATATCTAGCTAAACAGAAGTGACAATTAAAACATTTGTAAGATTGTCCTTAAGTCAAGCCTTGTAGGATGGGCTTAAGATGTGTTTGCTCATGGATCAAAGGTTTGTGAAATTGGTCATTTAGACAAGTATTTTGTAAAGATGTACAGTTACCAACTCCTCCCAAGAAATCATACTTAACACATCTATTATCATAACCCATTGGATATATTGCTCATTGTTAATTATACATGTATATATGTTAAGCAGTATGTCTACCTTTATGTCCATAAAGCCTTAAACTGTTAAAATAGATCGATATAATGCATCTTCAATGTATGACCAGCTTGAAGATGCATTATATATCTCGGTACTTCTTTTAATGCCTTATGTCTTAAACGGATTCGGGGGAACTGGCCTTAAAACTTTGAATTTTTAAATCAAAAGAGAATATTATTTCAAGGTTTGAAAGTCAACAGCAATGAAGATATTTCTGTTACGTACAGCAATCAAATGACGTCCAATATTGAATTGATTTTGCAAAGAAATAATTTTAAAAATAAAATATTTTTTATGAAAAAATAGAGAAATTCTTTCAACCCTATGCCCTTTCAAAAAATAGGTACACTTCTTCCAAGACCAAATCAAATTATTTGATTAAAGGGACACTCAGTCGAAATAACTTGACGATCACGACAAGCAAAGTTCAATCTAAAGGGAAAAAAAAACACGATTTTCCTTTCCCGTTATAAATTTTCGACAAACAAATTTAATTTGTTACAACTTTAATCTTTCATAAACTTTAAACTGATATTTTACACCGCCTTCTTCGTGCACATCTGATAAACTGAAACGAAAAAAAATACACCTTTATATTTTTATAAACTTCATCGTTGTTTTAAACAAATAATATATAATTGTAGCCTCAAGGTTGACCAAAAAAAAAAAAAAATGGAAAGAAAACTTGACAAAATAATATTGTACGTAAGTGCAAAATAGTTCATAGGAGGTGGCTTAGCGATTTACTTGCTGAACTTGCTATTGTCCGAATAGTCAGTAAATAGTTGTTTTATTATACGGAAACCGACTTTACTTTATTTGTATTGTAGAATTACGGAAGCCCATTTAGGACCTATCAAAAATATTTTTGAATTCGATATTACGAATTGTAGAAATTGTTAAAACGAATTTAATTCAATGTAACATTTTTATGCCCCCGGATCGAAAGATCCCGGGGGTATATTGTTTTTGTCCTGTCTGTCTGTTTGTCCGTTTATCTGTTTGTCTGTCTGTCTGTTGTCAACTTTAACCTTGCCCATAACTTTTGATTGGTTGGAGTTATGACTTTCATATTTCAAATGTGTATTCCTTGTGACAAGACCTTTCATTGGGTACCATCATATTTGACCTTTTGACCTTGACCTTGGAGTTTGACCCACTTTTGCAAAATTTTATGAGACTTTAGCCTTGGCCATAACTTCTGAACAGTTGGTGTTTGGGGTTTCAACTTCACATGTGTATTCCTTGTGACAAGACCTTCCTCTGGATATCAACCTCTTTGACCCTTTGACCTTGACCTAGGAGTTTGACCTACGTTTGAAAAACTTTAACCTTGGCCATAACTTTTGAATGGTTGATGCTAGGGCTTTCATTCTTCACATATGTAATCCTTGTGACATCACCTTCCTTTGGATACCAACCACTTTGACCCTTTGACCTTGACATAGGAGTTTGACCTACTTTTGAAAAACTTTAACCTTGGCCATAATTTTTGAATGGTTGGTGCTAGGGCTTTCATACTTCACATATGTATTCCTTGTGACAAGACCTTCCTTTGGATACCAACAACTTTGACCTTGACCTTGATGTTTTACTTACTTTTAAAAACTTTAACCTTCACCAGAACTTTTGAACAGCTATGGGTTTCAAAATTGACATTTTTTTATCTTTTGGCCTGGATTTTGACTTGCATTTGAGACACTTTAACCTTCGCCATAAGCTGTCATACGGGGGCATCAGTGTTTAACAAACACATCTTGTTTTAATTGTTATAACGAATTAAATCTGTTATAATATATTTCTTGAATTCGTTTTAATGAATTCAAAAAATTGTTATAAGGAATTCATAAATATTTTTTGATAAGTCCTAAATGGGCTTACGTTTAGAAGTAAGTAAGTAAATGGTTTATTATAGTGACATGTGTTATGTACTATTACAAAAACTGTCAACAAATATACATATAATAGGAATTTCAACACCCGGCCCATCGGGCCTATATGTCACTTTTAACAATATAACATTCAATAAGAATACTGTGATATTACGCATTGCGTTTATTATAAATAATAAACTGTCTGTAAGTATATGCTGAGTATATGAATTTTCCTATTACTCTCGTTCAAAACATAAAAAAAAATGTTAACATTATTAATTAAATATTATTAATTACAGCCAAAATCTGAAGCTTGTTTGCAAAATCCTATATGACATAATACCTTATCTCTTTATATAGTTCTTCATCAAAGTATGGAAAGAATGTATCGGCAGGAAACTCCTCTAATACTTCTGTTAAATAGATCCTTTTACAAAAAGGACTTTCTATTGCCTCCTAAAACAGGCAATGATAATTCTATAAATTAACATACGATAAATGCATACCGTAAAATTAGTTTTTTTTTTCTTTTACTGTATTTATTTTCACGCTCTCGGATTTTTACATGAGAAGAAGCCATAAAAAAACCCCAGCAAACCAAAACAATGATTTCTAAGAGAAACTTAAAATTTTGTAATAAAGGACCATGAACTTCATTTTTTCCCTAAATCATTATAGTAAAGACATGGTGTACACAGAGACGTGAAGAAAACAAATAAAATATATTAAATACACTAAAAGGTAAATGGTAAACCTCATAAACTTTTTGGCCACCCAATATCCAGACTACATCAAAGAGTTCTCTGTTTTCCGGACTGAGGCAGAACTGTACCGCTTCATCCAACGAGGACACAGTTTTATGAACATCCGGGTCTTTCTGCAGAGATTCCCTCCAAAGAAATTTTAAATTTTTTTGGTATTACCCCGCGAAAACCATTGTTGCCCGAAGCGAAGCCGAGGTCAACAATGGTTTTCAAGGGAAAGTAATTTCACATGCTACCCATAAAAATCACGCAATATACCTTTATTTTGTTATTCTTAATGTATATTTACAATGCATTTAAAGAAAAATGTCATGGTGAACCGTACACGCAAACAATTTCCGCACTTAACCATTTTTATACTATTAAACGTCGTCATGCATTTTCAACCGTTGCGATATAGTGTTACCGGGAGAGCGTGGTTTATTCGCTCGGTAAGGGTAATAGTACTTTTTAACAAATGTTTTTAAACCAATCAAATTTGACTACTTAACATGAAAGTATAACAATCAGACATATTACTGTACGTGTACATAAATTGGCGTATTCAAAATTTAGCGCAATCACTGGGTATGGAGTTGTTGGCGTAATCATGAATTAGCGCTACACATGTCCATGCCGTGTACTGTATTTATAAATAACTTCTTAGCGGTATTTGTAAATTAGCGCATCGTTGTCTGCGCCAAAGCCGCTAAAATATGAAGCCCGCTTTTTAAGTACACATACAGTATATTGACCACAATCGTTTTCGAAATAAGCTACATAAAAATAAATTCTACCCAGCTTTTCTGGTTATCACAATGTTAAACACGTTTTTCCTTTTTCTTTGTTCGTCTCCTGTGCCTTCCCAAGTTTTTCTTCCTTGAATATTGACGCATTTTTTACCTGCAATGAACAAAGCAGCGTCTCAATGATGATTTTTTTTTTCAAATTGAAGGCGCTGAGGGGGAAGGGGATAGGGGTATATTAGGTAAAATTCTTATACGTTTAAATTTGTTAAGAGGGTCTAGTTTTTCATAGTTGTGTAAATCGGAAAAATGCAAAGCTAGACCATGCAGACGATTCTACATGGAACAGAAGGCAGACGAGCAATATTTATTTGTGAAACACTGATGCCCCCGAGTGCCAGCTCATTGCCAACGTTATAATAAAAGTTCTTTACGAATGAATTCGAATCTGTCACAGGGGATGTACTTGTGAAATATGAAAGCTCCAACTTTAACCGTTCAAATGTTGTGGACAAGGTTAAAGTTTTTTTTTCAAAATTAATTGAAATTTCAAGGTCATGAGATCATAAATGTTGGTCCCCAAAAAAGGTCTTTTCACAAGGAATACACCTGTGAAATATGATAACTTTTGCACTACCGTTCTAAAGTTATGGCCAAGCTTATTGTTAAAGTTTATAAAAGGGGACAGACAGACTAAAAACTATATTCCCCCAACACTACAATTAATTAGGGGGTGTAATAAGGGGGATGTAGTAGAATTTGTTTTACCTGCAAAGGCTACCCGTGAGGTCAGTTCCATATAATAATCGTAATCTTTTCTGAAAGAAAGAAAGAAGTGGCAAAATGAAAAGAAACTTTAATTTGTAAAAAAAAAATGTAATATAAATAAAAGACATTTGATATCTAGAACAACAGCCATATTGATTCAGGACTCATTCCAAAGGTGTATTTGAACTTACTACAAATAAGTTAAATTTTAACGATAAAGTACAATGATTTTAATCATTGTGATAACTTTTGAACGCAAAATAATGAATCCCGCATCGAGCAAAACAATAATGATTGAAAATAATTGCAAAGCATGGGATTTATTTTGTAGATATTTGCACAATTTGAATTTAAAAGAATTTCTCAAAATATTCTTTTAGCAGCTGATACAATATATAGTACACTTCATTTCTATTTGAAAAATGTTTTACCTAACTACATGTACATTAATTTTACTAGGACTAGAGACATTTTAACGAGAACTATTAGGATTATATACAGAATCTGTGACACGGATTTTAAAGGGCACAGGATTTAAGCCACGAAGCGTAACAGGCATTGTTAAAAATGTTTTCTGGTCTTTATACCAACGAATTGTCCCCACGTATGGATGTGTTTAATAGCTATCTGCCTGGCTACTTTTATTTTAGCGTACAACAGAGGACCGAAATGACAAGTTATATTTGAATTAGCTTTAGATTAATTATAAATTAGATTTATATAATTAGATTGATTTATCTTTATACAATCTTTAGAGTTATAAGTATATATACGTAGTTTTATTGGTGTTTTGACTGGCTTGTCTAGTTATTAGTTCTTTATTTAATGTCAAAAATTAAATAATATTGCATTTGCTTTTGTTGTTAGGGTGCTCTGAATTCTTATTACTTTCATTGTCTTATGATCAACAGGATGTAATTTATTTAAATACAATAATGATGAAGCTACCATGGCCGTAGTAATTAGAAACGATTCCTTGGCTGTTTTAGATACATGGCCAGGTTATAGACTATGCCGCTAATGCAAAGATCGATCGAAATTTTGTGTATAGGTCTGGAAGTTTAATCTTCGTTCAAAGTACAGTAGGGACACATAACATTGAATATATACTTCCTCCTTGAAATTAAAAAATACCCCCCCCCCAAAAAAAAAGAGAAGGGATAGGCACATCATCTTACTTGAGCGGACGCCAAGGCAGCTTTCCTTTGTATCCAACACCTCTTCCTCGGCACATGGCAGCCATTACGTAAAATCCAGGTTGTTCCATCTCGTTCTTGACTCGAACACTGGTTAATTAAAAGTTTAATATACATGAATTCATAGTATCTGAAGACTAAGATACGTCATTCTTGCCCGTTTGATGGTCTTTAGTTTTACCTCTTTCTAGTTTATATAAATCAATTACAGAAGTTACATTGTATGATCAATGACCAAGCGATCGAAGACAAGCTTCTATCGACATTACGAAAGGAAATACATATACAAGAGACCTTTGGGCCACAACTCTCACCTGAGTAAAATTGCTCGAGCGGTAAGCTGAATAAATTGTGCGTAAAATTATCAAGCAAAAAAAAAAAAAAACAAAACAAAAAAAAAAAAAACAAGTATAGTCAGTTTTTCCTTATAATTACATTTTACATGATTCGTGATTCAATAAAAAATATTCTTGTTCAATAATAAGTACTCTCAGCAAGCCACTCTCTTTTGTATTTCTAAGCAACACACAAGAAAGCAAGCTAATGCGATGTGCTGAGCAAATCGCATTATTGGGTAATAAAGCTATTACCTTTTTGTAGTTTTATCTCGAACAAAGTCATTTGAAAATGTAAACATTGTAAACGCTTTGTTGCAGTGACCAAGGATTATGGTTAAGACAAACATTGTAATACTGTTTGTACTCTTTGTATTAAGAGTAAGCTTTTATAATCCAAAGCACTTGGGGTATGGATCTACCATTTCCATTTTTTAACAGCTAAGCGCAGCGCAAAAGCGCTTAGTGGCAGCCTACAGCTACTTCCCACCCCGTCCAGCGCCACTATAAGCAGGTTAGATAACTCTACTGAGTCTTTCAAAAATAAATGCAACTGGAAATCACAGACCCTCTTTCGACTATTTTAGTGCAGAGTTACGTGAGGTTCTAATAACAGGTGTCAATTAGTAAGGTAGAGATTAACCTTCATATGTACAAATAGTGGATAAGGGCGGTTCTTATCTCTGTACAATGTATATTCATTGTATTAAAAATAAGTGTCGGCACACACCACTTGTTTAACATTTAGCTAACAATTGCTGCAGTGAAAATCCGAAGTAAATAACGATCAGTACTGATACAAATACCATAAACGCATCATTATACAATGTAATGTGGTGATTTGGTAAGTTCATGTACATACGTATTTAAAACTCAGAAGGGATTTAAATGAGTTTTGAACTCAAATACGAATTTAAACATTAAGTAGAAAATTTTGCATAAAAGTTTACAGGCGCGTAGCCAGAATAGAAATGATGTGTACGCAGAGAACGGCAGGGGGTTAGGTGGGGGGGGGGTCTTGAGCCCCCCCCCCCCTTCAGTGTTTAAGGGCTCTGATCAGGAACGTAATATAACTTTTGCCAGCCAGGAAAAAATTACAACTTTAAAAATTTTGTCAAGCAAGTACGAAAAAGGAAGATTGTCAAAATTCGAAGTCCTATTTCTTGTGTGTGTGTGTGTGTGTGTGTGTGTGTGTGTGTTTGTTGAAGGGCCCCTTCGTCTATTTTCGTCTATTTTACGTTAAATGAAATTTATTGAGAGAAAATATATCAATGTCATATCAATGTCATACAGCTATGTTAATACATATAAATGAAGAGTTGAGCTGGGGGACCTACCAGTCTTCTCCTCTTTCTCGATGAGGGTAGATCAATTCATCATTTTTTCGAAAGAAATGTAACAAAATAATGCTGTCTATTACTAAAATCTAGTCCAGAATTTTTGTTTTATGCTTATTTTTTCAAAATGCGTTAAATGTCTCCATGGTAAAAAATATTGATGTACACTCTTAACGCACTTTGAAAATTTTTTTCAAAGTCCGTTGATTTTGTCCTAAATTTAACGCATTTTGAAAAAAAAAATCCAAAGTGGGGAGAGGGGGGGGGGGAGGTGTGTCCATCTTTCACCAAAATACCATGATTTAACAATGCTGCAACGAACAGTGGGGGGTCCACCCTTTCAATGTACATTTTTTCAATAGTAAAAGGTTAGGTTTTGGGAATAAATAGTGGGGAGGCTCCCCTGATACTACGTGCCTGCTGGTGAGGGCCCAGAAGCTCCGGAGTTTTACCAAATATTTCATTCATTTTCTTGAAATATAAAAATTATGCCATTTAGTTTTGTTTAGGAAATAAAAGACATAGTAATATTTATTGTTTTAACGAAAATTAATATTCCATGGAAACTTATTGTACATATAATTGAGGCTAAAATTTAACCGATATATTAATTGGTATCAAATAATCATTCTTAACGTTTAAAAACACGTATACAAAATTTTAATTATGAACAAAAAAATATCGTATTGTAAATCATACTTAGTCTAGTAGATCATAGCATTCAACGATGTGGCTGAAATTTATTAAATAAAAGGGAAAGTTCCCATTCGTTGGTGTCATCCTAAAATATCACGCCCGAGTTTTATTTATCTAATTTTCTTAAAAATACATATATTGTCTTCTTTATAGTCAATATATATGATATCTGAAATTTTTATCTACATTTTCTCGGCAAGTGTATGTTCTTTGAAAGTCTTTTTTTTTCTCACGACCCCCAACATGGACGTCGACGGATTGGGAATTTTTTAAATCGACATTCCAAAACCACAAAAAGGCTGTTTGGGACCGTTGAAAGGTAAATAAAGTATTAAGAATAGGAGTAACATATATTGCAATTTATCTGATACAATTCTTAAAGCGGAGGAAAGCATAAAATACAAGAAATAATAGCCGAAGCGAGCGACAAAAAAGTGGCGGCGTAAATCGAAGGTTTTTACAACGCTTGGATCTGTAGCTCTCTGCTTTATCTGTCCGAATTTTCTCAAGCAGAGAGCTACAGTTCTGCATCTAATCTGCTTAAACACATCAAGAGGACTAAATAAGAACAAAATTATGCAATGTTGTATATCTTATAGATTTACGAGATAAATATCATTATTACTAGTATCTTTTCAAAACTAAAACTAGATACCTAGGAGCAAAAGAGATGCACTTTTATTCATATTTATATTATTGCATTTAGTTCGTTTGCTTAATATTCAGAGGCAGGGGAGACAATTTTAAAAGCAATAATTCATTTTCAGTATATAATATATAACCCCCCATCTTTCCCAGTTTCGGAAGAAGCACCCTCATCATAACCATGCACCTTAAATCATCGGCTTTTTACCTACAGCAAAAAGATTTTCAAAGAATTAATGCATTTTCATTAAATTATCAATAGAACCCCGCCCTTAAACCAGAACTTCTGACCCTCTGGCCATGATATTTACAATTTTGGAAGACACAACCTTGCTCATTACATCATAACTACAATTAGTTTGTTTGCTTTATGTCCAGAAACAGAGGAGATTTTCAAAGCATTAATTTTTTTCACCATATAATCAATACCCCCCCCCCCCCATTTTGAATCCCTGAATCTGGGGTCATACATTTCACATTTATGAAAGAGGCACCCTTATTCATCGTAACTATGCACTTAGCTTAATACTCAGGAACAGAGAAGAAACTTTTTAAAGAATTAATGCATTTTCAATGTATAATCAGTAGAGTCCCAACTTAACACCAGAACCCATGACCCAGGGGCCATGAAATTTCACAATTTTGGAAGAAGCACTCTTGCTCATCATAACTATTTAATTAGTTCATCTGCTTACACATGTAATACCCAGGAGCAGAGGAGAAGATTTTTAAAGAAATATAGCATTTTATCTATACAATTTATTATCAACAAAGACCCGCCCTAGCACCAGAATCCCTGAATTTCACAATTTTGGTAGAGGTCTCAATGCCAGTTTGACTGCTTGATGTCCAGGAGTCAAAAAGTGTTTTTAAAGATTGCATTAATTTTGATGGTTTAAGCCCCATCCCTCAGCTGTGAATTTCACAATTTTTACTCCCCTTCACCCATAGATGCTATAAGCCAAAACTGGTTGAAATTGGTTTAATGGTTTCAGAGAAGAAGCTGAAAATGTTTAAATCTTAATGCATAACGTACGAAGACAGACAAAAACAGTAACAGGTCACCTGCGTAAACTCAGGGGACCCGATAATTCATCTACTATGATAATTGATCATGATTCAGAGATAAAAGGATAGGAATGTTTTATCACCAAACGAAGAAGACAAACGTAATATTCCTATTCCCCAAATTTATACATGTATATACCAACAAGTTTCTGTCCATCAAAAAGGACTGCAGAACCTTGACCATAGGCATGTGTTTCCTAGTTTTATTGACATCACCATTTAGGCATACAGCCAGGATAACAAATAAAATGAAAGGAAACAGAAAACTAAATTGAACAAAAACAAAGCGGACACAGCATCAAGACAAATTCACACAAAATGCTCTATATGTGAAAGGGTTTACTCAGGATCAGAGCTAAGAATATTGTCCAGTTTTAAGCAGAGTCTTTCTCCATCACAAGGAAGATATTTCTGTTAAATAAAGGAGACATTTCTGAATACATAAAATATTTGTCCCATAAAAACCCCAATCTGAACTATCAAAGTGACTGCAGTAAAGTGTCTCATTTCAATTTTAAACCTTCTTACAAGATCGATCTTTTATTTTTCCCATAGGTTTAATATTAGATACTTGGTCTATGGTAAAACAATATACCAGACCTGTTTACCTATATTGTTGTCTCTCAGTATTTTTTTATTAGATTTGTCAGTGAGATTTGGCATTTGCCAGTAAATATTTCACTTTCCATCGATTGTACATATATTACTAGAGAACAACTACGATTCTGATTACCACAACTGTCATTTTTTAAACCACCGCGTTTTGGAAACCCGACGTCACTTAAGCGTTTGAAATCTTTTCTTTATTACAGTGATTAAAAAACGTCAAACTGAGACAAATCATAACGAAAAATAACTGCTAAAATTTCCGTATTTTCATAGTGGCAAAACGTGAGACGTGTTTTGGACTTAAAATCCGTACAAAATACGGGGAAATCGTAAGAGTAAACAGGTCTGATATACACATTTAAGGTAAGAAAAAAAATAAGTTATCTTAGATTGCAGATACTCAAAACAAATTTTAAAAAATAAAATATAGAAATAGGATCATTTTTTTATCAAAAATTATAAAAAAAAAAATTATACACAGAAAACCTTTATACAGTATACTGTATTCAGGGCTATCATTCCTCTTTGCTATTGTTTTTTAACATGTATACACCAAAGTGGCACAATGAAAAGGAAAACTGTTTTCACTGCTTTTAAAGCAAACTATGTTACACTATACATTTTAAATTCGTATTAATAAAATAAAAGTTAGTATAATGTAACATAAATAAGTACCATCAAAAATTTTCTTATGCCTACATGTAGCTCATAAAGACTTCAAATTTGTATCTTTTCATATACTTCAAATACAAAGTCTATATTCTTCTCTGTCATTCTTTCTTTTGGCAAATCTTCACAGCTTAAAAGAAATAAAAATAGTAAAAAGAACTGTCTATACCTCACTCACTGTGTTGAAACATCTACAAAAATAGTTGTGAGATGCAGTTTACAGTGTGTTTTGCATTGCTATTAAAACAAAGGCAACACAAAGTGGTGCATCTCCTCACAAAAGAGTATATTGATCCCAATAAAAACTTATGATTTCCATTACACACAAACTCACCCACCCACTTAGACACTCATAAGCGCATCACTGTATTCCATCCAACTTCATTGCGAGGGGATAATTAAACTACTAAAATCAGCTTAGAAGACCTATCTACATGAAAGAGTCATCACTATGACATTTCAGGACTTCCTGACATGTTAATCATTTCACACTACAATGACCAGAATATTTTTTGGAAAATAAAACAAGAAGTCTGTGAGCAAATGCTCACTAGTAATACCCCCACTCTGATGTGAATATACACTCTCATATTGACATCAAATTCATACAAAAATGAATCCCACCATTATGGCATGCCTAAATAAAGATTGTGCTAAAATCTCAAGCATCTGCGCTGAGTAGTTACTGAGAAAACTTTGACGGAAATTTGGTACGGACAGACACACGGATAAACAGGAAGTTGACATCTGATTCAAACAAAAGTGTATCCCGCCATATGGCATGCCTAAACAAAGATTGTGATAAAATTTCAAGCAACCGTGATGAGTAGTTGCTGAGAAAACTGCGATAATAATTTGTTATGAATGGTACAGACAGATGCACGGATAATAAGGCTGCCACGATTAACCAAAATATCGGTTTACCATGATTCAAAGTCTTCCAGTTTGATTAAGTACGTTTTTCCTGGATTTCTATTCGATTCAGACTAACATTCACTGTTGTAAGGTGCATTCTGATTGGTTAATCGGAAGAAATAATGGCAAATCATTTTATAGTAAACAAAAACATGAAAACTGCGAAGAAGTCGGTGGAGGACTACTTCCATTTTCTACAGAAAGATGTCACAGATGATAAGTGCATTTAGGCAATACCCATCAGCCACGCAATTCTGAATTTAGAGGACCTGACTCAGAGCTGCAAATTTTCTTATTTCTTTTAAATATTGACATCGTTTTGAATGTGAAATTAATTATGGAAGTATGTTACGACAGCAATGTGTTTCAACGTTCTGATATTGTAGTGGTGAGTCAAAAATTTAAATAAACACATCAGGGATCCAATCATAATTTCTGTTGTGGCAAAATAGCTTTTGTAAGCAAATCACCAATACTTAAATGTTTAGCATATGCGATCATGGAAGTTTTGTTTGAAAGATTTGTTTGCATGTTTCCTCTATTAAAACTAATGACCAGTATTTTTATAATTTGAATTTCAGACATCTGATTCTTGGTTCATACCTTGTAATTAATTAGAAAATTATAGGTATTTCCTTTGTTTTCTTGGCTTTACATTCCATATTATCTTAATAAATCTAATAAAAGTGTGTTTCATTATTTATTTTGAAATATCAAACATTACAGATTTTATACAAAAATCAAAAAAGGTTCTATTTCTATTTATTTATTCGAAATTTGAGGTTTTTGTTTGAACTGAATCGATTCGAAAATTTTCTGATTTGTGGCAGCCCTAACGGATAAATAGGAAGTTGACATCAGATTCGAACATAAATGAATCACCATATGACATGCTAAACAAAGATTGTACTAAAATTTCAAGCATCTGTGATGAGTAGTTGCTGAGAAAACTGCGACGAAAATTTGTTACATACAGATGCACGGATAAACAGAAAGTTGACAATGGATTAAAACAAAAATGAATCCCACCATATGGCATGCCTAAATAAAGATTGTGCTAAAATTTCAAGCATCTGTGATGAGTAGTTGCTGAGAAAGCTGTGATGAAAATTTGTTACGGACAGATGCAAGGATAAACAGGAAGTTGACATCGGATTCAAACAAAAATGAATCCCATCAGATTCAAGCATCTGTGATGAGTAGTTGCTGAGAAAACTGTGATGAAAATTTGTTACGGACAGACGCAAGGATAAACAGGAAGTTGACATCGGATTCAAACAAAAATGAATCCCATCATATAGCATGCCTGAACAAAGATTGTACTAAAATTTCAAGCATCTGTGATGAGTAGTTGCTGAGAAAACTGCGACGAAAATTTGTTATGAACAGCCACACGGATACACAGACAGACACACAAGGCTAAAACACTATACCCCCCTCTCCTTTGGAGCGGGGTATAAAAATGATTAAATTTTGCATTTAACTGTTTAAGTTTTTTTTCCCCTGAAGACTGTTCATTTTCTATTACTGTAAACCAACAAATCGATGAACTATTATTTGCAACAACTTTTATTTCGGGTTCGAAAGTTTGAAATTTATCTGCTTCAATCTATTAATGTTCATGTCTGAGAGAACAGTCTACATAAATTGCCCATTACAAGAACTGATTCATGGGGAGAAATATTCAAGAGTAAAAGAAGGTTGCAGAACTCATAGATATTTTTGCACATGAATAAAAGTTGGTATATAGTATCAATCATAACTGCTGACAATTTTCATATTAAAAAATTCAAAATTGAATGGTCATAGAAAATTGGGGCTAAAAAAACCACTGATAAACTGAAAATATTAACACAGGCTCCTACAGACCTATTTGTTCATTAAAAAATCAGATGATGCAAGAATGTTGAAGTTCTTGTCCTGAAATGTAAATCATTTCAGCAGCCTTGCTATAAGGCTTGCATAGAACATATTAATTAAACAAGATCAATGGTAATTTAATCTTGAATATTTAAAGCACTTAAAACTCCTAGCCAGAACTCTAAACTTGGTTATAGACATCCATAAACCATAGTTTATACTCACTTTTCAATCTTTTTGAACACAGTGAGATCGAATTCTGGAAGAAATGTGTCACAGTCAAAATCTGCCAGCACACGGGTCAGGTAAATTCTGCAGGGGTAGTTAGACTCGAAGGCTGCCTAAAAATAACATCAAAGCATGGTATTGAAAACCTATGCACAGTTGAACATCTTATCTCAAAAACCTATATCTTTAATACCATGGCTATGTCAAAGTGATTTGGAAGTCCCAACTACTTATTCTTTTTAAGTATTTTATCCTCGATATCTGGAATCCTTGGATATCTTGGAAGCTTTTTCTCTGTCCCATCGAGTTTGAGATAACGAAGTTTGACTGTAGTTTTATTGATGCTCAATTTAGGAAGTAGTTTTGATTTTTTAAGATGTTTTCTATGTCATTAACTTAAGTTGTCACAAAATTTACTTTATACACAGAGCTCCCTCCAATGATGTGAACACCTTCAACTTTGTCAGCTAGGATGCCATTACCAGTTACCATGGAAACAGCCTCATCCAAACATTTAGCTACATATGTCCCCTCTGGTGCATGGCTATAAAAATATGGTAAATACATACAAAATTTACTGTCCATAGAAAGCATGCATTGTGATCACAAGGCTAAAGAGTTATTATTTTGTTTGCATACATGTATTAATGGTAAACTTGTGAAGAAATAGTAATGCCTTTCATGAATGGGAATGTTGCACAAACCTCTACTGAGAATTTAATGTAAATTTGTATGAAATTATTAATGTTATTCTTTTGCATCTTAATAGATAAATTGAAGTTTTAAATTGGACTGAATCCTTCCAATCTAAACATGATATTAAGGTTAGGTAAAATTAAAATAATGGTTCTCAGGCCAATTTTCTTAAAAACAGATGAGGGCTGGAGGCTTTCTTAAAAACCATTTTATCAGCGATAAATTAGATGTGGGAGGCATTTTTTATTCCAAAATTTTCTATAAAAATAAAGATGAAAATTCTTCCTTCATAATTAAACTGGAGTCATTCTGAAGATATACGTAACATCTCACAAAATTACCAAATATATGCATACTACAAAGTGTCTATGTTGAATGACTGTCAATGTCAACATCTATACCAAATGGCTACTGGAAACAAAAAATCGAATGCAAATCTACGAGTAAATAAGGGCTAAATTTTTTTTTCCCTGGATTGGTCTCCGTACTATAAACTTTTTAGTTGATTGAAAATTTGATAAAATTTGCAATGTGGCTACCTCAAAACAGATGTGCGCAGGCCCGAGAACCATAATTTAAATGTTATCTAACCTAATGTAGGAATGTAATTCTTAGTTATTATGACAAACTTAAACCAACTGCCTGAATTCAGAAAGGTTAATTTCATAATGAAGTCATTGAAACAAGAAAAACATTATAATGACAAAAGTTAATTATGATTGTGACATAAATAAAATATGCAGGGATTGAAATAGTTATCGACTGGCAATTGTAAACTGTTCAAGCTTAGAACCATCTGTGGTCCTAAATCCTAATCATCTATTGTTCAGTCAGGGGCATGATGGAATCAAGTTATTTTTTAAAATAATTTTTTAGGTTACTTCACTTATTTATTACTAAACAAAGAAATAACTCATTTGAGTTAATTCTTAAAACATAGAATGCCTATCAATTTTGCCAAAAAACATCAATATTTTGAGTTTGCAGCTGATTTAAGATGATGTATTTAAGGCTGAGAAAGTTGTAAATATATGTACTTCTTTTAACAGACTCAACAGACTTCATATCTCCTGAGCAGATAGGATGATATTTATCAAAACATCATGATATTTTTCAGGGAAAAATAATTCCATTTCATGAACATTTCAGAGGTCAATTACACAACTTCCGCCAATTTTGCCAACAGTGAGACTAATTTTCCTCAATTCCTTGGATATTACTGTACAATCTCTATGTCTTACAATTTTTGTGCAAAGCTGTAGATTTTTGTGCAAAGGTGTAGATTTTTGTGCAAGAGTTCTAAAGTGAGGTTGGTTAAGGTTGAAATAACTGAAATAAGTTATGATTTGTTGAATTTCAACTTGTTAAATCTTAAAGATAGATTACTTTTACTGTCATGAACCTTTTCCATCTACTTAATAACCCAAGTACAGAATGAATAAAGCTTTTCAGATGCCAGTAGGTTTAAAATAATGAATAATAAAGTGTCAATAACTGGAATAAGTTACTGAAGAAAAGCATAATCAGGGAAAGATAACCCAAAATAATGACATTTAATAACTTAAACAAATTATTTTAAAAATAACTTGTTTCCATGATGCCCTTGACTGTTGTTTGCAAAAACAGACATTTATTACTCTCTTTAAAGGTGGTATTTTGTTATACTTCTTTTAATATATTCATCTAAGGGGACTCTATAGTTGTATAGTTTTTTTCAGAATAAAATGCTCCAGCTCCTCCCCCACCCCTTTCACCTGGTGTCAGAAACACTTCAATGGCCCAGGTTAAGTTAAAAGATGCACATGAGAGAATAAATTAAAACTGACCTCATGGTTGTACTCAAAATAATGTTTATCCTGTTTGGCAGTGGACGGAATTTCTCTGGGATTGAATACCATGTCTTTCTCCCCATCACTACTGCATTCTTTTTATCTAAAATTGTAGGTTAGGAAACTGTCCTGGTATCTTGATCAGATCTACTGTTTGTTTCTGGACTTAAAAATGTTTTCAAAAGAATGACCAGATTTATGTTACATTCTACTACGGTTATTGCAAAGATCAAAGAAATGCCATGGCCATTATTTAAGGAATGTTTTTAAGCTTTGTGTGAGTTATTGGTGCGTAAATCACACAGACTTGGCATATTTCATGAAGAGCGCTATACTCAATGTTTGAATTATTCACTGCCCTATATCGTTACATTTTTATTAACGTCTCTATAGCTCATTGTGACGTCACTTTAGTGCGAGTTTCTCCGTGCATATTTCTATATGCGAGTATACACGAAAATGGCATTCAAATCAATTTCACAGTTGGCTTAGTAGAAAAAGACAGCAAATGTAAATATTCTCCAATAAATCACAAAGACCATCAACAAATTATGAATAATTTTTAATCAGTTTCCTCTTATTTTGACTGCTACTACTAAGAAAAAGACTGAGGCCTTTTTTGATTGTGATGCAATTTTGTAGAAAAAGTTTACTTGGGATTCGTATTACCTCATACTTTTTGTAATGCGTGAAGTGCAAATACAAGAAGTAGCATTCAATTGTGACATAATAAGGCACTTAATGTTGATGTTGACATCTACTTCTCCCTTTCTCTATACAGGCGTTTAAAAATTTGGCATAGCAGAATAGAAATAATTCCCACATCCTCGGAATTGTTGGAGAATATACCCCTCAGTGTTAAGATTTTGTTGGCAAATAAAAACTTCGCCATTCTGGCTCGGTTTTTATTTGCCAACAAAATCTCTTGACTATCAGGTATATTCTCCAACAATTCCTCTGATGCGGTTAATTATTTCTTAAATAACCATGAGCACTGGAATAAAATACAAGAGATTAAGAGTTAGAATTTGCAGCAGATTATTGTCGTTAAAAGAAATATATATATTTTTTATTTGGTTATAACTTCATAACATACATACCTGCATCTTTTGTCTGTGTTGTAATTTTCTTGAAAAATTCCATGTCCTTCCTGCAAAAATAATTCACTCAGAACTTTAAATCAGAAAAGCACAGATAATTCAGTTGGTAGCATGACCATTGAAATCGTTACATGAGACCATGATAATAACCAGTCAGGTAAGCTAAAGAAAACCCTGTGCTATACATTGTATTCAACAATCTCAATCTAAATCACAATTATTGTTGTACTGAATGAGTTTCCATTGTATTCCATTTGTATTGAATGGGTTTCCTTAGAAAACAATTGAGTGTACGCCATATATTCAATGTGGAACGTCATTGATCTGATGTATTGGTTTATACTGCCTTTGTGTTTCTTACAAAGCTAAATGTATAAATCTGTATGTACTAGGTAACCTCTCTGAAAGTGCTATTGCTTGGGTGACGCGACGACTGATCAATGAAGTGAATTGACACTAACAAAGCATTCTAAGTCTGAATATGTTTACAAACACTAATTTCTTACTTCAATCGCCATGGCAATTGTCCGTCTTTCCCTATACCTCTGTTATTACAAGCAGCAACAACTAAATTCAGCTTTGTTGACATTTTTTGCTTTCGATTTTATTTATGGCGGGTATTTACTGTCATTCAGAACTCCTCGCATATTTAGCCCAGTAGCTAAGGGAATCAACTGAGATATGTCTGATTGTATTGTGGTTGATAAGAAAGTCGGAGCAAAACTGAAGAGAAATCCGGAAAGTTTTCTTGATTTAAAACGGGCGGAACTAGGATTTCTCTTCGGGAAAATTGCTTTCAATGCATTTGTCAATCAGATTGATTTATCGAGATGAAAGTTAGTGAACAAAAGTCATTGGGTGATTTGAAATAGGAAAGGTATACCTCAGCAGTGGAGAATCCAGAAAATTGTCCATATATGAAAATACTATTTCGTGGGGGCAAGGGGGGTGGGGGGTAATAAGTTCACATTTTAAGAGATTTTTTTTATCAGCACAAATACTGCGTTACTTTGGGACTAAATTTGGGGTATTTAGGCATAAACCCAAAAAAAAATACAAAACAAAACAAAACAAAACAAAAACAAAAACATAAAAAAAAACCTCAAACAAGGTTTTGCCGGGGGGGGGGGGTAACATATTTTATTATTCTTTATTTTATTTATTTATTATTATTATTTTCAATTTTTCCTTATTTTTATCATTAAAAAAAAACTTTTTTAATTTAATTTTTTTTGGTTAATTACTATAATGGTAATACTATTCATTGGTACAAGCATGCATGAAAGAAACTTTGACGCAGGAAAATTCAACAAAATTTGGATCAACTGCTGTTGGAAGGAAAGTTGTAAAAAGCCCCAAATCAGAAAAAAAATGAGCAAATAAGAATTATTTGGGGAAAAAAAGCTTAATGGCATTCTTATTAATTCTACCGTGCACTGTCGCCACGTTTTTAATGCAAAAAATCAGACATACGTGTATAAGCCATACATAAGTAACAATTAACTACAAAAGAACTAGTACACATGTATGGGTAATGTATTGGAGTATAAAGTTATAGCACTCATGCAACTTGATTTTTGAAGGTTAATTCCTAAAAATACCATTACGTTCAGTTAATCATAATTTTTAAAAAAAATATTATAATGGAGGGATGGCGATCGATATTGCGTCAGTTTTAAAGTTAGATCATACTTTGGGCCATATTCAATTGCCACATATAGGGCTTTGAATATACTTTTATTTAATGAACTCTAAGACTGATTCCACACTCCATTCCTGAAAAAAGAGAAATAAAACGATTGAGTGGTATTTTCTGGATAGAGAACAACTTTACATCGCACCTTTCAATCACCAAATAAATATTACTTACTTATGTGATGTAAGTTATGTCAATTGTATGGCTTAGTATGCCTTTACTGTTTTCAACTGTGTTTGCGGAAGTCTACTATAATCAACTGAAGGCATTCATTCTGTATGGAATCTGTTCTCTCCTTTCAGTAAAATCCACTCTTTTAATAGCTGCAATAGTCCAATCAATAAAATTTCACCTTGATCCTAAAAATTCAAACAAAAATCGGTCACAGGATGAAACTCTGTCATTCAGTAAACTGAAAGGTGACTGAATGACAGAGGTCTGCTATTCAATGACATTTCCAAACCTTTCAGTGCCCATTCACTTGACTGAATGTTGCAGCTTCATCCTGTGAGTATAAATTTCTAAAGGCTTAGACGAGTTCCTTTGTTTATAAAATGTTTTAAATCCCCTTATAATTAGTTCGACAATTGGTCAATCTAGGCCAGAGTATGCAAACTTTCTCTCGAACCCCCCCCCCTTTTTTTCCAAAGAAAAAAAAATGCAAAACTTTTAAAACATGAAATGGTCATATAAATTCAACTCCTGGCGAAATTTGCCGTTATCTTGTCTCCCTTTCTATACCACGTAACCCCCAAACAGATCTATATGGCATCACCTATTCTTAAAGTGCAGGTCCACAGACATTGATTTCGAGATTTTATAAATTCAAAACTCATGACTATGAAATAATTTTCAATTACAGTAAATATTTTTCATGGATCCATCTCTGGTAACTTTCAAATACACGTACATCTTTACAGATTTATTTTTAATAATGTATATATGAACATGTATATACATGTACTTGTTTACTTTTTTGAACTTAATTTCTAATTTGGATTTAATTATTTCACAATTTCAGAATCAGATCTTAAAAATTGAATCATCAATATTTGAATTATGTAAGAACCGTCATATATACACTATATAATACATTTGTTATTTAAACACAACGATCTGTCCATATTTGCACTACATGTAACTCGAAAAGTAGTGCAGACGTTAATCAGTGCATTCTATAAATGTGAAACATATAGGACTTTTAGTCGTGACCCAACCATTCAAATCTCTTATATATAAGACCCAATCTATTGTGTTATGCAATATTAAACTGTTTGGCCAGTTTGTCCACGTATAAGAGCCCTACTTTGATTTCATACTGCTATAATGAAGCTGTTGTTTTTAGTTTGCGTTCAGCTTTCAAGTGTCTTTGTTCACGGAGCATTTAAAGCTGGTAAGATATTGGATATTAAACAGAGTTTTTGAGAAATGGTTAATTCTATCTGCATGTATGTTAAGAAACATGTAATTTCTTGATACAAATGGAAACTTTCTTTGAGTTTGGAATTTGCTTAACCCCTTCTTGTAATAGATCTAGAACAACATTTTTTTTTATTTCATTTCAAAGAAAAGTATAAGAATCACAATTTCATTTTCTGAAAATATGTGTAATGTCTTTGTAAGAAATGTCTTTATAAGAAATATTACTAAGTATTGGAATTCAAAAAGTAAAAAAACCTTGACTGAAAACTATATAAATTTGCTCGAGTTATAAATGCTTCTGGGAAATATTAAAAAAGGAAATATTTTCAAATAGAAAAGTAAAATGTTCAGCCAGACATATTTCTGATTATTTCTTTCTGTTTTGGAGCAAGCTCATATTTTCAGACTATGACATTTTCTGTACTGCTTGAAGGCGTGTGTTGAATGTTTCAAATGGAAACTTAATGAAAATTTTATTTAAAAAAATGCAAATTAAATAAAACTGATACACAATGAAGAAAAAAATTCCATAAAAGACAGTTCTTTGTTAAATTTGTGCATGTTTACCCAAAACCGCATGCGACTGATTTTGAAAATATACTGTAAACGTATTATATTTGGCTGTGTAAATGTATCCTATTTAAATAATAGCGCCTTTCTTAAAAAGCATGCAGCTACCGCTTTAGCTGCAGACAGGCACGTAGCAACGATTTCAAAAAAAAAAAAGGGAGGGGGGGGCTAAACTGACCAAAAGTGGGGGGCCAACTTACCAAAATTATCTGATAAGCAAAAAAAAAGGTAATTTACTGTCCAAATCCTGGACTTTCCTGGTGCTATACCTTCCAAGCAAAAAGTGGGTGTAGGGGGCAACCAGCATCTAAAGGAAAATTTACTATATGTAGCAAAATACTATACTCAGAAAAAAGTGGGGGAGCCCCCCCCCCTCGCGTTCTACGAGCTTGGCAGAACTGTAGCTCTCTGATTGAGATAACTAGGACAGACAAACCAGAGAGTTAAGATCCAAGCATGGTAAAACCGAAGATTTACGACGCCGCTTTCGTATATCCGAATTTTCTCAACCATAGAGCTACAGATCTGCAGCTTTATGTACTACCGCTAAACCAAGTACTTGTATGCAACACACTTAAAAGGCGCTAGACCGAATCTTCACTAATTTGTTAAGAAATCAATTTAATATCTGCTATATATAGTACACGCTAAATATTATACAAATGATGTACATTTGTAGTACTTAAAGTACTTCATATAAGTACTCAGTGTAAATACATTTAATTTCTTTTTTTTTTTTTTATATATATATCATCCTATCCCTGTCACTGACGAGGGAGATCATTTAGACAAGAGATATTTAGACCAAAGGTCTCCTGCAAATAGAAGCAACGTGAAAGTTTTTATCGCAATGTGAACCTATTGTCCTCGCTTTGGATTTTGCATGTACTCACAAAGTACTGTACTTCGGTCATTGGCAGTCAAAAGGCATGGCGCTTTTATTCTACTTAAGTATTCAATTAATTTTTGGAATTGCCAGTGCAGTGTACAAAGCAGGTCTGTTGAAATCTTTTCTAAAGCCTTAAATTTGGAATTTGGAATTTAAAATTATAAAAAAAAAATGAATTTGTGCTTACATATGTAATAATTTTGGTCTGGTCTTCATGCGTTCTAACACGTGGTGGAATGTAAAACTTATCGATAGCCAGCATAATTTTAGAAATCGGGCAATCGTTATCTAAATGGCGTACTGGATTACACGTAAATTCATTAAAAAATACATATAACAGTTAATTTAAAAACAGAATTTTATCTTAAAATAGTATCTAAGTATATTAATATAAAAATGCAATACTTTATGATACAAATCCCCAAGAAAACATACAGAGTTTAAATAAAATTTTATTTTAGAAATTAATTTTAGGAAAATATTAAACAATGGTTCCTACTAATTACACAATGTCCAAGGAAAACTTTCATCACAAGGATTGTTAAAATAAATAAAGCGTCTTGCATATGTTATGTTCTCATCTGGAAGGTACATGTACATGTCAGTACAATATCCAGCTTTAGAAGGGATTTAGGACCAATGAACCAAGTCATAAAGCAAAAGCTCATTTCAGTTAGAATCTTTAGGTTATTATGAAGGTTTCATAGAATTGGTGTTGTGTTACTTGTCGGCTCTCTATTTCCAGGCGCGGATCCAGGAATTTTTTCAAAAAAAAAAAAAAAAAAAAAAAAAAAAAAAAAAAAAAAAAAAAAAAAACATAAGTTCCCTTCCTTATCCAGAAAATTAAAAAAAGAAGTAAAACACCCATTTCGTGGTGGTAATGGTGGGTACACGTTTTCTGGGGGGGGGGGTGTCCTAAGTCATTTCTTATTTGCTTCAGTATATACTTTTAATACCTATGCAAATTCCAGGGGGGGGGGGGATCCGGACCCTCCCCGACCCCCCTCTAGATCCGCGCATGATTTCCCATTCCCTTTCTGTCCCTTGCAACATATAATTATATATACCATCCTCCCCTAATATCCAGTTTGAGAAATAGGTGACTGTTGCTTATACGTGGACAGATCTCGAAATTACAAATCAATCTTTTCTTTCAGAATATGACTTAGTTCCGGAATTTATTTTCAGAATGTGACCTAGTTCCGGCTGACTTTGTCTTCCTGTTGGACTCTTCCGGAAGTGAGACTGCAAGAGGATTCAATACACAGCTCAACTTCATCTCAAACTTTACGTCCAATTTTGAGGTGGGACCAAAGAAGGCGCAATTCGCCGCGGTGACGTTTTCTACTGGTGTATACAAAAACTTCTTTTTAAACGAGCACCAAAGTCAAGCGGATGTGTTAAACGCCATCAGCAAAATTGCCTACCGAGATGGTGAAACTTACACTGATCTCGGACTTAACTACGTCCGGTTGAATGTTCTTCAAGGTATGTTCAGTAATCACGTGAGAGCAGCGACATCTGGTTTGAAGAATAGATTGTACTTACAGTCGTACAACAATACTGTCCTCGATAAATTTTCAAGTGAATAAACATGTAGGGCTTGCTAGTCTAAAGGATCAATTCGTTATGATGCAAACCTTCTTAAAGGCTAGGGCTTATACTTTTTACATTTCTAAAATACACAAAGCAATTCACCAGAAGCAATTAAAATGTTTTTCCTTTAGTTCTAAATCAAGAATGTTTTTCATCAATGACCAAGTATATACTTTATTTAATTTAAGATTTTATTAAAACCATGAGCACTAGTATAATTGATACCAGTTATTTCTTTACGATTAAAACGATCATGTCGTCAGGTTGCTAAAAGAACATGGTTAAGTCTTGTTACTTAAGTACCGTAAATTCCTATATATACACGAGGAATTAATTTTCGCGTAATTTTGCGAAAAGAGTCACTCGCAAAATAAAAATGCTCGCTTTTATTTTTAGACTTAAAAATAAATACAATTTCTCAATCAACGGTCAAAACGCAAATTCATCTTCTTGCGACTTGGCGTCTTCAAGTCAAATCGCGATATTAAATGCTCACGTAAAATAAGTAATCTACAGCATAGGAAGGGTCTGGGTTACATAATTTCACAACGGCCCTAGCAAGACGTAAGATGAGGAAATTCGAGATCCTGATCTGTTAGGACAAAAGCGAAGGTTCTTATTGTTCAACTTCATTTGGAAACCAATAACCATGTACATTGTACATATAACTCTATCACTCGTCAAAGAGGGTTTATACATGTAGTATGAAAATTAAGTTAATTAGGCATAATAAAAAAATATATTTGTTTACGGTTACCCGACCGACCCTATATCTAATAGCCAACCCCAATTTTTTTTCGTTGTAAAAATCCAGAAGTCACTCATTCGTCGGTTTAACTTTTACATGCATCTTAATCAGTCAAGCGTTTGAATTGAAAGTACTAGAAATAGTTAGTGCAACATGGAATTAAAAAGAAATACAAGACAGTTTTTAGCTCACCTGAGCTGAAAGCTCAAGTAAGCTTTTCTAATCACCCGTTGTCCGTCGTCCGTCCGTCCGTCTGTCCGTCCATCCGTCTGAAACTTTCCACATTTTCAACTTCTTCTCAAGAACCACTGGGCCAATTTTAACCAAACTTGGTACAAAGTATCTTTGGGTAAAGGGGAGTTTAAATTGTTAAAATCAAGGGCCAAGTCCCCTTACAAGGGGAGATAATCAAGAAAAGACAAAAATAGGGTTGGGTCATTAAAAAATCTTCTTCTCAAGAACCACTGAGCCAGAAAGGCTGAAACTTATGTGGAAGCATCCTGGGATAGTGTAGATTTTAAATTGTTAAAATCATGACCCCAGGGGGTAGGGCGGGGCCACAATAGGGAATCCAAGTTTTACATTGATATAAATAGGAAAAATCTTAAAAAATCTTCTTCTCAAGAACCACTAGGCCAGAAAAGCTGAAACTTATGTGGAAGCATCCTGGGGTATTGGAGATTCTAAATTGTTAAAATCATGACCCCCGGGGGAAGGGCGGGGCCACTATAGGGAATTCAAGTTTTACATTGAAATATATAGGAAAAATCTTTAAAAATCTTCTTCTCAAGAATCACTAGGCCAGAAAAGCTGAAACTTATATGGAAGCATCCTGGGGTAGTGGAGATTCTAAATTGTTAAAATCATGACCCCAGGGGGTAGGGCGGGGCCACAATAGGGAATCCAAGTTTTACATTGAAATATAAAGGAAAAATCTTTAAAAAACTTCTTCTCAAGAACCACTAGGCCAGAAAAGATGAAACTTATGTGGAAGCATCCTAGGATAGTGTAGATTCTAAATTGTTCAAATCATGACCCCCGGGGATAGGGCGGGGCCACAATAGGGAATCCAATTTTACATTGAAATATGTAAGAAAAATCTTGAAAAATCTTCTTCTCAAGAACAACTGGGCCAGAAAAGCTGAAACTTATGTGGAAGCATCCTGGGATAGTGTAGATTTTAAATTCTTAAAATCATGACCCCCGGGGGTAGGGCGGGGCCACAATAAGTATTACAAGGGGGGAAATCTGGTTAAGAACAGCATGGCCAAAGTTACTCAGGTGACCGATGTGGCCCATGGGCCTCTTGTTTCATTGTGTGGTAGCTGTAAGGCAGTTGGCAAGAAAGATATTGTCTATCGCCTATATGGCAAGCCCAAACAAAAGTAAAACACCACACAATGGTAAAACTGTTTTGTATTTCAACCAATTCATGTGAATTTGTGTATAAAAAAATTCAATAAAATAAAAAAAAATCCTACCTACCGACCTTATTTTATTTCAGCATGTAATAGTAAACAAACATATTTTTTTGTTTGGCCTTACACAAGGCATTTTCCAAACTTTACGCTTAATCGTTAAATGCAAGTGGAACTTGGTAATAAACTTTCTCTTTTCAAATAATTAATATGTTATCAAAGCTACATTTGAAATAAGAATGGGTGTGCTTTTTGTGAAGCATTTTAAGTCTATTTAGGAAGCAGGGTAACAAATGGCATATAACAAAGTAAATGTGTATTTGTATGGGTATACAGCAGAAATTAACTTTTAATAAAAATTACGCAACATAACTTTGAAATTTTTAATTTTAATTTTTTTATCTTAATTTATTTAAAAACAGAAAACCATGGTGCACGACACAACGTGGCTAAATACGTCATTGTATTGACGGATGGGCGTTCCAATGATAACTCAAGGACAGTCAGTGCAGCCATGGCTCTTCACAAAGTCCCGAACGTGACGGTTATAGCTATTGGGATCGGGCACGGGATTGACAGGAATGAACTGAATATCATCGCCTCGGACAGAAACCATACCTTCGTCGTTAATACTTTTGAGCTTCTCCACACTCTACAGGTGGAACTCGTGGATAAGACCTGTGTCCGTGAGTTACTTTCCCTTTATAAATATGTAATAATGACGTTACAAATGTTGATGTCGAATATTACAATCTTCCTACTAACACAGCGGGAGGCTGCTTTTTTCCTTCATTCGGTATTTTTTTTGTACGACATTAAATAGAACATAAAATGTATCTTTGAATTGAATAATTATGAAAATTGACGGAATCGTACCTACCAAACTTTGGTTTCACACGTCTGTAGAACCTGTCTTGGATCCTCCTTTTTCCTAATGAAATATTGAAATCTTGTAATTGCAGCCCTGCGCGAATGAAAAGAGCAAACCAAAACCTATTATTAGTTGTATTTGTAAGAAAAAGGTATGGAGGTGAATTCTTTTCATTGTTTTATGTTTTTTCTCTATTACAGTATGCGGTGACTATCCGGCAGATATTGCCTTTCTCATCGATTCCTCGGGAAGTGAACAAGGATCCAACTTCGACAACGAAAGGAACTTTGTCGAAATGGTGGCCAATGAATTTAATTATGGCTACAATGATACATTAATTGCTGTGTCACAGTTTGCAACAAACGCCAGAACCGATATTTACCTCAACCAATACCCAGATAAACTTGCGCTCATGCAGGCAATAGCACGAATACATTGGATGAACGGAGAATCCAACACACATCTTGGGCTGAATGAGCTTGTTCGCAATGTTTTTCACAATAGACATTCCCATACGCATGGTCACCATGGACACCAGGTTATAACCTACGGTCCGCGTGATGCATCTGTCAAAATTGCCATTGTTCTTACCGATGGCCGATCTCTAGAACCAACTCAGACTGAGAAAGCAGCCCGACAACTGCACAGTATGGGGGTGGAAGTGTTTGCTATAGGAATGGGACGTAGTGTGGACTATAGTGAACTCGTGGAAATAGCCACAGACAGGGCGCATGCCTACAGAGTGCCCAGCGCAAAGGACCTTGAGGGCATCCATACCAAGATTGTTGAAGCGATTTGCAAACGTAAGTATATGAGATTTTAATGGGGTTTTAAATATTTGTTTTGTCTTTTTTTTTGGGGGGGGGGGGTACGGTCTTTTTGTATTGACTATCCAAAGAAATATGAGAAATCAGCAATATTTTTCATAGATTTATATTTAAATTGGTAACCTGAATAATGTTTACCTGCGGGTATAGTGGGTGAATTTTATAAGACTTTGTCATAAGGTTAAAAAGTTGCAAAATTTTGTATAGAATTATATCGAAAGCAACACAAAAGTTTATATCTAAGCACCCATAAGAAAACTTACGATTTCTTTATATTTAAGGGATTTATTATTTATGTCATTTCTAATCAAAATCAGTCAAAAAAATTATCAATCCATGCATCAAACTTTTGTGTTAAGTATTCTTAATGTTAATAAACGGTGTCTGGAGTCCAACGCTAAAATACAGTACTAGTAGTATAATTAAGGAAAGACGAAAAAAAAGAACTGAGAAAATGTCTGCTATTAAATATAATCACGCCTGTAAGTAATAACGTTTTAAAAAATACCGCTATTTGAATATATCCGAGATCCTATGGATATCTTTGAAAAGATTGTCTGATCCAGTAAGACAATAGCGAAATCAATTAAATGGAATATGCAATCCTTAAAAATATGCAGGATCGCTCAATGAACTTTTTATTTGAATAATATTTTACCTTTGTTGACAATTTATAATTAATAAATGATCCACACAGAACAAAACCATTCATCAAGTAACATAATTATTTGTGCAAACTTGGTCAGTTATCGACATTTCACCTTTGGAACTGACATGATCTAAATGTTCTTGTTAAGGAGGCAAAATGGATGCTAGAGTTAATATTCACAGGCTCCTTATCGGATTCCTTATCTTGATAAATGCTGCCAGAGAGCTTAAAAAATACATTAAAATGAAAATTTCTCAATATTTGTTTATAGTTAAGGTACCTCCACCCACAACAACTCCGGTACCAACAACAACAACAAGTAAGTACATAAACAGAATGATGCACAATAAACTTTGTGAAAGTAATACATACAACGCCACAGGTTTGAACAGCAAAACTTTAGACAAAAATATTCAGCTAAGTACCAAACAACAAATTAAAAAGAATGGCAAAAAAGTACTTTACAAGACCAACAACAGATGAGTACAAAAAGAACATTGAACACTAGGTGCTTCAAAATACCACAACAGAAGCCACAAATAATGGGACACAGGTGCATTTGAACTAAATAGAGCAAACGAACATTTGTAACAGGTAAATGTATGTACCATTAAATAAAAAAAAGCACTTAAGTACCATACAATGTAAAGAATAGATAAAGATTAACGATAAAACAAGAGGAATAAAAGCTTGAACAGTGATGCAATCAGGAAGCACCGACTGATAACTTTTATCACATTACGTTCGAAAATGAAAGTCAGTATCGTACAACATGGACAACATACCTCATAAAAATAACATAAGTACCATACAATATTTTTTTTTTATATAGGAAAAAAATTATGACATTTTTGCAACACATTCATACTTATTTAAAAAGAACTTCCTCTTTTTTCAGCACTGCCAAGTACTACCGTCAAACAAGGTAACTAACAAATTAAACAAATCAATGAAATGGTAATTTTACCCTTAGGAATATAATTAGGTCCATGTTAACTTTCCGATATTTTGAATGTATATCAATGGTTAAGTACTCAAATTCTGTAAAGGGCCCAGCTCTACCAATAGACGAATGTCCTGATTCGCTAAAGCATTTGATAGAAATGTTATTATTTTGCTATTAATGTTGATATATTTTTTTATAGAATAAATAATCTGCTTTTTATAAATGAATAAGAAAAATCTCATGAACTGGAATTCACAAAATTTGATACATGTACATGTGCAAGGAAATGTATAACAGATTTTATGTATGGTTTGGTATTCGAAAACTTGTAAATGGCAGTTAAACTTTCACAACTTCAAGAGATAATTTCTTTTGTAACTAAATCTGACTTATTTCAGCCTGTGGACAAAAGCCAGCCGATATTGTGTTTTTACTGGATGCATCCGAAAGCGAAAAGGCCGAGGGTTTTGCAAAAGAATTGCAATTCGTCTATAACTTTGCAAGAAAATTCCACATAGGGCCAGATAACGTCCAGTTTAGCGCTGTGACGTTTTCCAGTGATATCCGAAACGATTTTTATTTGAACACTTATCACAATCGACACGACGTTCTTAATGCTATCCAGAAAATTGCTTACATGCAGGTAACATGAATTTCCAAATTAAAATCTTTGTATGCAGTATAATGTAATTGCCGGAACTCAAAAGCGGATAATTTACACTATGCCCATAAGAATTAATCTTTCGCCGAAATAAGAACTCTCCCATTCATTAAGTTTATTTAACATTAACAATACATCATCTTGATACATGTACCTTATGTCTGTGAAAGTCAATTTCCTCAACGCTCTCATATCGTCAAAATTTCAACATATACTTTTGTTTGAATTCGGCCAATTTACGAGGGTGTATATATACAGGTTTATGATACGAAAATACAGTAAAACATGTATAAATCTCAAACTATCACACATAAACATGCTTGTTTATAAGGGAAATTGGCTTGTACCTAGAAACAATAACTCTGAAACTGATATAAAAACTTTCTTTTCTTTATAGAATTAATATTTTAAAAAATTGCAGTTTTCAAAATTTGCTGTATGAAGCAAAGGTATTAAAATTGCATGATTTTCCTACTAAACTCTCTCCTTTCTTGGAAATCCAAGAAGTTGTCTTCATAAAAAAATACATTTAAAAATCATTTCAGGGAACAGCGGGTTATTCTTTTGAATTAATTTTTTATAAGTAAGTCAGCATTTCGTAAATTTTATGGTCGTTATAATGACCTCGTTAGCAATTGTTATGATCATCACTGGGTCGTAGTTTGACTGACATATTGCATAGCAGTTATTAGACCTGGCTTTGTTTTCATACTTATATTGGACTACGGAATATTCAGTCTATCAGATCAATACATAGGGCACACGTAGGGCTGACTGGTCGACAGGGGATGCTTACTCTTCCTAGGCACCTGATCCCACCTCTGGGATTTCCGGGGGTCCGTGTTTTAGGCCATGTTCAAAACTTTGTTTTGTCTGTATTTTTTTAAGTCGATCACTTGTCGTTATCTTCACCTTTTTTTCATTACAGTATTAATACATATCCTTCAGACCTGATAAATGCATGTCAGTTTACATGCTTAATGCTTAAGCTGACTATTTCTAGCAGTTTTATTATATTGCTTTACTACAAACTTTAATATAAAGTTATGTCTCACAGGGTGGTACCAATACGTCGTTTGGAATCCAGTTCGTGCGTGAGAATAGCTTAACCACAAAATGGCGCCCGTGCAAACGCAACAAAGATCGTGATTGTCATAACAGACGGACAGTCGGCGGATCCAGCTGCAACAAAACACGAGGCGCAGCTGCTTCATCATCAGGGTGTCCAGGTGTATGCGGTGGGAGTAGGTTCAGAGGTAATTCTACATTTCCTTACTTTTCACCATGTTTTCTTATATACTGCTATTATTTAAGTGGCGATTTAAGCAAACTCGTTTGACGATGACCAAATAGCTCAGCTAGAATTAAGATACTTATCTAGAGGTCAGAGGGCCGGGGTTCTCTTACCAACAAAATTGCCTTCCTGCAAACATCTGCTGCAAGTCTGAAGCAGACATTGCTGCAAACTTGCTGCAGACATTGCCGCGAGCTTACTCCTATGGAGCTTAAGAAACCATGACAGTCCTATATAAAGCCTTTGCGTTTGCAGCAAGTTTGCGACAAGTATGTACCAAGCTTACAGCAAACATTTTACCATGGAAATAAGTATGCTGCTAGTCTGCAGAAAACATTGGATTTTCCAAATATGGAAACCTTGCTGCTAACTTGCAGCAAACATTGCTGCACACGTGCGGTAAACTTACAGCAAACATTGCTGCTAACTTGCACCAAACAGTTTAGTTACTGTTTTAGCACATTCCTGTCCATAAGCAACACGTTCGCAGAAAGCCTTTGTCCTGACCTTAAAATCAACCACATGTGTTTCACATGTTGCAAGTTTCTGAAGTGTGGGTAGTCTATCTTTATGTTCCTAGACAATGCTACCATACTTTTTCATAATTAAAATGTAATATAAAATGTTTATTTCTGACATATACAGAAAATTAAAGAATTTTTGCACATGACTTAGAATAAAATTAAAAACAAAGTACAGTTACCTATTTATGTGAAAACATATAGACATTTATGATTGATTTGGAACTTTTAATACATTAATGAAACATACGAATGTGATATTAAAATAAAGATTGAAATTCATAAATAGATTTAACCTACATCAGTTACTTGAACATCCTTTAAAAAGACAATTGTTTCATATTAAAACAAAATCAGATCTTACCAATTAGATGTTGTGTATGCAAAAGTACACCTACATCCAGAATTATGCTTTTGTAATCATTCAAAATGGTATATATTCCTAACAAAATATTGAAACATCTCCAACTTCAATTCAAACATTTCAAAAGGGCGAATTCTGTGTTGACTTCTGCGTTTCATTGGCCGACTTAACTTGTTTACTGTTCTTGCGAACTTCTTGCAAACATTCAATTTGTTAAATGTTTCCTGCAAACTTGCAGCGAACAACAGATTGGCGTGTATATTTCTTGCAATGTTCCTGCGAACATGTTGACTTCCTGCAAATTTGCTGCATGCTTGCAGCAATTGCTGCAATGTTTGCCGCAAGATCGCAGCTAGCGGTAATCATCCGCGAACAAGAAAATGTTCTTCCTGCGAACAGTTTTGTTTGCTGCAAACTTGCAGCAGACTTGCTACACGTCTGCAGGAAACATAACTGTTTGGTAAGGGTTTGCATCTTTGTCTGGTCTGTCAAATTTTCTTCCATCCTGTTACATTCGGTGATGTACAGTGCCCTGAAAGTGATAAATGAAAGATCTACCAACTGTATGTGCCTTTTGAGGTAATTTCGAAATATTTTAGGAAGGGTTATTGAGTTTAGAAGGATTCTATTGCTAGAAACCGTATGGATCAATTTGGGGATACCTGTCTAGATGTAAGAAACCTGCGTTTGAAATATTGTCTGCCAGTCACATTTAATTTCTTTCTTTTGAATACAACAGGAAATAGACTACTATAGAATGTAGATTTTTCTTGTATTTTATAATTATATAACTTTTGTAAAACTGTATATAAATATTACAATGCCAGGAATTCTGTTCATAATCAGCCAACCCGCTGAGCAGGTATCCGGTTTAAAAACCATAAATCGTTTTGAGTACTTTACAGTTAAATGTCACAATTGAATTGGTTCATTTTTTGTCAACTACAGGTTGATAATTCGGAGTTGAAGGCGATCTCCTCTAATGGTTCTCCGATCCTTGTCGGCGACTTTTCATTGCTTCACGATATTCAGACTTCGTTAGAAACAGCAGCATGCCACGGTGGATCGTAGTGCTTTAAATTTCATGTCATCTGTATTGTATTGTGCTATTCTATTTTACTCTTGAATAAATAAAATATTCATATTTATGAAAAGGAACATTTATTTTTATAAAGAATACTAGTAATGCATATTTTAAGGTGAAAATAAATACGTATTGCTTTGAGTCATTTAGATAGAATATTTGAACAAACCCAGAAAACTTACTGAGAAGCAACTACAAAACAAAAACATAATATTGATGAATACCTAAACTCTCTTTTCACAAAAATGTTTTTATCTAATAGTGGTTACACGCGTTCAGTAGTGGTTAATAAAGTACGCTTAAACAACGGTGACAAGAAAATCATAAACATATCAAATAATTACATGTTACTAATTTCTTTCATTTCCTGTATTCCTCCTCAGTTTTAAAGCAATTAAGTATGCTTTTGAAAGCAACATGCATATTTTTTTCTGCGAAGTTTCAGAATTTGCACAATTTGGTGATTACACTGTAGACACCTTCAATTCAGCAAATCTTTCTTCATTTTGTCACAGATTACACGTACTGATTCTTTTTTAATGTTGCAAAGACATTTACGAAACACATCCAAGCTTAATTTAAGGTCTTCCTGAAAAGAAAACAATATTTATTATTAAATTGTCCCGAATCATATCCTAATCATATTTGTGGACATGTTTAAGTTGGGAAATATAAAACGGAAAACCATTATTTTATAAAATTTTACAATCTTTAACAAAGTACTTGGCCTCTCATTTAATAAGTTTTACTCTTTGTCACCCATATATGCTTTGTGACAAGTTTGGATCAATTTGGTCAAGTGCTTCTGGAGACAAAAGTCAAAAGTGTTTGATGGCGAAAGACAGAAATAGCAATAAAATATAATTAACCTGAGTGACCCAGATGACAAGAACAGCAGGTTCGCGGAGTTTGCTTATTGGATTATGATTCAATGTTTTTTGTGATCAATTTAAGTGCTGCCGGAATTATCAATTCCACAACAGAACTATAATAAGATCCACTAATTTGACTTTAACTGATAAAATAATACTGTTACATGCCAAGCGCTGAATAGTTAAGTAGACAATCGCAATCTAATGTTTTCCTTACAAATGCTCACCTTGGTTGATATGAATTCTGGTCTTCTGGTTTGGAGCTGATGTATCCTTGCGGAAACATCCACTTCGTCATCTAGAAATACTTGTTCCAAACAATTATGTACCGTACACAACACCTCACACCCACTGGCGCCATCCCTGTGCAAGAATGACAAATTATACTACTGAGCTTTGATTAACATTTCCATAAGGGGTGTTAAACAAATCGACTAAATCAATTGTCTCTTTAAATCAGATAAAAGTATGTAATAGAAATGCAACGTACAACAATTCTGTATACAGGATGATTTTTGCCACGTTATTTTCGCATTATCACACATGCAAATGATTTTTTTTAGTTTAAAATTCGTACAGACACAGTTGTATTAAAGAGATAACGCTGTTTTTTCGAGTTCGTTCTGTCTTAAATTCCACTTAGGACAAATGGGGCGAAAATGAAACGGGGCGAAAACTTTCCTGCATACAAAATTAAAAAGTATATAGAAGTAAACCAAGTCAAATAAAAAGCAATGCTATATACCTACATACAGTAATGTTAACTGATGGACAAAAATAGTACCAAAACTACTTACCCACTTAGTAAAATAATTGGTAACGCTGGATCTGTTTCTAGAATTATTGTCAAAACTTTCAGCATATCAGTATAGGCCCCGATATTCCGGTATTTGATTGGCCACGATGACATTTCGCAAATAGAGAGAGAATGGTCAATGCTTTTCTCCTTTTGTCATACAAAGAGGAAAGAAATGAAATGCATGCAAGTTAATTTTTTTTTTTTTACAATTTATTTACGTCCAATTACCCGTATGTTTTATCAATTTACAAATTGTTGCATAAAAACAAAATAGAAGTTAAACTGTAATCATTACGATATGCACAGATTACGAAAAATATCTGTATGTGAAATGTGAATATCGTAAGTAGGAAAACCCCCGCTTTTTACCTTATTTTGAATTAGAAGTTCGGTATGACAAAGGGTTTCTGTGATGGAAGTTTTATTTAAATCTTTATGCGTGTCTTCATCAGCGTGTGTCGAGATTCCATCTAAAAGTCTCTGTGTCACCTAAGAGATATACATTAGAAAACTGCGTTTTACAATCCAAAAACTTAAAGATGAATGTCTAAGATACCTTATCTCTGAAGTATAAAAATTAGTAAATTCAACTTCAACACAAATATCGATCATATACTCAGTATATTGAAACTTAATGGTAAAAATGTTGAATTAAACTTCAAAATAAAAGTAGATATTTATGATTATATTGCTTACTTCCTCTGTCTCCTCACGTGACCCTATCAATACAATAACGCGGCAAGGCATCTTTGAAATCACTGCAATTGTGTTGTCTGTGCTGAACGTAAGGGGTAGCTGTGATATAATGAATCTGTCCTGGGAAAGATAGGACTGCAAGAAAAGTATATTAAATAAAGCACAGAAAATATTATTTACAATTTGCAGTCCAGTATTATATATTCAATTGGATAAAATGAACAGGTTTTTTTCTAGTATATATATTTTTTTAACATTTGAAGCCCTTTGTGGTACTGTATACAAGGACATTTTCGCCCCTCTTTCAATTTTGCCTCTTTCATCCGCGTCACAAGTAATAAGCGAGTGTAAAACAGGGCGAATTAAAAGAAGACAGCATTACATTATTTCTAAAACAGCGCTATGACCGGGCGAATTTTAGACGGGAAAAATTATTAGCAAGTGTGAAAGGGTAAAAATAATACGGAGAGAAAATAACATGTATATACAGTAACACTTCAGCCTTTTTAATTTGGTTATGAGGACAATTTGGAACCCTACAGTCCGCGAGAAGGAAAACAAAAATACTTCAATGTTCTAAGTTTACCCCCTTTCTGACTTGTCCCTTCCTCAGAAATACTGATTTGAAAAATTTAATCTGTAGAACTTGAGTATGCTTCTATCATTTGACAGTTTGAATCCAAAATGTTTTAAGATGAATGTTTGAAAGCTTTTCTTTGTCGTTGTAAAACAACCTTTAATATATTATCAAATAATTATAAGACCTTTTCAAATGCCCCTCGTAAATGCTGGGATCTATGCTATATATATTGTGAAACAGAAGCATATACAAATTTTAATTACTGAATGGTTAAAACGATCTGTGCAGAAAGAAGCAGTTTTGATTTCATGCAATGACTTACCGGAACAGTAATAGAATTTGTGAACAAAGGTTTGTCACTTTCCAATTCATCCCCAAGAGAGAAATAAAATCTATCCACTAAAATAACAAAAATCATTCTTTGGCATTATAAAACCACTTATTTTCGTGGGGTTAAATTTGCGTTGGTCCTTTGGGATTTTAATAATTTGTGGTGTAAGTTAAAAATTTGTAATTTTAGATTTGATTTCAAGGTTTTCTTTGACCATACGAGAATAAATGATTCAGAGCAGAGTTTATAAAATCACTTACACGGCAGAACATTTATATTTGAAACCAAGTCCATATTTCTAAAGGCTTTTGAATAGTCATTCAGCTTATATGTCGGTCTATTCCTTTCAATCACCTGAAAAAAAAAATTACGAAGTAAATATTTAAAAACATGTAACAATCATAGGCTTCCCAATATTTTGATTGGAGTACGCTTTGTTGTTGAATAATTGTGAAAATGGTAACCAATCAGATTACGTCTTTCAAAAAAGCTCTCAGCATTAGGTATGATGATTTTTTTTTCGAACCAATAGACCATATTTAATATGATAAAATTATATACAGAAAACATATGGGATACTGCATCATTGTCCTCGTTTTCCAGCATATAATACTTCCGCGGGAGGGGGTTGTAAGTGTTCAGAAAAGCCTCAGCCAAAAGACGATGAAGCACAACGTATTGTGTCTGAAAGACAACGGCAAAATTTTGTTAAAACTTTTTTCATGATAATGAATGCATCTCAAATTGCTATGGGATTTGGAAAATAATTTTGGTCCATTTATTAAACAAATAAGATGCTTTGGCAATACCTCGGAGATAGGCTTGAAGACCCTTAGGTAACAATAAAATGGTAAGAAATAGCTGAGTTGTGTACATTTTTAACTATATGATACATGTAATTAGATTAGAAATACCGCAAGTATACTCACAAAAGACTGTAGCATATTTTGCCTGCATCGTCTCATCGTCTGTACATATTGCAGGACATTTATCTTTTTGTTGCCGAGTCCTCGGTTATAAAGGGCATCCAAAGCTATGTATACGCCTGTCCTTCCAAGTCCATCACTGTCATTATAATGTAATGAAGAATGTCATACTGCGTTTATATTTTATTTATTGCACTTTGTCCAGATATATAATAAATGCACAAACAGTAAGTATGTCATTATTATTATCTCCAACTTTAATGTTATTGCTTTATTTTTAAACACATCAGTGTTCTTAGACCATTCTAAATTTTTGCACTACTATCATCGTCAAATTTACCGTACGTAGTGTAAATATATGTTCAAATGTATATATTTTGAAAGTATTGTATAAAATTATATTAAACATATATTAATTTTAGAAACACGCGTCAAATATAATTTAACCTGCACTGCACCAGCAATGGGCCATTGATGCTGGAAGAAGTGACTGGAAAATGGATGACCCGGAAATAAAAGTTTATGAAGTCCGTTGGTATGACGTCATCATCTTTTGGCCATGAATTGTAGTGGAAAAGACGTATCTCTCTATTCAACTTTTCCTACAATCAATCTGTAAGCTATATGGATTGCATGTTGGACTAAAACTGATCAACATCTCTCTCTCTCTCTCTCTCTCTCTCTCTCGCCTTGCGGATTGATCTGACTTTTTTGCAAGTATTGCCTTACCTTTTGCAGTGTCAGAAAGTATAGAGAATAACAAGCATAGTCCCGCTTCTCCTTTGTTGCCACAGCATAAGTTTGAAATGTCTGAGTCTCACCTACTTCTGGCCAGTTTGGAGCCCAATCACTCTAAAATATCAAATAGTTTTACTGTGGTTTTAGGTATAAATCTTATTTCCATATTTGCACATAAAGAACGTATAATCCGAAAGGTATAGAAGAATGAAATAATACAATGCATAGTAATTTTAAATTAAATACATATGATATGTGAAACTAACTTAGAAGTTATTTAAAATGATTAGTACACCACGCAAAGGAAGAGGACAATGCTTTGATATGTAAGACAAAAATATAAAATTATTTGCTTCTACCTTGCAGTCATGTCCTCTGGAGAAGATAACAATTTTGGAGACGTTTTTCATCCAAACCATTTCCCAAACTGCTGTGGTATGACTCACTTTAAAAAGTAAAGCGTTAATTAAAATCAAGCAAAACTTTTAAAATGCTATAAAAACCCCACATAACAGCGGAAAAATAAAGAATTTACATACTTTTTGCAACAAATACTGAAAATTATTTTGAAATGAAATCTTTCTTAATTATCAAATGATTTGTACAAATGTGTTTCTAAATACGTTTTTCACATCTGTAAAAGAAAATAAACTCTGCGTTATCAAATCAGTTTTCTACGCACATTTATTTATTACATTTAACAATACATGTAAAATAATATACAATATACATAACTCACCTTCTGCTGCAATGTATGCTAGTTTGCCTTCTACATTCTGCAAGGAAAAGGAAAATGCTTCAATCGTATCTTGTAATGAGGTAATATATGATTTAGTAAACTAAAATATCTCACTCCTTGCTCATCCCTTTCAAGAAAATCAATCAGGCAAGAGAGTTTGCATTTTACAAACCTTAATATAGTTGGCATTCAGGACTTCCCCATTAGAAGTATCACTTGGCAATAACACTTTGTAATAATCCTCTGAAACTGTTATTTAAGCGAAATTAATACTATTTAATTATCAATTACCATTAAATTAATCCTTTATTCATATTTTGTTCTACAATGTTCTCTTCCATCTAAAAAAATGTTCATTTAGAAAATAAAAAAAAATACAATTAAAATTTTTAATTATTCATTTACAAATATATGAATAATAGAACCTACAAGACATCATAGAATATCTGGAAAATCTAGAAAATCTAGAAAATCTAGAGAATCTTTTTTTCTGGTCACTGTCTGTCATGTTTTTTTGATCACGTTGTATGCCGGCATTAAGATACTGCAAATAAGACAAATGATACAGAATTGATTGATTGTATGTTGGTTTACGTCCTATTTGAGAATTTTTTCACTCATATAGAGACGTGTGATACAGAACTGAGATTTCTAGCACAATGACTCCTGACCTGAATACACGTACATTCATTTTAAAATTTCTAGCATTGTATATTCGTTAAAAAGGTACCTTTTGATTTTCAACTTAATTTTGATGATAGGCCTGCAGGCATACTTACGCAGCTATCATAGGACTAAGAATTGTCCCAAGATATACTTAGGACTCATTTCACCTCTTAGCGTGGTTTTCGAAAGTGTCTTATCCTAGGAAAGTTCCTAAGAATTGTCTTAATCTTTAGACAGTTTATGAAGTGTCCTTAGCTGATCTTAAAAATAATGCCGCGCTCGTGTTGCTTGTGACTAGTCGAAGTCGCCGTATTAGACTTGATAAAGTGTTCAAGGACATTGACAACAATCTTGATGGATTCAGAATATTTAAATATATTTGTTCATCGAATGTTTGTCTCAATCAATATATTTATGTTTCCTTAATTATACATCTCTCTCTCTCTCTCTCTCTCTCTCTCTCTCTCTCTCTCTCATAAAACATAAGTTGGCATTTTTTTTAAAAGAGTTACTAATATTTTATTAAAATGTAATCTTATCCTTTGCTAGTTATACTTGATAACGCTGATATAAAAACATTACTTCTTGTTCACCTTCTCCAAAATTCTTCTGTGGTCAAGTTTATTGGTATTATTTCCTTTTTCACATATTGCCTATCATGCTCTCTTTTTGAACAATTATAGACAAATTAGAACATTTGGAAAATTTTCTCTACTTTAAGAAGTTATGAATTTCTGATTCGAAAAAATAATTTTTTATACATAATGCGAACAAGTATATAAAGATGTTTTAACATTTGGCTGAATATAGTATAGTATTGTTAACATCCAATTTCAAATGAATTTCAAATTGTTTTATTTCATTTTCCAAAATTTTTACATGCATTCTTTATATTATATCGTATAGAGGAAATGTTACCTGTATACATCCATGTCATTACTATGATTTACACCATTGGTATTATATTTAAGAGATATCTATGGTCTTACCCCACTCAATCCCCAAGGTATATTAAGATTCATTAAAGTAAAAGTATCAAAATGTTTTCTATAGTTAATGTTAGTAATGTAGATTAGGGTAGTGTAAAAAAAGTAATCCTGTCAAATTTACTTACGACTCTCATTTTTATTTAATTTTCTCGTAATACAAGCATCAACAGAAACAAAAAATATATCAATTTATTGAACAATATTATCTAGGCACGTTGGATGTCCAGTTTTAAATTTATGTTCGAATATTTCCCACTCACTTCAGACGTATTAGTTTAGGATGACCCTTTGATTTACATGCCTAAGTTTGTCTTAGGATCATCCTAAAATTTTTCTTAAGATTATTCTTAGGATCTTTCTTAAGTCAATTCTTAGGAAAGTTTTGTAAACATGTCTACTGATTGTTAATTTCATGTATCAGTTTTGATGTATACTATAGGGAGTCTCTTTTGAATGTTTTGAAAGAACTTTAATAAGAAATATTTTTATGATCCCGATCAAACGTCCTGACTTTCCCTAACACAACGATATCATACTTAACTGTAGTTTACTAAAGTATCAAAGATTTTACTGTAGTAAGGCAAAGTATTTTTGTTAGGGATTTTAGATTGTTTTATTTTATGTTCTCCAATTCATGCATGCGCATTTTTCTTTTAAATGGAAACTTTACTTGCATATTCATATATTATTTTCAAACTTTGCATCATAAGTATTGAATTAAAAAAATTTAAGCATCGAAAATTCAAAAAAGGTTCCAAAGGAAAGTTTCATAGTAAATCAAAGTATGGACGTTTTTACTATATTTAACTATAATAACTTTTTTCTTATGATTGTAGTTAGCATAATTATAAAAGAAAATCAATCACAAATTTATGGCAGTGAACCCTGGCAGATTAAAAGACAACTGTACACAATGCAAAATACTATGTAATAAAATGAATCATTGTAGAAGTCATACTCTTAACCATGTACAATGACGTCATTTCTATAATACCTCATAAGATCGATCGATCGATTGATTGATTGACTGTTGTTTTTTCCCGAGTCGGCAGTATTTCAGCCATAATTATATCGGAGAGAAAAATAACACATATTGAGTACAAAAATACCGGTAGATTTAAAATAATATTTTTTTGATCCCCTTTATAGTTGAAAAGTGGCAAAACGAAAAATATTTTGCATTTTAAGTCAAACGTAACTTTAAATAAATAAGCTTTTACCGAGAACTCAGTTCTTAATATTGAACAGTCTTCTGAGGTCTTCTCTGCAACAATTCTTTGGAAACATTTTACTGGAATCTCCGTTGTATGAGATCTTCTTGATCCTGAGAAATCTAACATGTTAAATGTGTCGTCTGACATTTCTACTGCTAATGTACTACACTGACTTCGTCCTATAACACAAACCGTGGAATAACTCATGTATAAAATATGATAAAATGTGGGGTGTTTTTTGTTTGCAAAATAACTATAATGACTACTCGCTCGATTGTCATACAGAGAACTATTAATACTGTAGTAAATATAAAACGGAAGCTTTATTTTTGATTGCAAAATGATTTAAGTACATTTGTATGACTTGAGCGAATATAAACCTTATTTTGTTTGGAAAATGGCAACATTTACAGATAGAGGCCAAGTTTGTGGATAGTACCAGGTTAATTCATAGGTAGTAACAGTTTATAGCTAGTAAAACATTTCAGATTGCTAGAATGTACAAAATATATATTTAACGGAAGATATTTCGTAGAATTATGCATCACAATGACAATATTTATAGAGAGAATCCACATTTGATTAATTATAAAAGCTTACGTTTATGTTTTCTTCTTTTTGGTCCTGTACAACATCTGCCTGCTCCGTAGGCTGTTATTATTGTCAGAACTACAACGAATGCAGACATCGCACCACCAAAGATCGGTAAAAAGTCTTTAAACAACTCTTTGCTGTCTTTCCGTGAGGTATCTGGAGTAAGCAAATGTGGAAACTGATAGGAAATATATATGTGATTTTATGTAGATAAATACAAGCAATTTAAATGGTGTCAGAATATCGATTTTAAGCATACATGTAACTGCCTACGACTTCAATCTTTTCTCAGCACATTTATTGAATGATATGCTACAAAAAAGACCGAGATAGATAAAACAGAGCCATTTTTCCGAGTTTAAAATCTTAATCTTACTGCAGGCAAGCGACCTGCAAATTAGCAGCCAAATCAGAATTTCCCTGAATTTTTTCTTTATACTGTTAACTAAAGCTTAAAATAGAAAACTACAATGAACTACAATGCATACTTTTATCAACTTTGGCATTGTGAAATTTTATTTAAAACTTTGATTTGTTTTTTTTACATTAGTATGACACTATACTTCCTCTAAATTTTACTCTTGACCTTTTTAAGGTTAACAGACATTCAGGTCTCCACATAACGTATCATATTGAAAATAACACTTGAGAAATATCGCATTTGAATATAAACGTAAACTTACATACAATTAGAAATCAAAACGTTTACAAATGAAAATGGATACAGAATTTTTGCTATTGTAAGCAATAGCTTTTGTCATCCTGAACTGACCTCAATGGTGCTGGCAATATTAAAGTTGAAAGCAGAATAAGCAAGTTCTATTTAAAAGTTTTGCGAAAATTTAAAATTTTCAGAATACAATTTATTTTGTTTCCATGGCAACAGAAACTAATTGTAAAAAATTGAAAATAAGCACATTAAGCATTTGACGATTTCAAATACTGTGAGGTTTCTTCGGATTGTCTAAGCGACCTGCAAGAAATTCGAGCTTGTTATATACAGTAAGAGTTTATACTGGTTCATGCACATCATACCATTTTTTATGTCTTTTGATTCCCATATACATATGCCTTCGAAACACCAATCACTACAGTTATGCCGACAGTCATGACCAAATGTACAAGGTTCGCATTCTGAAAAGAATAATATACAAATTTAAAAAATAATACTGTAAAGTCACATATTTTCTTGAGATCAAATTAAGAGTTAGAGTAAATGTTGTGGTTGCGAGGGTTTGATTTCGTGGATGAAGAAATGCTAAGTTGTAATTTATTTGAAATTTTACTTTTCGAGGACATGAAATTATGTGTCCCTTATATGGTAAGTCCTTCAGAAATATTTTGGACTCGAGCAAAGTGAAAGACATAATTAACAGAGGGCGTTAAAAAATTATCTGCAATGAAAAATAAATAACATATTTTAATTTTATAAAGCTTTTTTTAGAATCGTCTTCAGCGACATGAAATTTATGCCCAAATATTTGCTTCTTACTTCAACATCTGTATATCTGGGCTTTGCTTCTCTATGGACTAAAGAACAAAGATAGCTTAAAATATACTGACGTCATATTAAACACGATGCTAACTTCACACACAATAGGAAACAGTTCGAATACGAAGTTGCAAAAGTTTTAATATCAATCTCGTTAAGGTAACACTGTGTGCAGATATGAATATTGACTTTCACTTGCCTTGAATCATCAGGAAGAAAGGGGTCTGGGGAACTGTTTTATTTCCTACATGATTAAAGAGGAGTATACGTCTGGAATTTTATTTAATTACGTATTGAAGTACCAAAAAAACTAAAAAAAAAAAAATAAAAAATAAAAAAGTTTTTATGAAAAGAAGAATAGGTATCACCGTATGGTATAATGTAACCAAGGAACCAAGGAACATGATCTTAACTACAAACAGCAACTAAATACATATACTTTAATACAAACAAAGGTTTTAGATGCTACATGTATTTTCACGTAAAGCTTGACATTTTGTGTCTATTCTATTGTATATTCCAAACAAGAAAACTATTTCTATGGCATGCAAAATATACATAAATATGATCATTTAAAGTTAGTCACCAGTCATATTCAATGCCACAAGGTCAGTAACCTTGATTTTTGTAAGGTTTTGTAGTGCATCACTCATGGAAGATGCTGGAGCTCAATGATTCACGTTTGAACCAATGCAATGAAAAATATGAAAAATATTTTTATATGTTTATCTATTCAAAGATCAGCCTTAAGGCCCTGAGGTCATACATACCATGATATACCATGTTACTCGACACCATTTCACATTACATAATATAAAATAATGATAATTTTAAAAAATTCAATACTTTTGTACGGTGTTATATCGCTATCTCTTATGCTAAAGATAAATCCTGTCAAAATGACCCAAGAACAGTCAGACAGATGCCTAGAGAGGGATCAAAGTTTCACTCTGCTTTGCAAAGGACACAGTAGACTACAGAACTTTTAATGATGCTGTTTTTATCTTTTTGAAATTTTGAATTTTTATATAAAACAGTTTCTTTACATTCTTTATATCAGTAGGAATCTGTTTGAGAAATAAAATAAATTCAACAATTGTTTGAATTAAAAGTATTTAGCACACAAGAACTTACAAATAGTCACTTTGTGCTCAAGATCCTTTAAAATAGTCTAAAAATATTTTAATATTTTTCTGTACCTGTGAACTGTGAAGTTTATTTTCATATAATCTGACATTCGAGTTAATCACGTGAAATGATCTGGACTACTTGTTCATATCTATAAGTAAAAAGGCAATTTACTGTAAATGTACTTTTAACGTTAACGATATTTTATAACCTTGGGAGCACCTTTCTGTCTTCTTATTCAAATTTAAGCACACGCTAATACAATATAAAAAACAAAAACCCATGGAACCTCGGCTCGACATGCACTAATTTGATATACGTTAATCAGTTGATTAGGAAAACTGTACTAAATTTTAATATGTTTGTTTATGTATATGTACATTCACAGTAAACGAAGAGAAGTTTACCTGTATCACATTTTTCTCCCCTATATCCATCCTCACAGAGGGGTTCCGAATGATCACAATGTCCCGTTATATGATTGCAATCTTTTAAAAAACATTTTCCGCACAAATTCCTGCATCTCTCGCCATAACTTCCTTTGTCACAGTCTAGATATCAAAAGGGAAAAGTTTGTAATGATTTGGACCTACATGTACTATTCACGTCTAAGTTGTTTCGTGGTGAATATTAGTTGATAAGTTCTGTAGCGAACAAAACATGTACATGAAATCAAGTTCGCTAAGGTTCGAAATATTTTTTTTCCTGATACATGCAAGTTTGATAAGAAATAATAATTAAGGGAATGAACTGAGTCCTGCGCTTTTTAAGTTCTTGCTGAAAAATAAGCTATAAAAACTTTAAAAGCACGCTTTAAAAAATGTTGTAAAGAATAAAACTTGAAGTTCTTTAATGTTCGAAAATATGAATTTGTTTTTAAAATATTTCGTAAAGAAAGCAAATTTAAGACAATCAGGACGTCTAAGTACATGTAAATATAAAAAAAAGTTCAAATCAAATAAATTCAAAAATAATTAATTTACATCTTACAGATGATAAACAACCTTGTGTGAATCGAAATGTCGATCTCTGGAGAACATTTTTGAAAATATGCTACAAAAGATTTCGTGAAAAATGCTTTCTTTTAAATGAGCTTATTTTCTGAATAATGATGGATGTAGAGGAAAAGATACATAATCATACACATGTTACAATGCGATCCGCCAAACCCAGGTATACAACCATTTATACACAATCCGTCACGTGGGTCACACTTCTGTGATTCACCTGCGCACCGTTCATTACATTTCCAAGCACAGTTCTGTCCAAAAGTTCCATTAGAACAAGCTTAAAAAAGAATACACAAAGACGAATTACTGAATATTTCAAGAATTTTGTGACATGCTTTCACAGCATAATTTCATATGAAGCCAAACACTTATAAGTCTTTGGTATTACGACACTTTTAATGGCTCGGGTAATTTTAAGTAACGGTAGTTTGAAATAAAAGACAATAATGGCATTGATTTAACAGAAATTCTCTAGAATTTTGATAATAATCGCCACATATATAGAAAAAAGTGCCTTGTTTACGCTTACTTTTAGGAGTTCAGACATTCGGTCACCTTTCAGTTACCTGAATGGCAGAGTTTCATCCTTTGATATTCCTATAGTTTACATACCTGTATCACAATTTTTCCCTATCCAGCCATCCTTGCAACCAATCAGACATTCACCCGTCACGTGATGACAAGCAGACATAAGTGAAGATTCTGCGCAGTGTTCGATACATGTCAAATTGCAGTCTTCTCCATAATAATTGATATCACATGCTAAGAAAATAACGAATGGTGTCTAGTTGAAATATCTGAATAGAACTGGTTAATGTTTAACAACGTTTTGCTCAATTAGATGATTTTTGCAGCAAATATGACAATTGTCTTGCAGAAGATGGCAATAAAATGAAATTTAAGCAAATGCGATGTGCAGTTTTGGCAAAGTATTAAATAAAATATTGTTGAAAATGTAAAACTTAGAAAGGATTCATAATTATGGTTAGGTTTTTATTTCTGTAAGAATACTACAAATTTCTACGTTACTTTCATTGCAGATTTCTCCTTGGTATCCGTCCTGACACCCATTTAGACACGTCCCATTGAACTGATCACAGTCAGTGTTCTCACGACAAAGTCCACATGTATCAGTGCAGGTCAATCCTTTATACCCAGGTTCACAACCGGAGTCACAGGATCCGCTGAACTGATCACAGTAAGTGTTGTTACGACAAAGTCCACAAGTCTCAGTGCAGGTCAATCCTTTATACCCAGGTTCACAGCCAGAGTCACAGGATCCGCTGACCGGATCACAAACTGTATCATTACGACAATGGCCACATATTTCACTGCAGTTTCCCCCAAAGGTTTTGTTATCGCAAGCTGAAAGAAGTAAAGTGTGCTGCTTATATTATATAAACCGTCGATTTATGCAGAAAATACAACTAATTTTTAAGGCATATTTTTATTTAGAACAATTGTAGAGTGATTAAAAAATTCTCCTATTGGTTTCTATTTTGAGCATTTGGTTTACTTAACAGCCTAGACAATATAAAATATACCAATACTGGCTTGTGACCTAATCTTGGAAATATTTCTCTTTGCTATAAGTTAGACGATCATTGCTCAAACTGTCGATTTAAATCAAGTTAATTGTCTATAAAATAATGTTCATATTACATTTTAATTGTAAAATGATTACCCTTATCAACAACCGTTGATAAATGCTTCTACTCGATACATTGGATGGAATTAATTTTAAGCGATCCAAGTCTTTTTAAAAAAAGTTACTATAATATAACTTTTGTATTGTGCCAAATGATTAAGCGCTCTAACCTAAGTTCGAATTTCTTTTGATAATGAAACTTGTAGTAAGCTAATGAAAGATACAAGTATTAACTTTCGTTGCAGTAAAATCCTTGATATCCCAGGTCACAACCCTCTGTGCATGTTCCGCTAACAGAGTCACATCCTGATCCGGTCAGACAATGTCCACACTTGAGTGTACAGTTTTCACCATACGTCATGGCCATACATTCTGAAATGAAAGTTTCAGCCGAATGTCAAGGCACAAACGATAAACAGTTAACATTAATACAAAGTGTACAAATACAAATACAACATTTAACAAAGTGAAGACAAAAGCTGACTATTTTTTGTTTATTTAAGTCCTGCAAATCAAGTAAATGAATTTATACGTAAACTTTTTGGAACTAGATTAAATTTGTCGTCCTGATTAATTTAAACTTAATTTCTTCCCTTAGCTCTACTGCTATAACTGATTTACGTAAAAAAAATGAAGCATTTTCTTGAATGTGAAAATATGTAAAAAGGAATCCAGCTACCCATGTTAAATTTAACATTTAAAAAAAAAAAGAAGGCGAAGAAAATATAATTTGCCGTTTTTGAGATACTGTAGGCAATCTTGATATAATTCTTTTATCTGATATGGAAAAACACTCCCATATTTAAATCTGGTTGTCTTTATTTTTATAAAAAGAACAGATTAGAATAGGTTTTTTCTGTTTACTTAAAAATTACGCCCATACAATGACAAAAACTGAGTACTATTTTAATAGAAAAGTTTACAATGAGTTGGTTTTGATTATTTACCAACGTTGAGAAGGGTTAATTGACAAATCGTAAAAAAAATTGGTATGGTTCCAAGACCACTTTTTAAACAATAATACAAGTTAAATATATTTCACTATAAATACATGTTGAGGATGCATTGGCAACGTTTTACCATAGTCTAAGGTGAAGGAAACCTTGTTTCTTTATTAAATTGTACAATTGAAATGCCAAAATAGATTTATTCGTATTTTGGCTGAATTGCATTATATGAATTGTGAGGCCTTTGTTTTCAAAATTAATTTGAATATGAAATATCCCGTCTAACTGATCAATACATAGGTTTCATGGCGGGTGTATTCGGTCGACAGGGGATGCTTACTTCTCCTAGGGAACTGATCCAACCTCGGGTATTTCAAGTGGTACGTGTTTTACGCCCTGTTTACAGATATGTATTGTTTATAGATTTTTTTTTTAGATCGATCACTGTTCGTTTAATTTACCTTTTTCATTTAAATGTAAATTGTTTAAACTTTGAGGTGTTTAACATTTGTTTTACAAATTTCTTAAGTGTTCAAAACTGAGGAGTTAATATTTCATGTTTATTTTAAGCTGTTGTAAAGAGTTCAAAACTGAAACGCAAATTTAATGTTTATTTTTATAGCTGTTGTACAGTTTTCAAAACTGAAACATAAAACTTAAATGTTTATTTTTAGCTTTTGTAAAGTTTTCAAAACTGAAACGTAAAACTTTAATGTTCATGTTTAGCTGTTGTAAAGTTTTCAAAACTGAAACGTAAAACTTTAATGTTTGTTTTGCGCTGTTACCTTCCTTACAATGATCTCCTTTCTTTCCAACCACACAACTTGTACAATGACCTGTTGAACTATTACATAGTCGGGAATCAGGGATCGGTTTACAAGTTTCACTGCAGGATTGATTGCAGTTATATCCAAATGATGTTCCATTACATCCTGAAAAGTAAGCTCTGTATATATTATACAAATGATAATTAAGTTTAAATGAAGAATTTCTTCTTTCCAATAAACACATATGACTTTCGCAACACAATGCATGTTTATGTTGTAAGATGTATGTTTAAGTAAAATAAATAAATGTTTTTTTTCTATATTCAGAAAAAAAATAGATTGAATCTTCCATGAAGAGAATCCAAAAAAGTGGAAGTCTATAGTTCCTCTGCTATTATGAAATTACCTTCATTACATAAACTCCCTGTAAATCCTTTTTCACATCCATGGACACAGATGCCATTGACGTCATCACAACTGTCCTCATTTGGTCTTTCCCTACACTGTCCACACGTCTCGTTGCAAAAGAAACCAAACTGGTTTGAGCTGCACTCTACGGAGATTCCATTAAAATATAATTACCACGCGTGTTTTCTTTAGACACAAAAATTATATGCTTAATCTAGAAAGCTTATTATTTGAAAAATAGTGTTACTCTCTCTCACACACACACAAAAACACACACCCTCACATACGCACAATTTAGGAACAGATTAAATTATTTATAAAGCATCTCAAATGGCAAAATTGTTGAAAATATTGTAAATAATTGTAAATATTTGACTGTTAAAAATATTGAGACATGCCATTTGAATAAATTCGTTACTTTGTACTGATATTCATCATATAATTACATGTTTTTTTAATTTAAAAAAGAATATAAACAGAATAACGTCTTACTTTCACAATGGCCCGTGCTGATGTTGCATCCTCCAACACAAGTTTCAGAACAATTATTTTCACAGTGTTTTCCGTATGTTTGATTCATACATTCTAAGGAAATGCAACATAATACCACATATGATCTATTTAAGCTCAAGGTACTTTTAATTCTCAATGCTTTTTTAAAACATTATCTTTATGAAATAAATGTCAGTACAAGGCAGACTTAATTCACGTTTTAAAACTAAAGTAACTATGAGCATTTAGCTCACAAAATGATACCCCCTTTCCCATATGAGTATAATGGCAAAGTCCATTTTTGAAATAGAAACCCAATTATCTGTCCGATCATAACATAAAATAGGGGTGCACAATTTTACTATGTAATAAAAAATTCTGAGAAAGTCTCATTACATTTTATTCAGAGGCATAGTCATGATAGTTGCAGATAAGAACTGGGTAACCCATAAATATAAAAAGAATGGCAGTGTCCATGTGTTGCTAAAGAAAACCCAAAAGTCAGTCCGATCGAAACGAAAAATAAGTAGAGCGCAATGTTTCTATTGTTTGTGTGTTGTTTAACGCCCCTTTCGAGAATTTTTCACTCATATGGAGACGCCACCACTTGCCGGTGGAGAGCTGCAAAGTTTGTCCTGTACTCGGCACTTACGGCCATTGAGCAGTGAGGGACCTTTTTTTGAGCCAGCACCTACTGCGACACGGAACCTCGGTTTATACGGTCTCATCCGAAGGACCGGTCTCCACGTCCCACAGTGGGATTCGAACCCGCGACGTAAGGATCAACTCCTAACACCGCGACTCTAGAGCAGACGCTCTAACCACTGTGCAACGCGGGCGACTGGAGCGCAATGGTAGTATGTAATAAAGATGATGTGAAAGTCTCTTCAATATTTTTAGTGGTTCAGGAGGAGTTGCGGATAAGCGATGGGTATACCCAATACTATAGAAAGAATGACACTGTCTGTGTTTACACTTTGGAAACACCAATTATCTGACCGATCAAAATGCAAAAGTGGTGAATAATATTACTTTTTAATAAAGATTATGTGAAAGTCTCATTACATCTTATTCAGTGGATTTATGGACGTACGGTAGGAACTCACCTGCAATATATGCTCCCTCTTTTCAAGAGTCCGTATCAAAAGTTTATTACACCCTCTCCAAAAAGCATTCTTTTTACGAATGTAATAAGGCTGCCCCCATCCCACCTAAACTCCTCGACCCCAACCTTAAAATGCCTTGTACTGAGTTTTAAGACAAAATTGTTTCATTTGAAATAATTTAGTCACCTGTATATTATTGTTAACTTCTTTTATCTCTAATCAAATTATTTAAAATGTTAGATTTGAGAGTCGGAATATACTTCAGAACTTGGTAGATTTACTTTCATACCCGAGCATATCCCATCTGTTTCACAATCTGCACAAAACGTTCCAGTACAAGGTACGCACTTTCCTCCGTCACTGAATTGCTTCAAATTGCAGCCTGTTATATAATTGTCAAAAGGAAGTTTTGAAAAATGTTATTTTAGCAATGAAACTCTAGCAGTTACATTGTAAAGAGAATTATCAATGTGGATACAATAAAAATCAATAGCTTAATATGATAAACTAGTATTATAATAGCAAGTTATCCTGGTTTATTTTTTTAGGGAAGTGCTTTGTTTCAAAGTTTCATTTCAGACAAAAATTAAAATCAAATATAATAAAAATAAAAGACATACCAAAAATTTCTATTTCACAGATTTCAAGAATAGGTTTCTCATCACCCCCAGACGTGTTGTTCTGGTAAATTATTACATAACGCGCTCTGCCTTTACAAACTTGCGATACTGTTGCATTCGGTTTCTCGCTAACTGGGTAATCCTTGTAACATAAATTCCATTGTTCCTGATCGATTTTTTCGGAGTAATATAGAGTATACCCATGAAATCTGTGCTCATCTAATTAAAATATATTAAATGAAAAGAAAAATACAAGGAGGAACACGGGTCGAAAGTACAGCATAGATCAAAGTATACTTGATGTTTTGTAGTTGGTACTTGTAAATACTTTCAAGGAAAGAAGCGGAGAAACAAATAGCAAGAATTCAAAGGGTGAGGGATTCTGATACTTACAATGTTTTCTGTAGTAAATCGTAACGTTATAGATATTGGTAATTTTTCCAAGATCTACGTAAACAGATGTAAAGTCTGTTCCATGGCCTGGATCTGTATGTGTACAAAACTCTATATTCTGGTTTCTATTGCCGTCTACCGCTCTGTTTTCCTTCCCTTCATACCCAGGATAAACAGACATCATCACAAACGTTTTATTAAGAGCGATATTATCTAAAGGAAATTAAAAAAAAAATTAAGTAAAAATCAAAGGAAAAAAGATGTAAAGAGAAATCAATGTTTTGTAATGATAACTTACCTAAACCACGGCATCCAATAGATATTAAAGGTAAAATTACACAATATAAATAAACAAAATTAATCATATTTTCATTTTTTTCATCCTTACAGCATGTTAAGTACTATATCAACATGTTTTTAGCATAACATACTTGTTCATGTTTTATCGAAATAAAGAAGGAAGTAAAAAGCTCCAACGATAGCTCCACAGTTACGGATTAACGAAGCAATTTAAGTCCACTTCAGAAATTAAAGTGAAGTAGAATCATTCATTTAAAAAAATGTGTAAGTGGAATAAAACAGAAAGCAAAAACTATCGTGTCGATACATTTATATACTATAACATTTCTTAATTTTGTTAAACAGTTATTGGAGCTTGCTTATAATTAACAAAGAAAAAAAGTCTGTTACCATGTTATCATGTTTGAAATAGTCCGTCATAAATGACATTTATTTTGCCTCCGTTTTGAAGACAAACAATAAGGACAAATATTTTGAACCATTTTTAAATCTGTAGTCTTTTGAAATAAAACATGAAAGGGGACTTTAATAAATTTTGCTCTTTAAAGATTTTTATGTGTCAAATCATGATAGATTAACACCTTATCAAATTAAAGGACTTTTTGTGATTATTTTAGCTGGTTTGGGAGCAGATCAAACTGCCCTTCTATTTAATCCTTAATAATGCCTAAAAAAAATTAACACGATATCTTAAGACATTTAAAAATTGTGCAAATTAGAAGGAGGGGTGCAATCCGTACTCGATCTCCTAAATTTAACATTTCTTTTATTCTTGAATTAATATATATTTAATATATATCAACAGTTTGTACGGTAAGTCTTCCAGAACTTCGGACTTCGTCTTCATGTAGTTTTATTTTAAATGACTAAATATTATTTCGATTCTACATGGATGTAAGGCCATTGTTTCACAATACATTCTATTACATAACAAAAATCCTATTTTGCTTTGCAAATATTAATTATAATAGTATTTAATGATACATGTATATAGAGGTTCTTACAACATTATCAGGATAGGAAATAATAATAATAAAAAAACTTTCTTTGTTTTCCCTGATTTATTTTTGCAAAGTTTGCAAAGTATATTTCTTGACCACCACAATTTATATTGAATCGAGATTTGATGAATTTAAAACAGAACCCAGTATCAGATATTCCAGAAGCAGAACTTTTTGATAAAACAATTAAATAATTAAATAATTGTTGACGTGTGCAGGTTTTTTTTCCCCTAAATTGTTCTTTGGTTAAGAAACGTAATAATTTTACATACTGTTTTATAGCACAGTTTGCCTCTTAGCGCCTGTTAATGAATACATGTATATAATACACAACGCTAATTGCCATTTTTCGATTTTCCCATGCCCATATGCATGCATCCTAGTTGTAATTAATTTGAATATGACTGAGCTTTCGTAAATCAATGAAACTTTATTTTTCTTTTTTAAGAATAAAACAAAGGACGTTCTTTGATTTGTATTAGGGTCTGATCCGTTATCTTTGTCAGCACACTGTGCAACAAAATTCTTTTTAACAAATAACAGTCTTTAAAATAGAACAACGTCCATGACTAAGTGTAGAGTATCTCATTAAACACTGTGTTCAAAGGAAGTATTTTGGTTAGTAACATGAAACAGAGTTACTTATAGCAATAAGGAAGAGCAGTTTTAAACGAGATGAATTCACTCTAGATGTATGGCTACTAAATATAGTGTACTTATAATAAATGAGATAGTAAATGGATTTTATCTTTCGGAAATTTTTAAACTCCCTAACACTAAAATGAAAGGTAGAGTGTCTACTGATAATTGAAAAATGACGACGCGTTGTTTTTATTTTGATTTCTTAATTGGCTGTTTATCTAAACGTGATTTATCAAAATAAGTATGAGAAACTGTAACAAAAAATTGATTATTTTAGTATTTTGAATTCGGCAGGCGCCTTCTTGAATTTAATTGCTTTATTACTAATATATAACGCTGTCAGCATGTAATATGGACAGAATATTGGTTTGTAAATTGATTTGGCTATATTATTCCTGTTTTTTTTTTTTTTGTCTACATTTCAAGGACATACCTGAATTAAGATTTTATACAGAAATCGATAGGACAACGTTATCATTATTATCTCATACATGCATCTAAATATAATTTATCAAAGAAGAGAAATGCTACCCTAAGCCTTGAATGCAAAGCTACGTTAGCCTCCCTCGATTCATCAACTTAAGATTAAATACTTTGTTTTCTGGTGCTCCATGAACGCACCGGTACTGATGATCATTTCATCAAAGAAAAACTTCACAAAAATGAATAAAAAAATCTTTGAAAGAATGTTAAGGGAAAATGAAAATGAAAAGGGATCATGTAAGTAGTTATTTACCATATATAAAAAACAAAATATTACTGATAATAAGTGTACTAGGCCTACATTATGTAATGTACAAGTCAAATGATACTACTAGTTAACTAAGGAAACCATTGTTAGTCTCATAACTCTTGTTTGTGTCACCGGGTTCACAGGTGCGTGAAAGTCAGTCAATATATCGGGTCTCAAAAGCTCAGTGGTTAGAGCGCTGGCACGGTACGCCAGAGGCCCTGGGTTCGAGTCCCGGTTGAGACTTGATTTTTCACCACCTGTGACATTTGGCGCCCAACGTACAAACACCCACTATTCCCTTGGAACATGCTTCACGCATTTCCTTAACTCATAGAATTCGCGGACGAATTTCTACAAAGAGGGGGAATATGTCACCGGGTTCACAGGTGCGTGAAAGTCAGTCAATATATCGGGTCTCAATAGCTCAGTTGTTAGAGCGCTGGCACGGTACGCCAGGGGCCCTGGGTTCGAGTCCCGGTTAAGACTTGATTTTTCACCACCTGTGACATTTGTAAAGAGTAAGATAAACAATTAATTCTGTCTTGCTAAGGTGTTGTAATGTTAAAGATGTATAAAACAAACACCGATCATCTCATAAATCAAGCAAACAAAATGAATCGTGAACAGGGCAAACTACGGACCATGAAAACTATAGAGGTGGGATCAGGAGCCTAGGGGGAGTGAACATCCTCTGCCAATCGGTCACATTAACCATGAGCCCTATGTATCGATCGGGCTTACGGAGTACTCCATCTTCAAATCTAGAAATCTTGCAGATAATATCGAACAGGCAACAGGTCAGACAAAAATCGATCGAACGATAGGTTGTATTTACAAGCAAGGTCATTATAGAATTTGGGGAAAGGTGACTTTAAATGGGGTGTTGAAATCTTTTTAACATCAACTTATTTGCCAATAGCTTGCCTCAGTTACGAAAGTGATCGTATTTAGAGCATGCTCTACCGTATCGAATCAGGTGGGAGACATAAACACCATATACAGGTGATGTTGGAATATTGCTAAATAAACGAGGGAAGTTGTCGATGGAAATCAAATGAAGTCATTCGATTTGTAATATAGTTCATTTATCGGTTGGCCATTGTCGTCTAGTCAGTAAAAATTCAAATATGAAACATGATGTGGCAGGTTGAATCGTGTCTTTTATTTCGAGTTCGCTGGGATATAACAAGTCAACATATGAATGGAACTATTGTTGATTGATAAATCGTCGTGAAGTAGTTTTGAATACGTTCTGCTTCTTGGGAATATGAAAAACAGATCGGTTAACAAGGGAGCACAATTAGTACCGATCGAAATTTCAAAAGATTGTTGGAATACCTGGTCTAAAAAGACTACATAGATATGATTAATGTGGATCTCCAACATCTTTTTAATATCAACATCAGAGTACTTGTATGTTGAATCATAATGACTTTTAACAAAGTAATTTTGAAGACAACCAATTACAAGATATGAAAATTGACGAGTTTCATTTTCATTGAGGAAGCACTTGTCTGTTATGTCAAAAAGCTTGCTCTTTAATTTGTCGTGAGAAATAGTTGTATAAAACGTAGAAATGTCATATGTTTTGATTTTATTAAGGTTTGAAAAGTTTTGAGATTTTTAGACTCCCAAATTTCTAAGAAGATTTTTAGAATCAAAATTTGATTTACCCCACTTCTCTTATTTCTTGTAGAACAATACGTCTGAAGTTTATTCCTCCACAGCTGTTCATATCTTGACGAGGAATAGGGATAGAACTGGGGCGAAAAGTTGTATTATTAAAATGGACTTTTGACCTTGATTCATGTTCGTTATCATCATTTTGCATTCAATAAAACAAGATATACGACATAAGGTTTAATCAGCTTTATTTGTGAAGTAAACAATTAGGAATAACACAGCAATGCTTACAAGCATTTTGATAAGTAGTGTGGTCTAATATTATGCTGACAGACGTCTTACAATATTCTGACAATAATTTTTACACAAAATGACAGTCGAGCTAACCCGGACCGAGACGTTTTATGACGTTAAATTCTGTATTGATATTTTAATACACAAGGCGTAACTTTAGTTTATGTTAGCAAAATGACCTTATTAATGAATTGACCTACTTTTGAGCAAATATAAAGCTTATTTTTCTTGGAAAATGGCAATATCTACTGATAGATATAGTACCACATTTATTGTTCTGTGTTATTTATAAAAAAGGAATTTCTTATGTCTAGTTTGTACAAAACATATTAAATGAAAGCTACTCCTAAGAGTTTGAACGCAAAATGTCCATGTTTATGGATATACCCCACTTTTCAGCAAATATAAAGCTTTCAATTATGTGGTCTTCTTTTTGGTCTCTTGCAGCATTTTCCTATTCTGTATGCTGTTATTATTGTCAGAATAATGAGGAATGGAGATACAACACCACCAATGATCGGTAGAAAATCCTCAAAAAACTCTTTGTTGTCCCTCTGTGAGGTATCTAGGTATCATATGTAAAACAGACAGAAAATAAGATAAATATAAGCAATTTAAATAGTGCATACTAGTAAATCCAAATATCAATTTTAAGCAAACTTATCTAAAATCATCTTTTTTTTCAGCCAATTTGATGCAAAAAATATGTAACTAAACATTTTTTGAGAAAGCGAAGTTATTTATTTGTGAGTTTGATTTAAATCCGGTATATTAATAAACATATATATTAACCAAAAAGCGGGCATACAATGGAAATATACAGACACCTGTGTTTCAATTATTTTAGTTCCATATTAACTAAAACTTGCAATAGAAAACTATAATTTACCAAGAAAATGCTTTAATTTACTATCCCATTTTTACTTACTTTAAAAGTTTTGCATTAAACCATTTCAAAGTTAACATACAATTTTAATGTCTCTCATTACATAATTATGAATATAAAGAAATTCAGAAAAGAGCATTTTAATAAAACGTTATATTGCTAATGATATTTTTTTTTTATATAAAACCTACAAATGAAAATGAAGGCAAGCTAGATACTTTGATATTGAAACGAATTGAATATCACAAAAAAGCGGAGTAATGTAGTTGGAAGCAGAGTGTGTACTTTTCCAAATTTTTACAAAATTTCAATTCTGATAAATAAATTCTTTTGATTCCATAGGAACGGTAGCCTTTTTGATTTTTTTTTTTTTAATTATGCATTCAAAACTACATGTACACGTCATGATTCCTATTATTGTGTAGTTCCACTCAGACTGTCAGAGCCATTTGTAAATATTAAAGTTGACAAACTGAGGCGGAACAATAATAACTTACATGTACTAATAGTATGATTAATGTGAGAATTAAAAAAAAAAGATTATCATTGGGAAGACGTTGATTCCCTCGTTTACTATTATAACAGCAAAACGTTTTACAGTTAAACTTGTTCTGACTCTTGATTCACTATTGTACTAAGTCTTATAGATACTAAGATTTACTATATTAATTATAGTTTACAACAGTTTAATTTTAGAAAAGAAAAACCTATCTTCTTTGCAGATGGTAGTAAAAAGAAACATATATTACCGAGTTTGTTAGAGGGAGTTAGTGTTTATACGCTGTTCATGCATACTGTACCATCTTTAATGTCTTTTGATTCCAATATACATTTGCCATTGAAACACTGATTACTACAGTTGTACCGACAGTCAGGTCCAAATGTACAAGGTTCGCATTCTGAAAAGAATCAATATTTTTTTTTCCAGAGACATTTACAGCCAATCAAGTCTCCTGTTACAAGCTAGATAGAAAACGTATCCAATCCTGTTATAATGAACCCTGATATGCCAACCATTCACAGGTGTATCAACAGTAATCTTCACAAATAAGTCAACAACAGCGTACCACCAGTTTGAATCAGCAAATAAAGAGAATTTCATGGGCATTCAAGGGCAGATCATTTTCATATTCACGAAAAAAAGTTTGACAGGAAAAAACGAAAACTGGCAAACACCAAAACTCTGTTTCGTCGGAGGGGGGATTTGAGACAAGGTCAGGGATATATTTCAATATTTTTGAAAAAAGATTATTTATTTCAAAATCGGTCAGCACCCCCCTCCCCCCCCCCCCCCACCTCCTTTCAAGACTGCAAGAGAGCGTGTGCGTGTTAAAAAGATACGCGCCGGTAGGATTTAAATAACGGACAGTATTAGGTGGCCTTCTTTCTTAAAAAAATATAAATTGCATATTCGAAATATAAATAGTATATGTCAATGTCATTTTTTTGTCCTAAATAATTTGATATGCAGTTTAATGTACAATGTAGATAAAATTGTGATTGCCTCAACGGTTTTCTTTAGTATAATTTCCTTTGAATATTCATTTTTACACATAAATAAACATAATTATGTAAACAATAGGCAATTCAAGCAGAGAAAAAAAAAAGATGTATTTTACATTAATTTTGATGACTTTTATCGTTTACGTTTGATTGTAAGCAATTCTTTTTTCCTGTACTTTTTTATAGTGAGTAAAAAAGGTCGATTCAAATCTTTAGAAAAACTACATAAATACATGGAAACTTGTTAACATAGAAAAAAATAGCAAAACTGGTTAATACTGACAAAACAAATCTTAAACGTTTAAGAGTCAATATTCAAGACTGCTTTAACTTAAGGAAAATGTTGGCGACATTGTCGTTTCATTAATATAAAATAAAGAAATTTAAAAAAAAAATCAAATGAATAAACGACCTATTTATTGAGCAGTCCATTGTAAACTTAAGTGTACAGGCTCCGCCCACGTAATATGCATACTGCTCACTAAGGCGTACCGTGCAAAAAGCGTTACGTACCGTTCAAAAACCGAAAATTACATACCAAGCACAAGAAGTGAAACGAACTGTACCGTGCAAGTGGTGTAGTGGTACGTTTTAGGATCTGTATATTTAAAAACTCGGTCAGCTTTAAGGTTCTTAGATCAGAAATAAATTACATGAAAAAATAACATATTCCTACCTCTTATGGTGTACTGTGGAATCATCATTGTTCGTGGGGGATCAATGTTCGTGGATTTCGTGGGTAACCCTTACCCACGAATTTACATCCCCACGAACAACTATTTTTTCAATGTACTGATTAATTAGATCAACCAAATAAACGAGCTGCCCACGAAATTACATCCCCACGAACCAATAAAATTTTGCTTGCCCACGAACATTGACCCCCACGAATTTAAATGATTCCACAGTAATAGATAAACGCTGTAACAATGACAGACGGATAAATACAAAGATTAATTGAAAAAAGTTTCACTCTGTATAGCATCGAATATTAAAGCTTCAGAATTCTTAAAGAATCCTTTTTGGGGGGATGGCTGGAAGGGGGTGGGGTGGTGGTTTTTATATCTTTTTAATTTTATTTTATTGTATATAAGAATTTTTTCAAACATTCTTTTCATCATAAATGAATATGTTTCAAAAAGGAGATAATCAGTTGAGAAACAGTTATTCTTAATTTTACTTGATTATGACATATCATCAAAGATATTGTAGCTCTGTTTCAACAAATATGTTAAATCAGACAACGAAATAATACGTTGTTCCTGTAAGTAAAACTTTATTTTCTTATAATCTGACATTGGAGCTACAGTGTAACCACGTTCAATGTTTGATTGAACTGGCCTATTTGTTTAAACAAATGAAACAAATAGTAGCGTCTGTGTGTATACCTTTGTCACATTTTTCTCCCCTATATCCATCCTCACAGAGGGGTTCGGAATGAGCACAGTGCCCTGTTATATGATGGCAATCTTTTAAAAAACATTTTTCGCAGGACTTTAAGCATCTCTCACCATAGCTTCCTTGATCACAATCTAGATATAAAAAAGGAAAAGTTCAGAAACGCCTCGAAGAATTTGGACCTATATGTATTACTTCTTATAAGTCTTCTTATGATGAAAATTTAAATGTTGATTCTGTTGTGGAAAAAAATACACATTGCATGAAATGAAGTTCGCTGAGGTTCAAAAATATTTCCCTGATACGCCTTCATATTGTTATAAAAAATGATATTAAAAAAAATCAGTCAAGAGCTTTTGAGTTATGTAAAAACTTCTTTAAAGCACGGGTTAATAATTAGAGAAACCAAGCTTAAAATTTTACAGCATTAAATGTCCAATAATGCTTGAAAATATGATTTTGAATTCAAAATATTTTGCAAAAAAGTCAAATTTAAGACTTTAATATTTCTACATAGATATTAAATATATAACTGATAATATATTAAATATTAAATATATAACTGATAATATATTAAATATATACTGATAATATATGTTAAATAAAATGAATCCAAAAATAGTAAATCAAATAGACAAATGACAGTGCCTGCATGAAAACAAATGTATATTTCCGGAGCATCATTTAGAAAAATGTGTTAAAACAGACTTTATAGAAAAATCATTTCTTTTAAATGAGCTTACTCTATACATGGAAATTTTCGTTCAAAATTATCTGCAAGTCAATGTGAAAGGGCAAAAATAACACGGGGCAAAAATAGCCATGTAAACAGTATTTCTTGAATAATGTATACATCAGCTTACACATATTACAGTGCGATCCACTAAACCCAGGTATACAACCATTTATACACAATCCGTCACGTGGGTCACACTTCTGTGATTCACCTGCGCACCATTCATTACATTTCCAAGCACAGTTCTTTCCAAAAGTTCCATTAAAACAAGCTTTAAAAATTAATCCATTAACACGAATTACTGAAAATTTCAGTCATTTCATTATGGGATTTCACTGCATTATAATGATTATAAGAGTCCAGACACTTACAAGTCTTCAGCTATACGATACATTATCATATGTTTGCAAACTGCCCTAACAAAAAAATACTATAGTAAACTATAGTTAACTATAGTACCAAAGTAAAAACTTTGGAACTTTGATTTACTATAGTGAAAACTTTGGAACTTTGATTTACTATAGTAAAAACTTTGAAACTTTGATTAAGTACGATAAATCCCGTGGAATTATGTTTTTGATTCCCATTCTTTACATTTTATGATATTTCAAGTTTAAGATTCATAAAATCTTTAGAGAACGTTTTAAAAACCCGACCCCTCCCCTAAAAGAATAATGTACAAGATATGAATTTTAATGTAAAGGTTGTTGCTTGCGCCGATAAATAAGCAATATTTATTTCAATGTATTTAATTAAATGTTATGCAGATGTAACGTAAGTTTTATTTATGGAGAAAAAAAATTAAAAAATGTGTCATTTAGAATCAAAATATCTGCTTCATCAGTTTCAGTCAACATGACTTTTTTAAAATTTATAAATGTAAATATTACATTTGAATTAACTACATTGTATATTTAAATAAAGATGTATTAAAAAAACCCAGCCCCAACCAACCCCATATCCACCCTCTCCCCTACAACGGCTAAATAATAATAATAATAATAATAATAATAATAAAAATAAAAAATACATAAGTTGTTAAACTAATGAAAAAAACTTTGAAACTATGATTAAGTATAGGGAAAACTTTTAAGCTTTAATTAACCATATTAAAAACTTTGGAACTTTGATTTACTATAGTAAATACTTTGGAACTTTGATTTACTATAGTGAAAACTTTGGAACTTTGATTTTCTATAGTAAAAACTTTGGAACTTTGATTTACTATAGTGAAAACTTTGGAACTTTGATTGACTATAGTGAAACTTTGGAACTTTGAATGATTTACTATAGTTAACTATAGTAAACTATAGTTTACTATAGAATTTTTTTTGTTAGGGTGTCCTTATATATTGCGTTTCTCTAAGTTACGAAATAAGAAATTAGAGACAAAAAGGGCATGATAACAGAAATTCATGAGAATCTTGACAATAGCTACCACACATACATTTATCCAGAAACGTGTTGAGTTAACATCTACATTTTTGATATTTAGTATAGGGAGGGTAGTCCACAATGAAAAATCATTGATGTTAGTTTGCCTCATCATATCCTCTTATTTCTGTCAATAATTGTGAGAATTCCTATACTTTACATACCTGTTTCACAATGTTTCCCTATCCAGCCATCTTTACAACCAATCAGACATTCACCTGTCACGTGATGACAAGTGGTCATGGTCATGGATGTAGATTCTGCGCAGTGTTCATAACATCTTAAATGGCAGTCTTCTCCATAATAACCGATATTACATGCTTTGAAAAAAGAATAGCGTTTTGAAACTGATGTAAACAAAACATATGTGAATAGGAAAGGTTAATGTTAAGTAACCCTTTGCTCAATAAATTATTTTTTTCTGTAATTTTGATAACTTTCTAGCACAAAGAGGGGATAAAATGAAATTTACTTAAATTTATTAGAGTCAAGCCGTCTTAATCCGAACCCTTGTGTTCTTGGGCATATTGTCCGGATTAATAAAACGTTCGAATTAACAAAGCTCCATTGTACACCATACTGGGTAAAGCACCAGATAAGTTATTGCTGAAGATGTAAAACTTAGAAAGAAATAATTACCATAATTGACTTTATGTAAGAATACTACAAGTTTCTACGTTACTTTCATTGCAGATTTCTCCTTGGTATCCGTCCTGACACCCATTTAGACACGTTCCATTGAACTGATCACAGTCAGTGTTCTCACGACAAAGTCCACAAGTCTCAGTGCAGGTCAATCCTTTATACCCAGCTTCACAGCCGGAGTCACAGGATCCGCTGAACGGAACACAAGCTGTATCATTACGGCAGTGACCACATATTCCACTGCAATTTCTACCAAAGGTTTTGTTATTGCAAACTGAAAGAAGTAAAATAACTGGCAACTATTTTACAAACCGATCTTCTATTCAGATATTACTTTTTTTACTAACTTGTTTTACCGGTAAGATAAAAAAAAATGAATTTAAACATGTCGTTGACTATGTTTAAATCACTTTAATAAACAGCCATCCCTCATATCTCTAAACTAAGTCCGGGATGTTTTGATTTGGATTCGTTGCCAGAAAATCAAGATTGTAGGTGAAAATACATATATAATTTTCATAGTTTCTTATATTCAAAATTAAACTAGATGCATTTGATGTGTACATAGAAAATTATTTTGACATTTGACTTAATCATACATGAGGTAAATGCTAATCATAGGAAGAACCTAAAACTTTCAGTCAACTGAATGGTCACTGAAAGGTCTGGAAAGGTCACTGAATGGCAGAGATCTGCCATTCAGTCATCTTTCGTTAATCTTTAAGTCATCTTTCAGTTCACTGAAAGGCATAGTTTCATCCTATGAATTGGCTGAGAAATGGCACTCATAATCTAAATTGAGAGCTGTTATCAACAGTCATAGATAAAAGGACGTACTGGATACATTAGATGAAATCAGTCTTAGTTGATTTAAGTAATGTTAAAAAGCATATCATTTATTGTTTAAGCCTTAAATTTCCCAGCCGGTAGCCGTAGACCGGTGGTAATCTGTGATGTGAGCGATTCCCCAACATCCGTCCTCATCGGCCAAATAGTCCTTAACGTCTATCACAGCAACAGGCCTACCCCGCCGATGATAATACGGTGAATGACTCCAGAGGGAGTCATTAATTTTGACCGTCTTGGCACCAATTACCGACCGGACATCGACGGGACATCGGACAATTTTCATCGATCATCCTGCAATGCTCGGCCGATGACGCTCATACATTGGTGAACATCCTCCGTACATCGGTCGACTATGGGCCAATGTTTGGTCGAACATCGACCGGTGATTGACCGATGTCGGTTGCCCACCACTCACCCCCGATGACACTGGACGATGCTCGGCCATACGTCGGTCGATCCCTGAAAAATACGTTAATGATGCGTTGCCGATGAGAAGCGATGTGGGGCATCGGTGGAGACATCGCTGATTTTTAACTACAACTTATTTTCTCCCGATGACCCCCACCGATTCCCCCGATGGCCGCAGTCACCGTTCGATTACTATGGGTGTCCAGCCGGCAACCACGCCATTTTTATCAAAATACGCATCGGTTGCCCATCGTATACCCCATCGGTGGATAATGTGACTGATACTTTAGCTGCAAAAGAATTTAGTGCTCTAATAGTTCTGATGACGAAGCTCATAAAATAGCGCAAAAACTTCAAGATACAAATACCGACTTTCATTGCAGTAAAATCCTTGATATCCAGGATCACAACCCTCTGAGCATGCTCCGCTAATAGAGTCACATCCTGATCCGGCCAGACAATGTCCACATCTGAGTGCACAGTTTTCACCATACGTCATGGTCATGCATTCTGAAATAAAAGTTTCAGCCGAAATAAAATATTATTTAATGTATCATGCTTATTGCACAGTGATATAGTAAATTGACTACTATTCACAAAAAATCTATGTAGGTCCCTGAAATATTGTTTTACAATGAACGAGTCACTATTGTTTTAAAATAATAGACAAGGGTGTTTATTGACTTGTCTGTTTAATTTTTGTTACAAAAACTGTGATTGTACGTTTCTTGTTTTACAAAAATGTATAGTAAGGTTGCATTGACAATTCTTTAAATTAATATAATGATTATAAAATACGATAATAATACATTGTTAATGGTTACAAAAATATTCGACAAGATTGCATTGATTATTGTTTCTTTAAAAAAATGAAAAAAAAAAAATAGTAAGGTTGTCTTTTAGATAGGGTGCTTTGACTTTTCTTCGGCAATATTCAGTTTGGATTGGAAATGAATAAATTGATGGTGTGCTGCCTACTATTTACAATAGTATTAGCACGACAATTGTGCAACAATAATATAGGGGTTGGGTGCACTGAATAATATTTTACAAAAAACATAAGAATGTATTGATTATTGTTCTACAGTTACACATTAATGGTGCATTGACTATTTTTGTTTACAATGGAGGTTGAGCATTTGCTGACTAATTGCATAATTTTTATTATTGAGCTTTTACAATTGTTTTGCAATCAAACACGGTTGATAAACCGGTCGTATTTTAATCCAGTAAATTGACTATATAATTAAAACAACTGAAACATCGGTTGACAACCTTTATAGACAAAATACTAAATGAAGGTGTATTAATTTTTTTTATTTGAAAGGTATGAATAGATTGATTTAAAGATCAAATAGAAATTGGTAAAATTGAAGAAAATTTAAAAATGAAAATTAACATAGTTACCTTCAGTACAAAGCTCCCCTCTTTTTCCTGCAATACAACTTGTACAATGACCCGTTGAACTATTACACTGACGGAGGTCAGAGGTCAGTTTACACGTACTGCTGCATGCTTGATAACAGTAATATCCAAATGATGTTCCATTACATTCTGAAAATAAGTACTATATGTGGGTCCCAATTGATGCATGTACATGTATTTTACATTTATGAGAAAAATATTTCCGCTTTTTAATAAACACACTGGATTTGAGGCAACAAAATTCATGTTTTTGTTGTACGTATCATATTTGGCGTTGTAGTCGCGCCCTTTCATGATATAAAATTTAAAAATGCCTGCCAATATCTAAGAGAAAAACACCTAGACTTTTGGTTCAAAATTTGATTTAAAAAATCCAACTTGTTGGCGAGTATATACGGCATCTTCTTAGCACATGCATTTAAATTTCAGTATTTGTGGTAGTTGCATATCCGTAGCGTTATGGTTTATATTTTAGTCTTTGACCATGACGCTACAGATCCCGTTATGAAAATAATGTGCAATTTACGGCGCAATATTTTCTGCGCATGGTTGGGGAGAATTTCCTCCACTTTCGAGTATTGGTTAATCAACTACATCCACTCCCTTATTCTAGACACTTTTTAACCAGTCTGTATATTTTATTCCCTTCCCAACCCTTTATAGTCCTCTCTACAAATCGTCGTTAATCTCTCCTGTTTTGCAAATATCACAAAATCTTTTATCTGCAGGTATAGACAAATGCCTCCCTTTTTCTATGGCAAGATAATGTGCATTTACTCTCAACCTGCTAATAACTGATCTCTCTGTTCTCTTTTTTTTAATATATCAGTGTATCCATAGCGTTTAAAATTATCAAAAACAATTTTGTAAAATTTAGTTTTGGTGAATTGTAAATCATAAACGGTACCAATTTTGATGCACCAGATGCGCATTTCGACAATTTATGTCTCTTCAGTGATGCTCATGCCGAAACGTTGGAAAACCAAAATATTTTTTAAAAGACTTGGAAGAGCCTGAAAAAAGGTGCCAAAGACTGGAGCCAAATACGTCGAAGGATCAGAGCTATGCATAAAAGAGATAATCCTAAATTTTGAAATAAATTTCTAAATTTTACCACGGCAATTAAATATATATCCGTATTTTCAAGCTAGTACCGAAGTACTTATCTACTGGGCTGTAGAGACCCTCGGGGACTAACATTCCACCAGCAGAGGCATTATGAATCTTTGCATATTCCTCTTGTATGCAGTGATCTGATATTCTTTGCTCTATACTTCTCAGAAGTGATTTTATTGAATTTTCGTTTTAGTAATGAATGAAAATCCTAACTTGTTGAAAATTGAGAAAATATTTTTCGTTCAAGAGTTTGTATGTTTGGTCTTCTGTTGCTTTTTAGATTTTAAATGCTATATTATTCTTGGAAGTAATAAGATGGTTCCAAAATTTAATACATGAAAAATGTATTCTTGACCACAGGGGTTGTCTACCTAAATCTGCTCTGCAAGGAGCATTAGTAGTTTCACAATGTACTCCTAAAATTTCCTTGATAAACTTCATGTGAAATTTTTCAATTATAGAATTTTCACCAACATTATTATAAATACCCCAGATCTCACAGCAATAAAGAAGAACTGGTGTTACAATCGAGTCAAAAAGTTTTTCCAAATGTTTACATGGATTATCCAAACCAATGGTTTTCTTTATCTTAAAACAGGCTTCTCTGGCCTTTTCCATAAGTACTGACATAGATAAATTCAGATTTTCATTACATTTTAAAGTTAATCCAAGATAACAAAATTTTGATATTGTTTGAAGGACACTTCCATTATATGAAAAATCAGTGATACAAAGTTAAGATTTAAGCTAAAAATAAGGACTTAAGACTTCTCAACATCTCTGTAGTATCCGGTTTTATCAGAAAGGGGGGGGGTACCAGCAAATATCTCACCAGTCAAGATCTTTTAGAAATGAGAAAAAAAAAGAATGATAAAAAAATTAAATGTTAATACAGTCAAACATTAATGCATATGACGTCCAGATACCGGGTTGAGGAGGGTGGTGGTGGATTTTTTTATCGTTAAAGGGTGCGACTGCAAGTGTGTAACATTAACCGTCGATTATGTAGATATTTACTTGTTTCATTAAGCGTCATTGTTGCTCTGCATTTGTGACACTTAATAATAAAATTCTATCATTAAGAGGCGATTTAGCAATAGCGGTTGGGAATGTCAACTATTAATGCAATAATTAATGGCCTTAAGCGTGCAATTGCAACGCTTAATGATATTAATTTTGTATCATTAAGCGGCGTTTTATCATTTGTGGATGCTCTATACGTACACATGATTGTATTTTTAAAAGTTAAGTTTAAAGTAAATAAATATTTTATTTATCAAAAAAGTTGGTTGAACCTTCCCTGAATAGAATCCAGAAAAATAGAACTCTAGAAAATTAGCTGTTATGAAACCACCTTCATTACATAGACTCCCTGTAAATCCTTTTTCACATCCATTTACACAGATGCCAGTGACGTCATCACATCTGTCATTGTTTGATCCTTCCCTGCACTGTCCACACGTCTCGTTACAAAAGTAACCGTACTGTTTTGAGGTGCACTCTATGGGGATTCAATTGATACATAATTACCACTCGTGCTTTCTTTAGACAAGAAAATTATATATATGTACTTAAACCGGCAAACTTCTCTATTTTTCAAAGAGGGCTTCTCTCTCTCTAATCTATCTATCTATCTATCCATCCATCTATCATCTATCTATCCATCATCATCTATCTATCTATCTATCTCAATTAAGGATAAAATTCAGTTATGAATAATTATCTTACTTTCTTGTCTAATGGCACAATTATTTTGGAAATATCTTAGTATTAAAACTAATGAGAATGCATTTACATAAAATCTAGATTCTCCCTGACATACAACGTATAAAATTCAAAATATAGAATATACATAATTATATAAAACATATAAAAAGGGTAAAACAAAATAACTTCTTACTTTCACATTGGCCCGTGTTGATGTTACATCCTCCAACACAAGATTCAGAACATTTTTTTTCACAGTGGGTACCATATGTTTGATTCATACATTCTAAGGAAATGCAACACAACAGTATCACATACAGTATGCTCTGTTTGAGGTATTTATATGTTTTATAATTCAACAACATTTATGAATTGAATGTCAGGACAGAAATATAAAATACACATAATTATATTTAAACATATAAAAAAAGGTAAAACAAATTTACTTCTTACTTTCACATTGGCCCGTCCTGATGTTGCATTCTCCAGCACATGACTCAGGACATTTTTTTTCACAGTGCGCACCATATGTTTGATTCATACATTCTAAGGAAATGCAACACAACAGTATCACATACAGTATGCTCTGTTTAATGAATTTATATGTTTGATAATTCAACAATATTTATGAATTGAATATCAGGACAAGACATACTCATTTTTAGTTTAAACTAGTACTACTGTGAGCACCTCACAGAATGATACCCCCTCTCTCATATGAGTATAATGGTAAAGTTCATGTTTTGCTTTGAGAAACCCCAAATGTTTGTCCGATCAGAACACATCATAAAAGACGTGCACAATTACATTATTAAAAGAAATTCAGTGATGTCGTATTAAATCGTATTAGGTTTCACTAAGTTGCAGATAGAGGTTGGTACCCCAATAATATATAAAGACTGAGAGTGTCGATGTTTTGCTATGGGAAATCCCAAAATTCTGCCCGATCCAAACGTTCAATAAAAGATGCACAATAGCACTATGAAATAAGATTATGTTAAAATCTCATCAAATTGTATTCAGTTGTAAACTATGAATTGAAAAAAAAGAGTTGGAAACCCCCCACCCCCCCACCCGATGTTACGGACGTAAGGACAGATCTCACCTCCAATATATTCAATATATTCCCCCTTTTCAAACGGCCGTATAAAATATCTAGAAACTTCTCCAAAAAGCATACTCTTTGCGAATGTAATCCCCGACACACACACACACACACACACACCCTCACACACACACACACACATCTTCAAACACACCCTCACAAATTCACACCTCTCCCAAAATACCGTGTAATGAGTATTATTATAAAATTGTTTAATGAAATATTTTAGTCTTTTGTATATCATCTATAACGCCTTTTATCTTTAATCAATTTATTTAAAATGTTAGCTTTGAGAGTAGGTATACACATTCATCTTTGGTATGTCTACCCATATACCTATGTATCAAATCACCTATATACCTAAACATATCCCATCAGTGTCACAATTTACGCAAAACGTTCCAGTACAAGGTATGCACTCTCCTCCCTTACTGAATTGATCCGAATTGCAGCCTGTTATATAATTTTAAGACGGAGTTTGTTAATAAAATGTTATTAATAGCAATAAAACTCAAGTAATATCATAGTAAATCGAATTATCAATATGTATACAATGATAAACACTAGTTTAATATGATGAACTAGTATAGCAAATTATCCAGATTTTTTAATGGTAATATTGACTTTCAAAGTTAAAATATTTCGGAAAAAAGTAAATATTAAGTGCAATTCAAATAAAGGACATACCAAAAATTTCTATTTCACAGATTTCAAGAATAGGTCTCTCATAATATCCAGAGGTGTCGTTCTGGTAAACTATAACATAACGTGCTCTGCCTTTGCAAACATTTGACACTATTGCATTCTGTTTATCGCTGACTGGGTCATCCTTGTAACATAATTTCCATTGTTCCTGATCGATTTTTTCGGAGTAATATAGAGTATACCCATGAAATCTGTGTTCAACTAATTAAGATATAAAAGAAAAAAGTACAAGTAGGAACACGGAATTTAAGATTGTACATACAACATAGGTCAAAATATAGTTGTTCTTTTGGAAGGGTGCATGTAAATGATATCAAGAAAAGAGCAAGACTTCGAAGGAAGGGAGATTCTGATACTTACAATTTTTTCTGAAGTAAATCCTGACATTATAGATATTGGCAATGTTTCCAAGATCTATGTAAACATACGTATAGTCTGTTCCATGGTATGGATCTGTATGTGTACAATACTCTGTACTCTGGTTTCTATTGCCATCCACTACTCTGCTTTCTGTCCCTTCATAGCCAGGGTAAACAGACATCATCACAAACGTTTTATTTAGTGCGATATTATCTGAAGAAGAACCAAATCAATGCTTCAATATGAATAAGATACGGAAGTAAGATGTACAAGCAATGTAAATTTAAAACCAACATACCAAAACCGTGGCATTGGGTGCAGATAATTGAAATGATAATACAATATGTATTGAAGTAAATATTCATCATTTCATTTTTCAGCCTTAAAGTATATCGAGAATAGTGTATCCTCTTTCTTCTGACATTGCATATGTTCATCTTATATCAAAATAAACAAGGATGCACTAGTAATTAGTCCTATGATTGACAAAGCATTTTGAAATAAAACTTAGTAAGAATCACGCATTTGAGAATTTGTAAGTGGAATTAAACAGATAGCAAAAACTAGATTTATGTATCGTAGATTTACATTTCTGAATTTATTTAATAACTTCTGAATTAATTTAAGCAGTTATTGGAGCTTACTTAGGCACAGGAAAATTGGTTTGTTATCATGATATTGTGTCTGTTGTGTGTCATAAATGATTTATTTATTTTGCTTCTGCAGTTTGAATAAACTGGGTATAAGGTCATTATTTCACAATACATTCTTCATATAATAAAATCATTTTTTACTTTGCATAAATTGTAATAGTTTTTTAAATGAAATACAACCATTAAAACATTATCATGATGATAGAAATCGAAAAATTTTACTTTGTTTTGACTAAATAGTTTTTGCAAAGCATAGCACTTGTCTTTGGAAGTCCAATAGTGCAAATTAAAACTAAATAAAAAAAGAAATTGCAAAATAAAAAAAAAAAAACAATGACAAAAAAGAAAAAGAAAATTACAATTAATAAAAATCAATACTCAATGAAATACTAAACAAAACAATCAAAATAACGAAAGAAAGAGAAAGAAAACAAAATTTAAAAACAAAAACAAAACAATAATCCTACGTAAAAAAAATTGTATAAAGTACATAATTTAAGTGCGTCGTAAGGACGTGGACCTATAAGTCATTACACATACTGCATGCGTGTGACGGCTTCTATGTAGGACAGCACGTCTTTAAGCAGATCCATGCTCTTCGCCAATAAAATGTATTTTTTTTTAACAAGGAGAGTTTTATACAAGCCTTGTTTGATCATAACTATAACTGATATATAAATTCTTAAAATGATTTGATAATTTATCATTTGCAATGTGTGTTACATGCATTCTCATTTAGCACATCATTTCTATTTAAACTTTGATAAAATAATCAAAACAATCAGAAAGGTATTGTTAAATTCTTAAGGAATTAAGCTACAATAAACCTTCAAAGAAGCTTTCAAGGAAATGTAATCCCATCACTCACATACTTCGAATCACTTGAGATGACATAAATTTAGTGTTTCTGTGGTGAAATACGAGGTTTAGAATTTTAAAGTTTAAGCAGTTAATTAGCAACGAACCCGCCTTCATCAGGATTATTTATAGACTTACTAATGACTAGACATTTAATACTTTTTGCGGGTTTGCATGACATTATCGGAAAGTATCTAAGAGAGCACTAAAAATAAAACAAGTAAAAGTGCTAACATTGAGTAGTTGCAATGATTGCTAAGTTGTTTTGGATCAAAGAATACATTTCTAATTGTCTTTGTTATTTTATCAATGTTGGAATAGAAATTATGCACTCTCTGCGGGTGTATGTTTTATATATTTTAATTGCTAAATTCTCAAACCCGTATTTATATGTCCGTTATCATCGTAATTCAACATGGCGCACACAAAATATTTTCTCCGTGAATAGCAAGGACATAACGACATGCGTGTCCTGCGTTAAATCCTTCACACAACATGTATGTGGGATGACTTATGGTTTTACATACTTACAACGCAGTTTTAAATCCCGTATTTTATTTCTTTTTTATTCAGTTTTTTGGGGGGGAGGGGTATTTTGTAATTTCGTTTTTAATACAGTAATTTTTTTTTAAATTTTGTAATATATATATATATATATATATATATATATATATATATATATATATATATATATATATATATATATATATATATATATATATATATATTGTAATTTTTGATACTTTTGTTTAATTTTGTAAGTTTTTATATTTCGTAATTTTGGATTTTTAATTTTTTTTTTATTTAGCTACTGTTTTTTTTATTTTATAGTTTGGTTTTTATTTTTTAATTCATTTTTCATTTGGTTTTGATTTGCACTATTGGACGTCCGTACTTGCCCACCACGATTTACATTGAATCGAAATTTGACTGAATAAAAGCATATATAAACAAGTATAAGAGATTCAAGAATCAAAACTTCTGATAAAACAATTAAAAAAATTGATGACTTGTGAAAGTTGCTATATAAAAGAGATAATTTTACATTTTGTTTTGTTGCACCGTTTTCTTCTTAGATATTGTCTATTAATATATAATATTTTTTTCATAAGCAGAAAATGTTAGGCTCATTTACATATACACAAAACATGTCCTTGTTGTAATAAAATTAAATATTGGAAAGACAATGCACACCAGTGACCCCTTATTCCTTTCCTTAAATAATAAAACAACTGGCGTTGATGGATTTGTATCATTTTTTTTTCAGTTTTGTTACCTTGCCATCTTTGGTTTTTTTCTTTGTCAGCACATTGTACAATAAAGATCTTTAAATGAACAGAGCTCTTTTAAAATAGTAAAACCTCAAAGAATAAGCGTAGAGTAGTAGTATCTCATTAAGCACTGTATTCAGAGGAAGTTTTTTTTTAAGTAAAGAAGAAAAAAAAAAAGAGTAAATGATTGCAATTATGAAGCGCTGTTTTCAACTAAATGAATTTACTGTATATTTATGGTTTCTAAATAGAAGGTGTTTATAATTGATGGAATTGTAAAATAGTTTTTTTTTTTTAAATTTCTGCACTTTTTAAAACTGACACTGATATCAAAAGATGTGTAGTAAATGATAGTTGGAAAATGACAACCTGTAGTTTTTATTGTAATATTCTTTATAGATCGTTTATCTACGGGTTATATATTGAAATATGTATTAGGAACTTTAATGGAGAAAAATATATTATATTCTTAATTAGGAAAGTTTTTCATTTTCAAAAAGTCTCTCTCTCTCTCTCTCTCTCATACAAAAATATCCTGGACACATTGGATGATTTTGATTTTAATTGGTCGAAGTCTTTTCTAAAAAAAAATTATATATATATATATATATATATATATATATATATATATATATATATATATATATATATATATATATATATATATATATATATATATATATATATATATATATGATATAACTTAAATGATACACATATGCGTGTGTATTTTGCCAAATAATTTAGCTATGTAGGCAGTTCAAATTTATTTTGTTAAGAAAATTGAAGTATAAGTTACTGAAAATACAAGTACCAAGCTTAATTGAACTTTCGTTGCAGTAAAATCCTTGATATCCCGGATCACAACCCTCTGCGCATGCTCCGCTAACAGAGTCACATCCTGATCCGGTCAGACAATGTCCACACTTCAATGCACAGTTTTCACCATACGTCATGGCCATACATTCTGAAATAACAGTTTCAGTTAAAATAAATTTTATTTTTATATATTTCATACAATTATATAGTACAGTCCCTGAAACGTTCTACATTCCCCACTTGAACGCTGAACGAACGCTGAACGAACGCAGAGCGAACGGTGAGTGAACTATGTGTGAACGCTGAACGCAACTTGGTGAACGATGTGTGAACGCTGAACGGTGAGCGAACGCAGAACTCGAACGGAGAGCAAACGCAAACGCAAAGTTAACGGTGAACGCAAAATGAACGATTTATTCGGAATGCTTCTGATCTTTTCCTATCATTGAAACCATTCTATTGTATTCTAATGTCAGGTGCCAAAAAATAAATAAATAATAAACAAATCAATGATTAAATAAATAAATGCTGCCAAATGTGCTTTAATACACTCGTATTTTAAATTCTTAATGCAATAATATATTTTTGTGTCATTTCTATTTTTTATGATGATTTATTTAGCAGACTTCTACATCTACCTGTAGACATTTCTCCGTGATTATACTCAGACAATATAATACAAAGAGGTATATTGATATTACTTGTTTTAGACTAAAATTTCAGAACTTGATATTTACGTCATATGCTGTCATAGTTTTTATTAAACAGACAAATGAGAGAGAGAGAGAGAGAGAGAGAGAGAGAGAGATTCCGTTTTTGCCCCTCCCCCTTTTCAGGCTTCAACAAATGTTTGTACCTGTATCAAACAAAAATTCTTAATTTTTTCTAAATTTATCAGGCAATGAGAGTAACTTTTTTTAATCGACAAATCCATTTGTTTGACAGTCATACTCGTTTTTTTCTTTTAATTTTCCTGCTTCAAGTTCACAAGAAGTCCACGTAGTTGTCTTGTCAATCAAAATCATTTGACACTGTGCAGGTGTGAAATTCTCACACCGAAGACGAAGTGCTGGATTTAAGATTTAATATTTTTTTTTTTTTATCATTCCTAGATTTGATTCCAACATTTCTTAAAAAATGAATAAATAAAATACGTTGGGCATTCACACTTGAATTTGAAACATACTCTCTGCCAATTTAAAATACCACCGCCGACACGTGTATATTTTGAACTACTATAAATTATTTAATGACTTTTTTTTAGATGTATGTTGTTTTTGAGACTTCAATTTTTGTGCTACAAAACATATTAACTTCTTTGTAAATGTTAATTAAAATATACTGGAAATACTGACTAAGTAACTGATTTAGGGGAAATAAAGGGGGGGGGGCTCTTAATCCTGCCGCATGGCAAACATATAAAGTTACGGTGAAGGAAGAATTTATTTTCTCTATAACTATAGACTTTATATATTATAGTAGAGAAAATAATTCAGTGCATTACGTTTTAAATAAATATTTTTTAACCACACTATCAATTCAATTCGTTCGAAAATATTTAATTAACAGAGTATCCGCAGTACTATTTATAATTCTCGGAACTAGTTCTATCATGTATTTCTGTAACAAATGAAAAAATATCATGTTAGAAATAAATATTTTCGTAATTTTGCTGCAGTTTGTAAATTAATTGACTTGGATATTTATCTATCCATTAACGATTTGTCGTCTTTAACATAACAACAAAATGTTGCAGTGCTTGAATTATTTAAATATTGCCCGTATTTAAATTTAATTTTTCAGCATCGTTCTACATAGGTACATGAACATACTTACAACAACATTTATTTTCCAGAGTAAATTACCTTACCTTAGAATAATTTTTTCCCCATGAGATAATGCTTCTTTTAACACGATATATTAATGAAATTAAAAAATCTGTAAATCCTTACTAACAAAAAAAGATAAGTTCTTCACTTCGGAGTTCCAAATGAAACTGAAGACTGAACGATAAGTGAACGCTGAACGCAAGGTGAACGCAAAGTGAACGAACGGAGAGCAAACGCTGAACGCTTTGTGAACGGTGAACGCTGAACGCAAAACTGTGAACGAAAAGCGAACGGAGAACGCACGGTGAACGCATGCTGAACGAACGGTGAGCGAACGGTAAAATGGGAAAGTAGAACGTTTCAGGGATTGTAACTGAGTACAGGGTGTTTCAGAAAACATGCAACCATTTTGATTAATTATATTTTACTGGTGCTTCAACCAATACCATGCACCAACATATCAAATTAAAAGTCAAAATTTCAAGATTTATTCTTATGAAAATAATGTTAATCTGGCAAATAGATAATGATTTACAGAAGGAAAAATATCCATACCACGTAAAATAAGGCTATATGACGTTATTCACGTCAGTGACGTTATTACGTCAATACGTGCCCGACGCTTATTCTATCAAAATGGCAGACGCCAATATCACTTACCGTGATAAGAAATGTTAATTCATTTCCAAAATAAAAGGCAGAAAAACTACTATGTTCGGTTATTTCCGGAATGCATGATCGGAGGAGAATTTAATTTTAGATGCTTTGGCAAACCGAAAGTTGATTATAACATCAAAGATGACATGGGAAGGTTGACTCGAGTACAAGATAACAAAAAGACTTCGACAATCAGGTCGCTTTTTTGTCTCTGTAAGTTGAAGAAATACAGAGTAACAAATAAATGGTTCTGTTGTCGAATGTCAATTTCGTTTGCTTATGCTCTACATAGTACATAACCAACCACGGCTATAGCTAAGTATTGACGTACATGTATACTTTGCTTCAATATTCCAACTTTAAAATTTCTATTTTCTCTTCTTAATTGTTGGAATTATAACATCGTCCTAGAAAATCGTCCTCAGAAATAGACTCAGGTTTTGAAAAATTTTGAGTAAAGGAAAACTTAATTTGCAGAACTTAATTTGCAATATATAAAAGTGCACAAATATAAATGTTATGTTATTTGGTATACTTGCACTGAAATATTGAATATTTCTTGATAAAAACAATATTTCATCTAAAGTACACTGTAGGAAAGGACATTGATGCATTATTTTTTTTTACATGCATATTGTTTCCTTAATAGACACAACATACTGAAGATTTTGAAAAATACTTTTTAAAGCTAGTGCACATTAGCCTTACCAGTTTTGTTGTGCTTGGGTAGTGTATTAGTGCACTTGACTAGTAAAACAGGTGTCCTGGGTTCGATTCCTGGTCCAGCTATGCAATTTCTCTATTGTTAATTTGATATTTAATTTTATATATATATATATATATATATATATATATATATATATATATATATATATATATATATATATATATATATATATATATATATATATATATATATATATATATATATATAAAGCAGTAATGTTTTATAAGTGATATTAACTGACTTGGCAAACCTGTCTGACTGTCTGAGTGTCTTGAATATTTCATGAATTGTATACATCTTTCCTTATAAATTCATCTCTTTCTCCACTAGGTATATCTGAGCAGATTTTTAAAAAGTTTCCGAATTGTTTCTGCATTGATGATATAGATTAAATTACAAATGTGTCATCTATATATAATTAATGAGAAAAAAGTCAAAACAGACCCAGGGGTCTATATCAGAAAGGGGGGGGGGGGGGTTCCTGTCCTCAAGCACCTGTGAATGGTATAATATATTACAGTAGATAGTAGATACTAGTAGCTAATAAGACAATGGGGATGCCTAGTGTACTATTCTAGATCATAATTTTATGTATTATAATAATTATAGGTGTGGTCAGACTTGAACCTACAAATCTCAATATATGACAGTAACAAAGAAATTAGATAATAAATAGGAATGCCTATGAGATCATAGTGGATAATTTAAAAAAGAATAAGTAAAAAGTGCGATGAAGGGATAAAATTTCAATCGGATAAATTCAACTCTTTTTGACATTCTGAGGGCTTATAATGTTATAATTGTATAATTAGGTTGTTCATGCATGGTTCTTAATCATTAAAAAAAAAAAAAAAAAAAAAAATATGACTTCAATTTTGATTTATATTTCATGGATTTATGTCAAGAGTGTGATTTTTTATTTGAATGAAAAATTATTAATAATATTTCATAAAAGTTATTTCAAAAGAATAAAAATGCTTTATTTAAGGCAGAATTTATGACGGTGGTTTGTTTCTCGGAAGCAACTTTCATCAATTTTCATTTTATTAAGTAAAAACCATTTAGTTTGATAATTTTTAAAAAAATTGTTTTTGAATATTCAAGTATTTATCCGCACTTATTATGATTATAAGATATCATGCAGCATACAAATTAAAACACAAAAATTATTATCACTATAAGTGCATGTTTTTTAATGACCCCTACACACTTCACACTAAAGAGTTCATATTCCATGGTACCATCATACAGGAAGAGTGATCTGTAGTGCTTCGTGTTCATTAATACCGCACTGTCTTTGATTTTTTTAGGCTCATGTATTGACCTGTAAGATTCGGGGGGTATGTAGTTTTTGCCCTGTCTGTCTGTTAATTTGTTTGTCCACAAAAACTTTAACCTTGCCTTTAACTTTTGATTGGTTGGAGCCATAATGGCTGTAATATTTCATGTGTATTCCTTGTAACAAAACTTTTCTTTTGGTAAAAATATACAAGGGTTGTTCGAAAAGTTCGTGGACTGATGCGATAAAATTAATACTATGTAGTCTATGGTTACAAAAGTTTTGATGAACATAAAACAACAAACGTTAAAGAAATGTTGAAAATTTTAGCTTGATACCTTGAATATTTACCAAATTATCATAAAATAAAAAAAAACATGATATGATCAACCGGCGCTGTCGCCATTTAGTTTCATGACGTCATTGTTTTTCAATGTCCGCATTCTCTACCTCATACACTTATCTTGATGAGTTTCCTTGGAGTTAAGTAAAGATTTAAACCCGTCTTGTTTATATGATTTTACAATGTCATAAACAGCTGATTTCAATGCATATAATATTGTAAATAGATCTGAAAGATTCTCAATTGATCATAACAGCATATTTGCTTGTCGGAGTTCAATATCTATCACACATGATCAACATCACTTTTCGGC